CAGTGTATGCCATTTTAGTGTCCAGTTCTCTCATCCTGGCAACATGGACAAAGGTATGGAGTATCACTCAACATAGTCTATTCAGTCTCAGATGTTAAACTTATCACATTGCCGATTGGCACGTGGCACGTGTTTTCTGTCACAATTGTTTTGAGCTGGTGGAACTAATCCCTCGGTCAATGCAGCGTTGGAATGTATCACTTGCTGTCAGCCAGACCTACGAGTTTGAGTGGTCAGTGCCAGTGCTTTATAAAACAGAAAATCTAATTTCAGCATTTGATGAGTTGGATGGAAAGAGGTTGGTTCACATCTATGTAAGTTGACATAGGTCTACTGTAGAAATGTTTGTATTTATTATTCTTTATAGTTCAAAGTTTAATTTATTTTTTATTTAATGTTATAATAAAACATTAAACATTAGTTGAAATTGTCCAATTAATGATTGGGTTAATGGTTCTAGATCTATGTGTGTAAGCAAAGTCTTAAACTAAAATGTTTTATAGCCTGAATATGAACTAATTCACAAATTAGTTTAATGCTGATTGTGTCTCATAAACCATTAGAATTTGAAAATATTATGTAAATTATGGTTATATTTCATTCATTTTCTAGTTTTACTGTTTGTGTGGCTTTTGCAGTACGGGATAACATGACACAGTTTTGGAGAACACACTCTCAGAATGCCACTTTGGAGGAGATGATGTTGGACACACATGCTCAGGAGCTCACCGAACAAGAGCTGCCAGAGATTCTGTCCATGCTGCCCAATCTGGACACCTGCAGAGTCCTGGAACTAGGAGCTGGTATTGGGTAAGTGTCAGTCTGTGCCCTACTTTACATGTAGTAACATTTTGTGATGAGGCTCGAAGCTGGTGACAGGGCAAAGGAACAATGTTCTAGTTTGAACTTTCACTTTAGCTACAATTCAGTACAAATTAAATGTCTTATTCATATAAGCATTTACATAACATTCAGCTTTATATTACAGTTAAACAATGAAAACAGTTGTTCTTATTTGATGCTATTGTGTTTGTATGTGCAGGCGCTACACACGGCACTTGCTGACTAGGGCTCAACATGTGATTGCTGTGGATTTTATGGAAAACTTTGTGGAATGTAATAAACAGGACAATGGTCACCATAGCAACTCCACTTTCCTCCAGGCAGATGTCACCAAGCTTGAAATCCCCCAAAACAGGTGGGTCATTCGGTTCATATTTTATCTATAATATGCCTTCCAAAGTATTGATTGTGTAATTGTTTCTTGTCTGGTCAGTATTGACTTCATCTTCTCCAACTGGCTGCTGATGTATCTGAGCGATGAGGAGCTCCAGTGTCTGACAGAGAAGATGTTGGGTTGGCTACGGCCTGGTGGCTTCCTTTTTTTTAGAGAGTCCTGCAACCATCGATCAGGTGGTAGAAACCATTTCCCCAGTGTATAAATTACATGATCAGTATCATGAAAGCTACGAAAAAACATGAAAAGTAGTTGTTAAGGTTGAATGTTCTTAAGGAATCATAGATTACAGCATTATAGCATTTACCTTGTTAAAGATTAGTAAATATATTTTTTGGTATGTTCATATCACAGAATGAATGAACTAGAAATATTTTTACAGGTGACTTTCAACGTGAATTTAACCCAACTTGTTACCGCACTGAAGCACATTACACTCAACTAATCACTTCAGCACAAGCAAAGGACAAGGAGAGCGCACAGATATTTGGTTTTGACATTATAATGAAGAAACAGGTCCAGACCTACATAAAGGTATAACTGTAAGTCATAATATTTAGAACGTGTTGTCAAGATTAAACTGTCTTCATTTCTTCTATTGTAGATGAAAAATAACCCAAATCAGATTTGTTGGCTTCTCGAGAAAGTGCAAAGGTCCTTAAATGGAATGGGCCATTTCAAAACTTTCCAGCAGTTCCTGGACCATAAACAATATACTCGCAACGGCATCCTACGCTATGAGAAGATGTTTGGGGCTGGGTATGTTAGCACTGGTGGTCCCACTACAACTAAGGTATAAAGCACAGATATTTGACTCCACAGTAATATGACCAAAACCTAAAACTGGTGTTCATGAAAGATAAAAATAGGTGATTGGTTTAGCTGCTTTGATACAGTCCACCTAACCCGTTTCAGGGATCATGATTCCTCTTATTATGATTCATATTATGTCCACCTGTCAACTCAGTCCCTCAGTGTACGATGGAGCTCAGCTACAGGCCAGTCAAATCAATATAGAAAAATAATTTAAGACACTATGGAACAATACTTTAAACTGCTGCCTCACTGTGGATTAATTATGTGGATGAATTCAAGTAGTTTGAAAAATCTCCATTGGTTTACTAGTATCTGTTATTATGTATATGTTACAATTTCTATTTTTTAACATTGTGGGAAGTGCTTAAGTACAGATGAAAGTTGTTGCACATAGGTAAAGATGGACTGTACAGTCTAACAGTGTTGAGGAGGAGGGGTGTAACTATGTTGATATATGAACTTTGAACTATGTTTAATATGAACATGCTAGATTTAGCTCTTAAGTTTTGTTTTATGATGTAGGTTTCTTCACATTGTCACCTTATTCCAGTGTACAATATGTACTATTTTATACAATTTGTGCATACCCCCCTGCATTACTGAACAGTTTTCAACTTTTATTTCTAGGAATTTGTGGATTTGTTAGACCTGAAGCCTGGTGAGAAAGTTTTAGATGTGGGTTGTGGGATTGGAGGTGGAGATTTCTATATGGCAAAGGTAAACTGGCAAATATGGACTGTATAGTAGAAAATGCATAAAAATACATGTTGCATTGACATTTTTCATTTTAAATGGCCAGACATTTGGAGTAGAGGTCCTTGGCCTGGACTTGTCAGAAAACATGGTGGATATAGCCCTGGAGAGGGCAGCTCAGGAGCATCTACCGTCTGTATGTCACTTAATCTATTTGTATGCATTTATTATAAAATGGCTGTAGTGATATTATTGTGTGTGTTTCCTGTTGAAGGTTCAGTTTGAGGTGTCTGATGCCACTAAAAGGATTTTCCCTGAGAGCTCATTCGACGTCATCTACAGTAGAGACACCATCCTCCATATAGCTGACAAATTGGCCCTTTTTAAGCGATTCTTTGTATGTAACAGTGTTATATTATTAATGAAATGAAACTGAATTGTAGCAAATTACAGGGGTTCCTATTATTCCCCTTTCCCTTCTTCAGTCTTGGTTAAAACCTGGGGGACGGCTTCTGATCAGTGACTACTGTTGTGGAGAGAAACCCTGGACCCTGCCATTTGAGGCCTATGTCAAACAGAGGGGATATATATTGTACACACCAGTGGAGTATGGAAAGGTAAAAGCATCAGGCTTTTCAAGATGTTTGTAAAATCCCTCAGTCGTCCAAGTAGAATCCATGGCAAAAGGAGAAATTCAATTTATCAACTGGACAAAAGTTTATTTTGGTCGAATATGTTTCACAGCTCATCCAAGCTGCTTCTTCAGTTTTGAAGAAGCAGAAGTTCAGTTCAAAACAAAAAAGAAAACAACAAGGATAACCAAGTCAGGCCCAGAGGTGTGGAAGCACCCATTATGGCCCTGTATGATAATGCTAATATGACCCCACACTCAGTGCAAGTTCAATATGCCTAGCTAACTAAAAGAAACTGTAAACAAGTGGGTGTGTTAGTTTTAGTGTAGCTTCAGTTTGCTCCTCCCTTCAGGCAAATATAAGGCAGTGTCCACCAGCATTTTGACCAGAACTGAAGAAGCAGCTTGGATGGGCTGTGAAACATATTCGATCAAGATAAAATTTTGTCCTTTTGCCATACAAACATCAGGGTTTTGTTGTTGCTGTATTGTTGTTAAGCAGAATGTTTACTGCAGGCGTCACAGGCATGAAGAATGTAAGGTGAATAACTAATATAAAGCTTATAATAATGTATTGTTAATATAATGTATGTATCACACAACCATTTGTATTTCAGGACATATCATTAGTTACAGGAACAGTTCCAAATTTATTTTGGCATTAGAACTGTATTATGTACCGTTAATTTCCATATTTTAAAAAGACACTTTTTTTAGTAAATGCGTTTGTGTCTGTTTGTGTGTAGTTTATTGAGAAAGCCGGTTTCTCTGAGGTATGGGCAGAAGACAGGACCAGCCAGTTCATCCAGGTGATTGAAGAGGAGCTTCAAAAAGCTAAAAAACTCAAAGATGAGTTTATTCAGGTCAGTTTGGACAAAAACATGGTGCAAGGTGCATTATTAATATGTTACATGCTGACTAGTATTAATGTGTCTCTGCAGGAATTTTCAGTAGAGGACTACTATGCCATTATAAATGGGTGGCAAGAAAAGCTGGAGCGGTCCAAGAGTGGAGATCAACGATGGGGTCTTTTTCTTGCAAAGAGGAAATTGGATTAATGTATGTAAATGAATAAATAAATTATCCAACGTCTGTCTTTCTATATTGTGTCATTTTGGATAGTCTGGTTGTATTTATAGTACATTGAAGACCATTATCATAGTTCTTAAATGGGAACAATTTATGCCACCTCTGTGATTTCTAGCATTACAAGATGTAGGTCTATTGGTGTTTATATTTGTCACCACAAGAGGCATATAGGACTAATAAATTTAATATTTATTATATTAGTAAAGTCTCCTACTATTAATTTACTCTAATTAATAATGTATCCCGCTTTCATCTTCATTAAGCAAATAACATGCAAAGTAAACCGCAAAAAAAATAAAAATAAATAAATAAATAGGCCTACAATGCTTTCCCGTTTACTCGAGAAACTTGTCCTTAAACTTGTCCAACAGGTCCATTAATGGCCGCTCACACATCCACACCGCCCACTGTGCTGATGTCATTCTAGAGGAGCCAGGGCCAGGCAAACAGGTGGATGACACGTATAGAAACATTAGAAACATCAACTGCAAAAGCATGTGTGCCGCATCCTGCAGGCATGCATCCAGTATTACAGAAATATTATTGTACTCTGTGCGCGCAAACGATCCAATCAGACTGTTGCTGGCTTGCAAACACGAATAGCGTCGCTTGTCATGCCTTCTCCAGTGACATGCAGCGTTAAAAACTAACTTCCTTATAAACGGTATAGGCCTACGCCCACCACCCTGTCAGTTGAGTTCCCTGATCATTTAACTCCGCGCCGGCAGACAGTTGAGACGAAGAACATGGCAAACTACACAGAGCAAGGCATTCGCCTCAGTTCGGTAAGTGTGCGAAGTACCACTGCGACCTGCATGCATAGATACGACAGTTCTGATCTCGTGACTTGCGTATTTGTTATGGCAGATGTGTCCGACCTTCCTGAACAGCAATTCGACCAGTCACACTTGGCCCTTTAGTGCAATAGCAGAATTAATAGGTAAGTTATATTAAATAAAGGTTGTGCAGTTTATAGATAAAATTTAGTTTCGCGTTTTTGTGAGTATGCTAAAAGGCTTATAGAGCACTTCCTCTTTCTCTTTCTCGTTCCGTCTTACAAGATGAAAAAAACTGTGTGGCTTAACGAGGTAGCCTGCTGTGTTTACCAAGTGATCAAAATCATGTACAAACGTTTATTTTCAGTTTGCAATACAATCTACATATAGCCTACATGCATAATTGTATCAAGGTGTCCCATATAAGAAAGAAAAAGTTTTGGAACCTCCTTGTGAGATAAATGCAATATACAATAGTGTGAAGATAACGTGAAATAATTATTTTTTTCATAGACAATGCTGCAGATCCTGGTGTCTTCGCTAAACAGATCTGGATTAACGTTCATGAAGAGGCAGATCACCTCTGCATGACATTTACTGATAATGGCTGTGGTATGACACCCAACAAGCTGCATAAGATGCTCAGGTATATGGCACTGCACATGGCGGTGTGCTATAGATGAAGACATGCATAGAAAAGCTTTTATTCACATTTACAACATGCTTCCTTTTGTTTTTGCTCAAATCAGATCACAGAGTCACATGTTTCTTTTCATGTACTCCAACTCCTGTGTGCCACTTTAAATATATTAAAAAGTGTTCAAAAGTATTAAAAATATTTAAACAGCACTGTTTAAAGTTATCACCACCTCTGAGAAAAAATGCTGCTGTGGCGGGATGTAAATGTTGATGCTTTATGCAAATGGATAACCTGGAATGTTCCTTACTGTCATTCTGCATTTAGCTTTGGCTTCACAGACAAAGGAGGAGGAAGAACAGGTGTACCAGCCATTGGTGTGTATGGGAACGGATTCAAGTCTGGGTCCATGCGCCTTGGCCGAGATGCACTTATCTTTACTAAGAGTGGAGGCTGCCAGTCTGTGGGAATGCTCTCTCAGACCTACCTGGAAAACATCAAAGCCCAGTGTGTCATTGTCCCTATTGTGCCTTTCAACCAACAAACCAATATCCTTTCCTTTTTGGTGAAAACATGTGTTATGTTACATCTGTGTTTGTCCATCTCAACAAGAGCTAATACTTAATACAGTGTGTTAATGACCATAACCAACCTCACAGTCACTTGTGGTGACCGAGGACTCTGAGGCCAGTTTGGCAGCTATCCTAAACCACTCCATTGTTTCTTCCCAAGAACAGATCCAGACTCACTTTGATTCTATCCCTTCAAATAAAGGCACAAAGATACTAATTTGGAATTTACGCCGGTATAACTTCTTTTATTTTACTATTTATTATCTTGAACTTGTTTTTGAACTTTCCATGAATACTGACCAAATACTCACATAGCTTACTGTTATCTATATGAGTATAGCTTATTCATTTATAGACATATAATCATTTTATCCAAAGGGCCAAAGATGGCAACCCTGAAATGGACTTTGAGACTGATCTGACAGACTTCCGCTTGCCTGAGATCCAAATAAAAGAACTACAGAAAAGTCTGAAAGACAGTGGAGGGCTGAGAGCAGAACATAACATTCCAGACATGCATTATAGTCTCAAGGTAATGTACAGCTTGTAAAATGTCACATATGCACACTGCTAATTGCAATACTGCGATTGTTAGAAGTAGATCATACTTTTGACTGGAATATGTACAAGTACATATACAAGTACAAGGCATTCTTCTGTAAGCCATAATCTCTGTAACAAAGATGAGCTTCTCACTATGCTTTTGACTTTAAGTTGACTATAAGTTTAAAAGTGTGGCAGCCAAAATCGTAACTTTTTATGTTGATGGTTATATAATATAATAAGCATAATAACACTAAAACATATTGTAGTGTAAGATTTAGTGTGGTTGCAGAAAATTCTATTAAATAAAAAAATAAATTAAAAAATATTCCGAAGGTTTTCATATTTGAAACAGACTCATTTCATAACGTGATATTATGTATGTATTTCCAGTCTTGTTTAAGAAAATCATGTACAGATGTCATTAAATATTATAAAATACAAATTTATTTTGATCTATAATATGTATAATTAGTTTAATCAGATTTTGAAAATTACACTTTTACAACTTTTAAAATTCTAATCTTCCATATATAGTATTTTTATTCGAGTAAATATCGAAACAGTAATAATAACATAATAATTAACATTATTAATAATTAACAATAATTAACATGTATTTGTATTGCAGGCCTACCTTAGTATTTTGTACCTGAGGCCAAGGATACAAATTATCCTGAGAGGGAAAAAAATCCCCACAAAGTTAGTGTCACAGGAGCTGACACACGTCGAGTATGATGTGTACAACCCCCACTTCAGTGTATCCTTTCTACTGTTTGCAATCGTTAGAAAATGAATAACTAAAAATATTGTATAGCTATTTGGTCACATTCAGTCCTGCGAAACTTAACTCAACTTCACCAGAAAGACAAAGTGAAGGTGACTTTTGGCATAAACAAGAAAAACAGGGAATATTATGGCATTATGATGTATCACAAGAACCGACTTATAAAGGCCTATGAAAAAGTGGGCTGCCAGCTAAAGGTAATGAGACAGTTGTCTAAACTTTACTTTGAGCATCTGTGTAAAATTCAGTTTCTATTTTATTCACATTTTCAACAGACCTCTGGACAAAGAGCAGGCATAGGTGTTATTGGGATCATTGAATGTGACTTTCTTAAACCCGCTCACAACAAGCAAGATTTTGAATATACAAAAGAGTACAGGTACAACAGCCAATTTGTAAAATTGTTAAACATACTTAATAGCAATAAGATTGAATTCCTTCTCTTTTATCCAAGACTTACTCTTGGTGCTTTGGGCATAAAACTTAATGATTATTGGAAAGAGGTAATGGAAAGAAAGCATAAACTGAGAGAATTTGAGCCAGCAGCAAAAGAACAAAAGAACATCACAACCAAAGGAAGCGGGGAAAAGTAAGTGATATTGATAAACTATGCATCTGTTTTGTCTCCTATGTCTATTATAACAAAAAAATAACAAATCAGTACTTTTCATTTTGTGCTGCTCTTGCAGTGGTCCCATTTGGTTACAATGTGAGGAGTGCCTCAAATGGAGGAGTGTCCCAAGTGGTCATTACACTGTTATTCCTGAAAACTGGACCTGCAGACAAAATCCAAACCCACGCTACAGGTGTGGCACTTTTTAAATTTAGCTTGGAATTATCCTATTGTTAAATAGTAAATAATCAGAATAATACATTTTTTTTAAACAAAATGTGTTCTTTTTTTTAGAAGCTGCTCAAGTCAAGAGGAAACGAATGACACTGAGGACCTGTTGACAGCGAGTTACCCTAAGACCCATTCTAAACGGTAAAACAAAATGACAGCCAGTGGCTTTGGTTCACTCTCTTAGGGTGCACTCACGCTAGGACTTTTGAACCGTGCTGTGCTCAAGCACAATTGTGTAGGGTTCTATGTTCCACACTCACACCTGCCCAACCAAACTGGGCCACGGCAAGATGCCGTCATCACACGCCACTGTTTGTTTACATGTCACGCAGCAGAATAACGCTTTTAGCAGTGATGACAGTTGCAAGAGAGGCTGTAAAACATCTGTCGCTGTCCACTGTCCTTATTTAAGGTAAGCGCATATTCGCTGAATGTTTTAGAGCTGACTTTGCTGTATGAATAACATCAGCGCACCTGACAGGGCTTGTATAGTGAAGTCATGCGCGTTCGGTTCTACGGTTCTACAGTTCTTGGGCACGATTCTAAAGTCCTAGTGTAAGTGCACCCTTATTATTTTTTCTTTGACCTGATGTCAGTTTACATGCCACATTGTGGTTTTCCTCTGTTTCCGTGTTGTAATCTCACACTACATTTTCATTTTCAGAGTGTGAACACTTCCTTAAACTTCCTTCCTTAAACGCTTAAAGGGGTAGTACCAAAGTGGTGACCAAAATGTTTAAGCAAGCAATGCCTTAAAATGCATCATGCTATTTAAGAACATAAATACCTTTCATCTTGATTCACAGAATTAATTGAATTTAGTCAGTTAAACAAATTTTACAGCCAAGCAGATATTGTATTTAGTTGGAATGTTATAACATGGGAATAGTACTAGTGATAAGCTTATGCTTTTAACAATTTATTTCAAGAGAATTAAATGAAATAAAACATAAAAGATTTTATTTGGCATTTGTATTTTCAACAGAGAGTATTCCAGGCATAAAAAGAGAGAAAAATCACCAAAGGTAAATCTAAATCTACATTGTTGCACATTTCTGCAAGATTGGATTTGATCTCATCTTTTTTTTTTTTTTTCAGCTGGTGGAATCAGGGTCCAAAAGCCCTGTGAACTATTTTTCAGACCCCGTTAAGTCCAGTGATGAATCAACAGAAGCAGGGCCTCCCTCACCCTTTCTTACAAATGAAGCAGAGAACATGCATATGAACAAGGACCAAGAACCAGAGAGAGACAGCACAAGTACACATCTCACAACAGAGACACTGCCTGCTGCTCCACATGCACACAACAAAGAGTCATCAGAGCCAAGCATTACACAGGACCAAATTAAAGAAACTTGCTCTGAAACACCCATGGAGCAAGATGAAACCCTTGAAACAGATGATGAGACCATGGTCCTTGAACGGTACATTTTTATATGTTTGCATAATGATTGCTATTATTATTTGTGAGGTTTTATATATATATATATATATATATATATATATATATATATATATATAAACCCTATATATATATATATATATATATATATATATATATATATATATATATATATATAGGCTCAAAAAATCATATTAATTCCTAAACTCTCTGCTGCAGCATGAAGAGGAAATCAGATGAACCATTTCAGCGTGTAAAGAAGTTGCGTCTTTATGAAAAGCTAGAGTTATCTAACAGTAATACAGAGTATGAGAACCCAGGCACTTCAGACAAGACTACAGAGGACAGCAAAGGTCAGGAAGAAAACCACAATGTTAACCTGCCGCTAGTACCCCAGGAAGAATGTAGAGAAACAAGAATGAAAAGACTGGAAGAGCTGGAAAGTGAGAGTCATAAGTTACGACAGTTGCTTGGTTTGGAAATTATCAAGAAAACTAAAGGAACAATGACAACTACTGACATCAAGACCCTAAATGATAGGCAGAGCACTGTTCCAACCAGAGAGATTGGGTGTCAAGCTGAAATAACTGAGGTGAGCAAATACCATCAATGTTTGCTTTGTTGGCAATTTTTCAGTAATACATAATAGTACAACCTATTATCCCTTGTATTATTATTATATGGTATTATTACCATTATTATTCCATTATACCCTTTTAGAGAATGGTAATAATACATTTATTTCTTTTGTCCATCAGAAATCAGTTTCATGTGGCAGCAACACTCTGGTTCCCAAGTCTCATGAAGCAGTAATTCAAAGCTCTCGAGCAATGTGTGGATTTAAGGAACCGGAGCAAAAAAGAGAGAAAAATGACAATCTGAAGACTACTGGAAATGAAGACAACAATGCCATGTATGTTTCAATAATCAATAATCATACTTACTCTAATGGGGCTCTTTTTGCGCATGGTGTAATGGAGACTTAATAATAGTATATGTGTTTTGTGACCAGGTTGGGGCATGACAAACTTCATGGCATCCGGAACAATGTGTTGGTGCTCCTCACGTCACTCCTGCCTCAGCTGGACCTGTCAGGCATAAGTCTGGAGACAACTGACGTGGACAACATCCTACAGCAGATTATAGAAGTCAATGAACTCAAACTGTGAATGATATCAACTCCCAATTTAAAACTTTGCTTTTATGTATGTGTGTGTGTGCTTTACAATTTGCATTACATACTCTCAGCCTTTAATGTATGAAGAGGCATTATTGTTGTTGTTGTTGTTTTTTTTGTTTTTTTTTTACTGTTTATTTATATTTTTATACATTAAAATATGCTATCATTTTAATTACAATGCTGAGTTTTTACTTGTGCACCAATAAAGCATATGCAACACATATCTTAACCACAAGGGGGTGTAATATGCTTTGGATTTGTCTGGCTATGAAGGGTATTATAACCCATTTGTAAGCTACTGTTATTATAAAGTTATGAAACCTGTTTAAATTGTTCTAGGTCTAACCCACTCTCCAGAAGACAGACTTTGTTTATTTTCTATTATATGGCGCAAGAGAGTGAAGCAATTTACACATTATTCTCACTTCATTTTGAACTTTCCAATTTGTCACATTTAACTACATGTAACATCTGTACATAAACTCCCCCCAAATCCTACTCTTTCACTGACAACATCTATAGTTAGATCCTGAATCTATTAAAAAAAAAAAAAAAAGTTTTTATTATAGTTGATGAGTTACAGCCGTAGATCTATTAGCTTCGAGCGGACTATCTCCTCAAGAGCGCGCCCCCCACGTGTATCCATTCCTTTGACCTCCCTCCTTTAAAACCTGCTGCACTCGCTAGAAGTCTCAGACAGCCGCCTGCTCTTGGAAGTAAAATACGGAGTAACAAATGTCATGGAGACCGCTTTTATTTTTCTAGCAGCTTTCTATAGTTTCAGACTCCAGCCCATTGGAGCCGCAAATAGAAACTATTATATAGCGGCTGTTGAGATAGGATGGGACTATACCCACTTGGAGAATGCTAACCCTGGAGTCAACCACAAGTGAGTTTAAGATATATTCTTTTAGCACTCATCGTTGGTTGTTTTGTTAATGTTTTTTATATATATATATATATATATATATATATATATATATATATATATATATATATATATATATATATATATATATATAAAATGTGTTTCTCACCTTCCACGGTGGTAGGTCTCTCTCACCCTCATTGAGCTCGGGTCCTCTACCAGAGGCCTGGGAGCTTGAGTGAGATATATATATATATATATATATATATATATATATATATATATATATATATATATATATATATATATATATATATATATATATATTATATAAAAAATTATTATTATTATTATTTATTTTTTATTGTTTTTGTTTTGTTTTCATTTGCAGAAAATTATATAAAGATGCTATTCAAAAATATATCAAGGCTGTTTATAGGGAATACACAGACTCCACGTATACCGTGCTAAAGCCACGACCAGCATGGTCCGGTAAGCTCTTTAATATGTGTGCTATTTTTTACTAGAACAAGTTAAACAATGCAGACGACATCATGTATGCATTTCTTTGCAGGTATACAGGGTCCGGTGATAGTGGCACAGGCTGGAGACAGGGTGGTGGTTCATTTCAAAAACATGGCCTCTCAGCCCTATAGTATCAGCCCAGTGGGAGTCACTTACTGGAAGCAATCTGAAGGTACCAGACTTCACAACCTGGGCTTATTCAAATCTAAGAATCATACACGCATTTATTGTTCCCGCACACATTTATTGATGTAGGCCTATGTGTTATGTGTTAAATATTGGCTGTGATGGGTGACAGTTTTTAGAGATTATTGATGATTTAGAAATAAAGCAGTGGACCATGGAGCAACACCATGTTTCATCAGATCCTGTTGCCAACCGTCATCATTATCTTACGTCCACAGAGAATTTACACTGGCACTTAGTTTCTGTTGAAATTGTGTTTTGTTGTTTACACATATCAGGAATTTAAAGTTATACCAACCGGAAGAATTGCTGTTATCACTCTTATGGGCCATAAAAAGTTTTCTGAACAATGATTTCTTTCACAGCATGAGTTAGTCAATAAGGCTTTTTATTTAGCAATAAAGACAAAAATACACATATGGAGACCTAAATCACCATTCAGTGGTTACCACGGACAGAACAGATTAACATACATACACACACACACACACACAAACATTGGAAACATGAATTAGATTGTATCCATCATACTCTAGTCTGCATGATCTCAGATATCCAAATTGTCATGTTGTTTATTGTAACAATTGTTAGACCTAACTTAAAACTTTGTTAAGTATCTCTACTATTTAAAATGCATATATATATAAATATAATAATTCTAACTATATTCTAAGTTCTAAGGACTTCGGAATGACAAAATAATGTATAAAGAATAAAAACAAAGAGTAAAACAAAGAAGAATATTGTGTTAAGGGGCAGGATATGAGGACTCAACAGCTGGCCAGGAGAAAGAGGATGATGCTGTTTCTCCGGGCGGATACTATGAGTATGTGTGGGATATCAGCATCAGAGATGGCCCCACACAAAGTGATCCCGAGTGTCTCACATATTCCTACTCATCCCGAGTGGATACAGTACGAGATATGAACTCCGGACTCATTGGTTCACTGCTCATCTGCAAACCAAGTCAGTGGAATAAATTAATATAATAGTTTTAAACATTTACCTAGCAATTCTAATACAGTATACTAAGATTTACTCTTTTTTTTAGATGCCTTCACAGAGGATGAAGAGAGGAAAAATCCAGCCTTTGTTTTGATGTTTGCCGTTTTTGATGAGTCCCAGAGCTGGTATGGAGAAGTTGGGGAGAGAAGAAGCAGGGAGAGATTCAGGAAAAGCAACATCCGTAAGGAATACCACACTGTAAATGGATACATCAACTCCACCTTGCCTGGTAACCAACTAAATTTTTATTCTACATGTTATACTTGTCTGTGTACAATATTTCTTTATTTGTATGTGTGCTGTTTGTGTGTAGGTTTGACACTGTGTTATGGTCGAGGCAATGTGTTTTGGCATTTAATAGGTGTAGGCACAGCTCCAGATATCCACTCCATTCAGTTCCATGACCACACTCTGCAGGTATTGACTCTCAGTAATAGAGGATAAAGTAAAGGAAATATTTGCTGTGAACACTGTTTTTTGTTAGGTATTGTCCCATCGTAAAGTCACTGTGGAGATCACCCCAATGACATTCATCACAGCAGAAATGAAACCCACTTCTGTTGGTCACTTCCCTATCACCTGTAACATAGTAGCTCATCGTCATGGTATGACAAAACATAAAAATAACTTTACTTATTCATTTCATTTAATTTTTATTGCTTTATTTTTTTTTTTAAGAATAGTAGTATTATAGAGTATTTTTTATTTATCATAGAGTATTATTTATTACTTATTTATTATTATCTATTTATTTAGTATTTATTTATTTATTCATTAGTTATTTTAATTTTAATGGCAACCTTTTATTCCTCATAGCTGGCATGAGTGCATTATTCACGGTGGAAAAGTGTCCTGAGGTTGTATTACATCAGCAGCGTAATGCCAATTATGATGACTACCATGATGATGATGACAAAGACATTTTTAATGTCATAAGTATTGAACCCAAGAAACCAAAAGTGCAAGCTAGAGCCAGTGGGACACAGGTGCCCAAAACCTGGCAGCATTTTATTGCAGCTGAAGAAATCATCTGGAATTATGCACCACATCTAAAGCACAGTGACAGGTAAAACATGGACCAAGCACTGATGTTAGTGTTTTAATGTAAATATTTTAATGTATTTGTTGACACTGCACCAGTGAGCTGCAGTCTCCATACTTGCCTAAGGTCCCTCACCATCTGGATTACAAATATAAGAAGGTTGTTTATGTGGAATATTCAGATGAATCATTCACCAAGAGACTTAGTCCCCCTAACACACTGCTGGGCCCACTTTTGAAAGGAAAGGTCAATGATCAGTTTTCTGTAAGTATATTATTAAATCTAAATACTACAGATTACACATCATGCTTCAACTTTATGAGACATTTTACTGGTGTTACCAGATCACTTTCAAGAACTTAGCCTCTCGTCCTTTTAACATCTACCCAAATGGTCTTACCAAAGTTTATCCACTGGAGAAAAATACAAATGGTATACAATTTCTTTGACACCTCTGAATCAGCTATATCAACATTTATTTGTGAATAGCTTTTCTCTCCTCTGTCACAACCCAGAAGCAAAGAGGGACTTGCGTACAATGGGAGTGCCCCCCAACAGCACTTTTAGATACATTTGGAAGCTCACGACTGAGGACGGGCCTTTAAATGGAGACCCCCAGTGTCTCACACAGCTGTATCAGAGCACAGTGTCACCAGAGAGAGACTTGGCAACTGGGCTGGTGGGCACACTTCTCATCTGCAAATATCACGCCATCGACATCAGTGGGCGGTTGGCAAGTACACCAAAGCCTCTCTGAATATAAGGAATGCTTATTACACTTATTATTATTATTGTTATTATTGTTAGTATTATTTTGTCTTCACAGCTGAGTCCAGACAGGGAATTAAGTTTGATCTTTGCTGTTTTTGATGAAAACAGAAGTTGGTGTTTTGAAGAAAACATGATTAAATCAAAGCAACTGACCTTATTTAACAATACAGACAGTGAGTTCTACAAATCCAATGTTATTCATAGTAAGTTTTAATAATTATTCTTTATTCTTAATCTTACAGTGCTTTATAATTGAATTATGTGTTTGTTGTTTGTTAGTTTATTAGCTGAAAACATAGCTTTTAAAATTTCCATTTAAAATTTTTACTTGAGAATTAAATAAAAATTGTCATTGGAACCACTTTTAAGTCTAACTTGTCCCTGGTTAAGGTGTGAATGGGATCATGTTCAGTGGACGGAAGTTTGTCATGTGCCAGACTGATGTTACATTCTGGCATATTGCCAATGTGGGAACTCAAAGTAACTTTCTCAGCATCTACTTCACTGGGAATCTCTTTGAATATCAAGATGCCTACCAGTCAGTCCTGACACTCTTTCCAATGACTGCTACCACTGTTTCAATGGAGACAGAAATAAATGGTACAGTACTGAATCAATTGTAGACAGCTGGTCAAATTTTGCCTTTGTTTTAACTTACTAAATGTTGTTTTATTCAGGTGAATGGGAGATCAGTGCATTTGACAGTAGCCGTAAAAGCAGAGGAATGAGCATATTATATTCAGTGCGCCCATGTGACACTGGGAAAACCACTTTTTTTGATAATGATGAAGAGGAATATGTTTTTGATTATTTAGATTCCACAGACTTTGGACCCAGAGGTTCAAGGCCGTTAAATGGGACTATCACTGTTCGTGTGTGTAAGAAGGGACTAAATGTTACTCAATTTGAAACAACAGGCTCCAATAAAACCTTAAGGTGCAAACTCAAAAATGTGACACTTGCACAATTGAGTGATCTGACAGCAAGAAAAGAGAAAGAAGAAGAAATTCCACTGGATGTTTTGGAGGAAAGCAGTGTCCACACAGGCTCAGAGAATCCTAATGTGAGGTTAAAAAGACAGGCACATGGAAACTGGACAGAAAACAACCTTATGTCAGAAGAATTAACTGGATACTGGGAGTTGGATGCAGGAGATTTAGAAAGTCAAAATGTCTCCACAGCCCTAAAGGAAAATAACCAAATATTAAGTGACATGAATATGACCATGTATGATCCTGAAAGCAGCAATGAGATTTTACTGGACCCAATGGAATCTGTGAAGTCAGAGGGTGCAAATCTTTTAAAAAAACTTCTAAATTATCCTCCAACAAACTTAGAGAAACAAACAGCAGACTTTGGTTTGGAGTTCAGAAATAACACAGACATTGAAAATGCAACACATATTTCTTTGTCTGTAGATTATGATGATTATAGCCTGGAGGTACTGCAACATACAATATATACATACATACATGTGTATTTTCTCTGTACAAATTTTGAAGACAACTTTTTTTGCAGGAAAATGGTACTGATACATTTGGCTCTGACTACTTGAACATGCGATCAGGTGAAATGAGAGGCCGACATTATTACATTGCTGCAGAAGAAATCAGTTGGGACTACGGCATCAGTAAACCTTATCAGTTTATCAAACACAGGTTAGGATTTTGTTTTTCAAAATGGGTCAAACTTTTTATCCCCTCTAATAATGTCTTTTTCCATTTAGAGAGATGCGGCGTGGTATGCGAAAGTTCTTGCCCAAGTATAAGAAAGTTGTATATCGAGCCTACAGAGATAAAGACTTCCAGCATCCCGTTCCAAGAGGAGAGCTGGAGGAACACCTTGGAATCATGGGACCGTTCATTAGAGCTGAGGTCAATGAGCTCCTTACAGTGAGTCCAGTTGTATATTCACATGTTGTGTTTGGTCATCTTTAGGAGATTGTGGAAGGAGAAGAAAACTTTTGTTTCTATCATGAACTATCATCAAAAATGAAAGAAACTTTTAAAATACATTTGCCTGTGTGTCAAAAATACATACATTTTCCTGTGGCAGCAGTATGTGCACTCATGCACTAAAAAAAAAAAAAAAAAAAAAAAAATCTGTGTACACTTAGTACTTTCCATTCTTTGCTTCATGACAGGTTGTCTTTAAGAACAAAGCATCAAGGCCTTACTCTTTTCACATTCAAGGGGTGTATGACAGGAGCCAAAGAGCTGGCTCTGGTCAGACTTACACCCCCGATGCTCCTCCTGGAGTCCCTGGAGATCCAGTGGCCCCGGGAGAGGCCAGAACTTACACCTGGAGAGTAACTAAGAAAGAAGGCCCCTCCGACAAAGAGCTGAGCTGCAAGACAGGAGCATACTACTCTACACAGGATAAGGTTTGCTTGGGCACCACTGAACCGGTGCCATACGTCTACAATACTATAGAGATAAGTGTATTTTTTTCTTTTTGCAGGACAGAGACCTTCATTCAGGGTTAGTTGGACCTCTAGTTATCTGCAAACCTGGCATTCTTCAGCCTGGGCAGAAGGATGTCCAGGAGTTTGCTTTGCTGTTTCACTCCTTTGATGAAACTAAGAGCTGGTATCTGGAGGAGAACCTCCAAGAATACTGTGTCCCTCCATGTCGAGCCAATCGTGAAGAGCCCGGGTTCCACACTAGCAACAGCTTTGCAGGTGAGATACAAAACCATAATTTCCATAAATTTTTAGCATTTAAAACATTTAGCATGTTCCTCTCTCTGTTAGCAATCAATGGGTATGTGGCAGAGACACTGCCTGGCCTGTTAGTGGCTCAGCACCAGTTGGTCAGGTGGCACTTGCTTAACGTGGGCAGTGATGGCGAATACCATGCTGTGCACTTTCACAGTCTGCCCTTCATTGTTCATACTGGGGCAGACCATCGGATGGGGGTCTACCAGCTTTTTCCTGGTAATAACTACACTGACTGCTGTACAAACTGTTTACACAACATAAACTCCAAGCAGAAACACTTTCTAACATGGTCTTGATAGTCAAGAATCAGTTGTGAGACATTGTTAAAAGAATGTAGTGTAATGTAATATATTACTTTATGCATCTCCCTTTGTTTTCCATCTTCAAATACTAAGGTTTCAGTCATCCAAAATGATAACTGTTTCTTCCATTTCTAGTTCTGTTTGAGTAGAAAAGGGCATGGTTATTAATATTACAAATATTCAGAAGTATAGTGTCTAATGTTTCTTTGCTCTATCAATTGTAATGAGGTGTTTTTGGTACACTGGAGATGAGGCCTCCCACAGTGGGCACGTGGTTAGTGGAATGCACTGTTGCAGATTATCAACTGGCTGGTATGAGGGCAAAAGTACTGGTCTACAACCCAAGTAAGTCTAATATTGTGTGTGGAGATTAAGTGTGGGTATTCATCATATGACAAAGTTAATATTGGGTTAAGTTATGTTACATTAAGGTTAGGCAAGTAGTAATTAATAGTAAACGTTCCATGAAATGAATGCAACACCCCCAAAATTCTCACACATTTCGTATATGCATGTTTGTACAGAGAAGTTACTTGAGGTGTCATTATTACATCAGAAATTACAAGCTTTCACCATCGCATTTCATGATTTGTTGCTTGAGTTACTCAAGCAACAAAAATACACATCTTGCATCAAATCTGATGGTAAAATTAATCACTCTTCTGAAAAAAAAAGAACCCTATTCCATATAACATCAAAAGTGCATTATAGGGCATATCATTTGTGTTATATAGTTTTTGATATGGTATAGTTTATTTATATAGTTTTGTTTTCATGTTAATACAACAATTACAGATATTTCTATATAGAGACATGTTGTTTTATATGGTGTTTCATACTTTAGAGTGCGTCTTACCATTGGGAATGAAATCAGGAAGGATAGATGATTTTCAAATCACAGCGTCAAACTATTTGGGTAACTACTTATTGTAATTATAGTTTATCTGTTTATATCACTGTTATATCTTGTTGATTCTACAATTGTGTATAGATGGATGGGAGCCTCGTTTGGCTCGACTGGATCAGTCTGGATTTGTCAATGCTTGGATGGGTCAAGGGAAGATGCCATGGATACAGGTGAGGCTGTACAGATAACAGTAACAGTAATAATACCAACAATGTATATCATCGCCATTTTTTCCTGGTATGTCAGGTTGATTTGTTGAGGCCCATGCTCCTACATGGAGTGCAGACTCAGGGAGTGAGAGCAAAGTTGAGGGACCACTACATCACACACTTTAGTGTGTCCTATAGCATGGACCTGGAGACGTGGACCAACTACAGGGGGAACAGCACAAGGCGAGCCTGTGTAAGTACCCTACTCATTTATTATAGCTGTATCATAAACTAATACTTTGTGTCCATGGGTTTTAGCTTTTCTTTGGCAACATGGACAGTGCCAAAGTAAAGGAAAACACCTTCTCTCCGCCCTTTGTGGCGCGTTATATTAGGATTCATCCAGTGAATGTTGTGAAAAGGCCAGCTTTAAGAATGGAACTACTGGGGTGTGATGTCAACAGTATGTTAACCAACAGAGAGAACATTTGACCTAATTGCATGGGCAATTATTAACACTAAATGTATGTTTACGCATGCCAGGCTGCTCTCTGCCTCTAGGGCTGCAGGCCAGGCTGATCCCTGATACCAGCTTCACTGCTTCTTCAGTTCATTCATCGCTGCTCTGGAGCTGGAGCCCTTTCCTTGCTCGGCTCCACCAAGAGGGCAGTGCTAATGCCTGGAGGCCTAAGGTACCATTTTTAAAGTTACACCCTCTTTCAGGGTTGCTTAAATTCTAAAGAGGTGGAAAGAACTCCATTACATTTACTCGATTTACTTTTAATAAAAGTGTACTTCTCTAAATAGTTTTCAAACACAATACTGTTACTCCTACTTCACAAATATCTTTTACAGTACTCTTACTTGAGTAAAAGTTTTGCTCTAAAAGTCTACGATTCACATTTTAGCAAAGAGCACTAAAAAGCATGGCCTGATCAAATGCCTCTTTTGAAGCAGTTACATAAACTGTAAGTTCATAGCTGGTAATGTCACAGCTTTCCAGAACAGCTTTCAATTGTGCTCCAGAGGAAGGGTGATACCAAATCTTTTCCTTCTAATTACTATTTTCATTATATCCCTCAGAATTTGTTAAGTTATACTCTTTTTTTATGATAGAACAATAACCCACATGAGTGGCTACAAGTGGATTTGGGAAAGGTTCGACGCATCGCGGGTGTAGTGACTCAAGGAGCCTACTCACTCCTCACACAGATGATGGTCACAGAGTTCTCAGTCAGTGTCAGTCAGGACGGGCACTCCTGGAGCAGTGTGCTGGAGGAGGGCTCACAAAGAGATAAGGTATTCTGTAATTTTATACTTGATATCATGGCAATTATTAGACTTTTAGTGAAATTGGAAATGGGACAAAGAGCAACACTGATCAAACTGCTGGAGTCTACATTTGAAGATACAACCAAAGATGGCACAACCACTGTGGCTATTCCGTTTAAAATTAAAAAAAAAATATCCACAGATTAAATGACTATTACTGTTCTTAATTCTTAATTACTGTTTCTCAATTTTACGTGTGAGTCTTACTGGAAACATGACTATTTTTGGTCTTCACTTGTATAGCTTTTTGCTGATGTTTTTCAGATGTGGTTTATAACTACAAATGGCAGATAAACTAACTTAACCTAACTGAAATCATTCTACAGATCTTCAGTAGAAACAATGACCCAGATGACGAAGCTCTAACGGTTTTTGATTACCCACTGTTTGGACGCTATCTTCGGATACACCCACTCGGCTGGATCAATGACATTGCTCTGAGGTTGGAGGTTTTGGGGTGTGACACACAGCAGCTTCCTTTATAGCACAAAAATAATGTGTACATTATAAACCATCTACCTGCTGCTCCTGCTGCTGCTGCTAGGCTCCTACTAGAGAATTTTTCTTTTTTTTTGTGCTACAGTTTCACACTGGATATTGTAAATAGTGCAGACATTATGGATGTATGAAAGGTTGCTTTGCTGCAACGTTGTCTTATTTTGATAAACAAGGTGTTTTTCTCTTCTCACTGAATGGGCATTTTTCTATGCAGACTGTGCAACAAAAGCTCACAGTTTAGAATTAAAAACAAAGTGTTCTTGTGTTATTCCATGATGTTCTGTTCTGTTATTTTGGCTTATCCACCTCCTGCAGAAGCTCTAGTTACTCACACTATTATTCTTTGACATGTTCAAGTATGCAGCATTGTTTGTATGTTCACAGACTAGGTTGGTCTGACAGTGTTACTGGAAGTCAATCAGTGGAAGTGAGGAGGCCTAATGAAAACAGTTGTTGTTGAGAAGGTGTTATCAGTGTGTCATTATCAGAGGAACTTTCCATTCGGATAGTGTTTCATTTGGAGGACCGTGCAAGAGACAGGACATGCTTTGACTCAACAAGCCAGTCAGCCTTAACACTCACAAAGACGCTGCTGTATAATTTTACTTGAGAAAGAATTATAATCATTCCTAAACATATTTGTATAAATTAGCATTTTTTGATGCAGTCTATATGTTGCATAGGCCTATGTTACATTAATTAAATTAGCACAGTCTTAGAGCAGACTATTCAAAGGAGCCAATGCTAAATCTTTGTTTTTATAGAAGATACAAAGCAAACCAATCTCAAATAGGATGTCATCACTTCACGTCCATACATTTTACTTAAACGACCTCTACCGATCACACTGCGTAATTACAAAATGGATTACTTCCGTGAGCCCTCTAGTCTTTCTCGAAAAGTGTCAGTAAGCATTATGTCAACTCAACCTACATCTTGTGAAGACCATGATTTCTATAAATTTATGGTTTGAAGTGCGCATTTTAAATAATTTTCCGTGTGTATAGCTGGCTACTGATGCACTTCAAAATTGTGCCTATAATTGTATTCATGCCAACTCATTTTATACACAATAGACGAACTCTATACCTTGTAGTCTATTCCGTGTAGCAACATTACTGACCTACTTCTGCACTGATTCTGCATTCCAGACTCTTAAGGATATAACCTAACCAGGCAATGTTCCTCATTCCTGTCACTGGAAATACTCCTATTAAACATTTAAACAAAACAAGCCCTACACTTGCCATTCAACTCAGGTCATTTCGTACAATGATCGTTTGTGTACATACAGATATTTTGCGCGCATGGCTGATTCACTGGAGCGTGATCTGAGGGTCTGCAATCTGCAATCAATAGCATGACTATGAATGGCTCAGGGACAGAGGTTAAAGAGGGCTGAGGAGTCATACTAGGACTATATCCCTGGGTGAACTCGTTGCTGCGGTAATGATAACAGCAGACGCCTGGATGGATGGTGTCCCTGAACAACTGCCTTCCTCCTCTAAACTGTTACGCGCAGAGATTTAAGGTTTATGAATAACTGTATCAAAAGAAAATGATGAACAACCGGACAACTGTTTTGAAATTACATCTTTATTGTTGGTTTAATAGAAAATTTGCCTGTTTCGATATAGATAGATTCAAAAGATATGAACACAAATTATACATTTTCAAGCAGCTTGGCCAGTTTAATTTGTAACATCACTGGCCTCTATAAAATATTTCACAAGTAGGATATAGCGGAATAAGTGATGAGGGGAGGTGAGTGGAGGCCTTGTTCTTACTAAAAGTGAGTCAAAGGAAAAACAGCAAGCCCTCCACTCCTCTCGTGTTACTGTAACGTAAGGCTAGGGGTGGGTGGACATAGTCAGTTTTAGTACAGTTGAAAAAAAAATACATAACAGCTGTAACATTTACCAGATTTGACCAATGTTAATGTAATGGCAGTTTAGGTGTCATGGCTCAGCTTTATACAGACCTTTGAGTGGTCATTGTTTAAAGATAATAAGTTTTGAAAGTGTTAGATCAGAGGTGCAGAGAATTGGCACAGATCATTAAGTTTAGATCAGATTACACATGGCACAGTGAGTCTGTGGTTGTTAATATTAAATAGAATGTGCCCCTGTGGAACTCTGACCTGTATGTAAAAACAGCTGGGAAAATCATTAAAAATCATACACTGGACAACAGGCATACAGCGGATTGTTCAATCTAAGATAGCACTTGATAATAAACTTGAACATAAGCTTAACACTGTCTTCTCTGATTCAGGGGTCAGTCACATAATTCTTCTGCAGAGGCAAGACAGCTCCGAGCAGGAAGAATATCATTCCTGCTTATCTCACTTTTTCACTACTTATAACAGATTTAGCTTTCCAAAAAAATAGAATCTAATAAAATAGCAAGTATATTTGTGAAGGCGTATACAGAGTACATGGATGTGGTTTAGTTGTCTTAGGTCATACAGTGAATTTTTATTTGTTTGTAATGACGGCTTCTGCAAAACATTTGAGCTCAAGCAAACATTAAAACCTTTTGAATATGCAATGTTGTTTCAAACTGAGGTTACTGGAGTCTGTATGCTTGTAGAAAAGCATTGGTAACAAGGTAGTAAGACATTTACAGTTGTGCATAGGACCACACAGCTTTTAGAGCCAATATGGCTATTAAAATAGTCTATATGTACTTTCATTAATCAGATTTTAGTAGTGTAGGCTTTCAGGTGAAATAAACTCAGTTTACTGCACAAACTAGGGCTTAGTCAAAGACAGAATATGACTGCTATATGTGATTTAAATAAAGATCTTGACTTAACTCTTTCCCCCCTGGACGCCTACTAGGAACAACCCATACATATGTTACTAGGGCTACCCATAGAGCATAATTGCATAAAAGAAAACAGACTTCCACGAGTGATTATAAATTAATTTTACACTCATGAACTTAATTGTAACACAGACATATTTGGTATCTCTGGAAACCTTAGACTCTGAACTCTTCATTTATGGATGTTTAATGTGATTCAACTCATTTATAGGTGTATAACAGCTCACTGAAGATGAGAGTTTACCTGGTCAGGTGCAAAATCGAAAACAAAAAACTACATTCAGCATTTGATATATACATGTTCTGAGTACTGTATTCATAAAAAAAATAAAAAATATACTTTGTCAAAGTATTTAAACAGATTTCATATCACCAGATACAGTATAGCCAAGCCTAATTCATTTTTTTCCATTTAACTTATTCAACTTATTTAATTTATTCAACTCATTTAGCTTATTAAACTAATTCATCTTATTATAATATAATAATAAAACTCTTCCCCGCCAGTGTGTGTCCAGTATTTGTCATCTTGTTTACTTTCTCGTGCACAGAGCTCCGCATAAGCGTTTTTTCTGTAGCGATTCTGTTATACATCGCATCTTGGGGAAAAAAAGACTGAAATATTTTAAAGGACTAGCCTGGGCAACATCCAGATTTCAGGGCAATTTTGGTTCATAATCGAGTATAAAGCCCGGATAGTTTGTTCGGATATCGCAGGACTCCATACAGACGCATCAGGGGCATTCTCATCTTCGTAAGATTCACTCTCTGTAAGTCCGTCGCTATCGTTGTTTTCCACTTTATAATCAACTTCATCATCACTTTGAAATCAATAAAAGTCAATTATCTAAACTTATCCATAAAATACGTCCGCTCCTCATTATTTCTAAAACTGTGCGCCGCAGCGCCGCGATCTTTCCATTGCACGTGTTTCGTGTTGTGTTACCGGAAGCTACCATCGTCACTACTTCGATTAACTTTGGAAAAAAAAATCGGCGAAAACATATCCTTGAATCCTATTGGTCAGTCTAGTGTGGGTTGTAGTGGCCCCCACCTATCACAGTCTCTGTTTAAATGTGAAAAACCGAGCAATTTCTAAAGGTCGTCAAATCACGTCTTTAGTGATACAGCGGAGGTGTCAAAAGTCGTCATAAGGGTACAGGGGGTTCGTCAAATGTCGTCTTCATGGGGGAAAGAGTTAATACCAACATCAAAAACATAATAAAAACGCAGGGATGGTAACATTATGTAATTTTCACAGTTTTAGGTACTCTAGATTTGGGGAACATGTTTTTGAATTATTAATATAGTTATATTTGTATTTAAAATACAACTAAGACCTGATACACACTGTAAAAACACCCCACCGAAAAGTGTGGAGAGCATGAGGTTGAGTTCAACTGGTTTGCTGAGGACCATTTGATTATTGAGGTATGATTGTTTGTCATTGCCCTGTTTAGTGTCAGTCTCCGAACAAACTACTCAGTAGTGAGCTTTGTGTAGCTTCGTCTATTGTCACAGATGGCACAGAATGCCAAGAGGACAATTACCAGAATGCAGTAGCACCTGAATAGTGGGTGACTAATATGACTCATTCTTCATGCTCTGTCCCAACCTGCACCTTTAAGATCCTACATTATCATCATGACTGCATCTCAGATGTAAATGTCTTCAACATATACTGCACACAAAATGACTTCTTTTTACCCCTGTTTTGACCTGTTTTGTTTGACCTATTGTAGTTCTCTTTTGCACCAGTCCAATGTTTCAAGGATGCACCTTAAAGCAGAGGTAAGTGTTTATGATTATGGTTTCACATAACTGCCAACAGCCCTCTGAGGGGAGGTAAGGATGTGTCACAGTGAGTGAGAACCTTCCACTAAAGCAGCAAATCAACCGCCTGAAAGATTGGTGACAGGCCTGAGCAAAAAACATTTCAGAAGGCTTCTTTTAATTATATCCTGATGCATTGTTATTTGAAATTGCCATCTAGAACAAAGGCGCTAGTGTATTTATTCAAAAATATATGCAGTAGCTGTAATTGTACTGCTAAAATATTAAAATTCTTAACATAGTGTTCACAAAATATTTGTATTTAATACATTTTGAAAAGCTACAAGTGTAGGCTGTATGTGGGTTTCTCTGGCAGAGTTAAGAAAAATGGAATGGTTAAAAATGGTTTAAAAGGATGCTGTTAACATGTTCACACTGTCTAAAAAGTCTAAAAAGTAACTATTACCATGATCAAAATGACTGCTTATGAGATTTCAAAAGATTGTCCATGTGAGGTTAATAAAAAATATGGCTGGAGCTGTAATTCATACATGTCAGATGTACACCTTCTGTAGTAAATGGATGAGGTGGTACTGTATAAAAAATAAAAATGCATCCGCTCACTAGTACATAGTTTAAATGCTTCAAAATGAGTATATAAAATCATAACTTTAAATGTTTGAAAAAGCTAAAAAGAAATTCAAGGTGATTACAATTAGATAAAATCTCTTCATTTAAATCCTCTTTGAGGTATTAGTTACTAAAGTTCCCACTGAAAACACATTGTTACATTTCACTCTTGTGCTTATCTCATTCTAAAATTTCCATATCATTACTGATGTGTCATCCCTTCCTCTTTTGATTCCACAGCACACTTTCTGTACTTTTCTGAAGGCGAAGAGATCAAACAACCAAATGAAAATATATTAGGGTGAGATGTTATTGGTCAGTGTATAGTAGTATATATGTCTCTGGTACAGAGGATGGAAAATGCTGGTGACTGAATCCCTGTAAATACGAAAAGCACTGAAAAGCACTCTAGCTTTAGTCTAGAGTTACAACAGGTATGTTCCATAAAATAGGCATTATGTGTGACCTTAGTGTGGTGTCATTCAGATATGCGTCTCTACATCCGTGTATCCAGGCAGCATGTCTCCGTTGGAGCAGCTCTTGGCCTCAGCTGAAGGAGCAGAGGGTAGCATGTGAGCAGTAGTGGACGCCTCCTCGGGACATGCAGTCGACTGGTTTCTCTGGAGTCTGCTCTGGACCAAGGGCACAAAGAAGAGCACCACACCACCCACCATAGGAGGGACCCCAGCCAAAGAGAAGGCCACCGTGTAGTTTCCAAAATAATCTCGTAACAGGCCTAGCAAAGGACATATATTTATTTCACTTTGCAAACACGCACAGAAATAGAACACATTTTGTAATGGCCTGAGCACATTAAGCATTTCACCATATTTAAGTTTCGAATTCAAAAGATCAAAACATTAACCCACATAACAACATGATATTACACAACATGTAAGGCATCCTGATTCCACCTCCATCCCTATAATGAGATGGGACAAAATGGAGAGGTGCTATTGTGTTACACCCATAGAGTGTATATATAAATGGACATAACTAACGCACTAGCCGTTCCAAATAGGAAGTTCGCATGCAGGCGCTTCCGGCTCCTACTGACCCTGGCTCCCATTGACTTACATTGGAATATTGTAACTGCTGCTGTGAGCATTGTCATTTTGGTCTTAAAATGTTCATATTAACCAGCTCTACACGACCCTGGATTGTTTTTGCTGTTATTTTGTCAGTTAAAAAAATCACATTCATAATATAGAGCCTGGCTCCAAATTTGTCTCTGTAACCGTTAGCATCGTGAGTTTCATTTGAGTGGAGCCGAATGCTATGGGTGACGTCACACTTGCTTAGTCCACTTTTTTTATGCAGTCTATGGTTACACCAAAATCTCCAAAGCCACATCCTTTGTTACTGTCTCAACTTCAAGTTCATGTATTATACAGACTGCATACATGATGGAAAAGACACATTTCAAACTTAATACATAGGGGTCATAAAAGTGGCCAAGGTGTCTGGGGTCATACTAAGGCACTGGGGTACACTCTTGATTCTTGAAGACAGAGTACAAAATGTACTGATTCCATTTAAGCTGTTAAAATGTTTATGTTAAATTTGATGCTTGGCGCATTTTGTTAGAAAGCAAAAGAAAAGTTCAATTCTGTCAACTGGACAAAAGTTTTTGTGAAACATTATATTTGTCCAGTTGACAAATATGTTTTTGCTATGGATCCTACCTGAACGACTGAGGGATTACATAGACATAGACAAGACATACATAGACAAGTATATACAGCTCCTCTGAATGAAAAGATAAAAAATACTAGTTTCTCACCAGCTATAGGTGGGCCTGCAGTCATGGGAAGAGCCATAAGTCCGAGAATGTAGCCTATTGCCTGTGAAGCCTGCATGGGCCCAACCAACTCAAAGGCAATAGGAGCCATCATAGTGAGAAAACATCCATCGCACAGTCCCAAGAACACACACACCACAATGAGTGCTTCAAATGCGAAGCACTGAGGAATCAGCATGGACATCAGGCCCAGGACTATAAAGGACACCACCTGTAACAAAGAACACACATTAACAGAAGTTTGCCCTGTCTTATTAGTTTTTTGTAAAAGTTAATTTTTTTAACTAATGCATTTATTTTATTAACAGTATTTAATGATGGTGTAAAATGTTTGTATTTTCTTTTACCTTTTGCCTTCATTGCAAGAAGAATGTTTTAATAAATTGCTGTTATTTGCAGATGTTTTGATTTCAAACACTGGTGTGTCATTCTGACAAAAAACAATTAATCCATGCTCTATCCTGCTATTTAAGTGGTGCTGTTCCTAATGCCAAAGCATGTGTATTGTGTACTTCAAAACCCGGAAAGAGATTTTTGTGCCAAATAACGTTTTTAAAATACGTCTACTAGAGCCCGACCGATATATCGGATGGCCGATATTATCGGCCAATATGGGCACCTGGAGACATATCGGCTATCGGCCGATATGCTTGCTGATTTTGGCCGATATTTCACGTGGGCATGTTATACCTCGTTATAAAGCTTAGACTTTCTACATTATGTTCATTTAATCCAATTTACAGACAGATAAATGTCCTAATATGTGGCTCTGCATCAGTATTTATCTGCGGTGTAATTTGTCTGTGTCCGTACTGTCCCTGAACACACCACAGAGTGACGTCACTTCACGCGCGTGTGTTTGTTTACACCCGCAGTGGTGCGCAACTCTGAGATTATTTTCTTTTTCGGACAATCGGTTTGAGTCTGGATTAAAAGGACATTTATTAGTGCAGACTTGTGATGTGAGGAGGAGCCTGTGTGAGCGTTGAGTGTTGGAAATACATCGACTTTGAAGCTAGTTTAGGTTTTGTTAGCGGTTTAGCTGCTGTAGCTCCCGCACATAAACAGGCTGTTTTCTATTGGTCTGTTGTAAAGTGACTAAATTGGCCGTATATTTGTTACTGGACCTGCATTGATATGTAAATGAGCTGTGAATAGAGTGTGAATGATCCACATTTATGCTTATAATTAACTACCGCTGTGCGCAGCATTTACGGCTAAAGGCTAATAGCGATAGTTTACTAGCTAGGAGTTATGGGTCGGTTGCGATCGAAGCGGCTCTTAGATCCGGCTCTTTGAAGCGAACAACGGGAGCCTGCTTCTTATTGGGAGCCGTGTTTTCTCTTTTTCTCACTTTTTCTCTTCATGCCGCATGTAGACCCGTAGTTTGACAGCAGCAGCGGCTGAAAACGAAACTTTCAGAAATCTGCGTGTGCATAGGATAAAAAAGTGCATATTTGGCTGTAGTTCAGCATAAAATGAATAAACCAGGACTAATCTTGGGCTCGAGTGCAGGAGAGAGATAGAAACCGAGTCCCGACACTCAGTCCTGGTTCAGTTCTGGTTTAGTCCTGCTTGCAACAAAACAATCTCAAGAGTCGCTTGGGAGCCGAAAGAGCCAGCTGCTTTAGTGAGCCGAGCCAAAAGAGCCGGTTCTCCAAAAAAAACAAAAAAAACTAGAATACCCATCACTAGTAGCTAGAATGTGATGCAAAAATGCCATTAGGCCAATCTACTGTATGTAAATATGATGTAAAGAGTCAAAATAACAATAAATGTTGCCTAAATAAACCCAATTTAGAATCCACGAGAGCCAAACCTAAGTTTTTTAATCAATTCAAGATTTACAGTGAATTTTTACATCACTAAATATATCGTGATTATATCGGCAGCTTCAACTCCCATTATATCGGTTTCATATCGGCCACAACAAAATCCATATCGGTCGGGCTCTAACGTCTACCATAGTTCATATAGTAATAGGGAGTTGGTGCTGAGAATTAAACTAGAGCCTTAGAACAGTCACGTTCATCACATGATCTTTTGTGTATGTCTAGTGTAGGTAGAAATTGGCCACATTTCGTGTACATTTTTCTGAACATTCGGATGTACATTCATGCCAGCAGAAACTGCTATACTTATTTCTCAAATTTTCTCTTATTTTCTCAGAACCCTTTCTACTCAGGTAATTGGTACCAGCAAAAAGGATCTTGTCATTCAGTCTGCTGATTGAACATGTATGTGTACACTGAATCCGGATACTGTGGACAGTCCATAACAACCCCAATTTTCTGTGAAAAATTATAGTAATTTTGCAAATAGCACAAATACTACTTGTTAGCATGTATGCTACATAAGCCAAACAGTACAATGTTCTTCTGCATATCACTGTGAAGTCAGTCCCTATGACTACTACAATTAGTACTTTTTGTTTACCTGCATGTATATTTTCTTTAGACCAGAAATAAGGTCTCCAATCTTTCCAAACAGCAGACGACCCACTCCTGACGAAGCACCGATGCAAACCAGAAGAACCCATTCCTTATTAGTGTCTTTAAACCTCTCTTTTACAAAGTTCATCTATGCAAAAAGACATCAAAATATTACTGTTCTGGGAAACATTTATCACAATAAATAACATAATTTATTTTTTAAATCATAAGAAACATGACGAGAAGAACTAGGTTGGACACTCCCTGCACACTGAAGTTTCTCCTGGACATGCTGGTCCATTTGAAATATTTGCTCTGCTTGGAAGTTATCTACATTCTTCACCGTCCATAGGATAGGCATGTTTAGGGACATAGAGTTAGCATACGGGAGAGATTTCCTGAGGTGAGCGTTACAAAAGCCGGAACGGTGTTTACATCTGGGCCTCGCCTGAAATAACAGGCCTGACAGAGGGAGGCCTGAGTGGGAACATCCGACATCTGGATGGATGGAGATCAACTTAGCATAGCAACATTTCACCAACCATGTCAAAATGTCTTTGCATAAAACGAACTACAAAAGGTTATGCAAACTCAAAATATTGTATTTAAAAATAATAGTTAGTTGGAATTTAGCAAATTAAAGCTAATTTAAGGAGCATGCAGTTACGGTACAGTGGCCTGTGCAGAAACACCACCAAACCTTGCAGACTTATATTTCCCCATTATCGAGGCAACCTCATGAATCTAAGGGATTTACAAATACTGGAAGGGTCTATACAACTTCTACAAGGGTAGGACATGTAGAAACCTCAATGAAAAAGATCTTAATATTACAGAAGACACATAAAAACAGAGATCCTTTTAGTGATTACCTGAGGTTAAGTTATGTTAAGTACTTACCAGATGGATATATGGTACAAAGTAGCCCAAGACAGCAGTGGCCACGCCAAATGCCCACACTCTGTAAGTGATGATGTGAAATACCCGCAGGTTAAAGTACTTTCTGATTCGATTAAGAGTTTTGCTCCACCTACTCACATCTTGGGCATTGGTCCCTGGCTGTGTCTGTTCTGGACACATACCAGGGGGGCCCATGCTCTCACCAGCAGGCAGCAAAGGTTTGAAGGTCAATGCAAGAAAAGCTTGCACAAGCATAAAAATGCTTAGTATCTGAAATGTCTTGTCTAGTCCCAGAGATCCAACCACCTTGTCTATTAAAACTGGGAGACCCATTGAGAAGAGACTGGCACCAGCAGTTACCACTCCATTGACCAGCCCTAATCTCTGGCGGAAGTAGTGACCCAGGATGACTAGGGATGGCTGGAAAGCAAAGGAGGAACCACATCCAAATAGTATACCATAGGTAAATAGCGAAGAATCAGTGAGCTGCAAAAGAAAAGAAAAAAAGATTATCTTAAAATCATGAACTACAGCTACTACTGCACTACTGATAGTACTGATACTACTACTATAATATATAATAATATTAATTATACATACTTTGCAAATGATGTACTTAGCAGTCCTATAAAAGCCAGTAATGCACCACTGACAGCTGTCTTCCTGCAGCCAAATGAGTCTGTGAACATGCTGACCACTGGTGAACACAGGAAGATCATTCCCATGGCCAAGGCGCCAACCCAAGCTGCAGAAAAACAGACAAAATAGATTAATCTATTAAACAATTTTAGTTATTATTTAAATGTATCCAGTTTTATATAAAGTTATGATTGTTGGTGTAGAACTGATTTAAGAATTTCAACAATAGAAACAATAATTGTTTTTATATTTGTAATGTATGTAGTGGATGTAAAGTTCAAAGCATTCACACTGGCATATCTACTACATTATAAATCAAATCTTAAGTTGTTATAAAGTTGATAGTGGCTCAGCTTCTAACCTGCGTTAAAACATAACCATATGTACAAACTCTGTGTTCTATAAACAGAGAACAAACAAGTCTGGCCAAGAGAGCAAAGGTAACTTTACTGACTGGCGGGGTTTCTAGACAGTAGGCCACTCTACTCTAATCCAATGCTCAGATGCACTGACATCAGAGGACTATGACAAACTACGTGCACACAGCAAAGTCTATAGGCCAGCATACCACATACATGCAAGTTTACATAACACTCTTTATTGTGGGTCTTTGAACAATTTGTGCTGCCAGTAATGGCCAGTGCATTAGTGAGTACAGAACACACTGTGCTGCTCTATCTTTATATAGATTGAAGGGTGTAGTCCCAGGATCCTATAGTTTATTCAAATGGAACAAAAAGGGGAAATTTCTTAAGATACAGTTTATGGACAAAACAGATGCTTCCCGGCATTTAGCAACTTCCTAAAATAACAGCCTGTTCATAAACGTGTATGCCAGCCCCATGTCCGATCAGATTAACCCAATTATCCTTATTTGCCATTCGAGTTTGAGCGTAGTCTGTTTTAAGCATGTTACCTTAAAAGTCTTTTGAACTCAGGGCAATGTTTGGGTTAAAGATGAAATATTTGCATGTCTGGTGAATGTGTGTCACTCCACATTTCGCACTCCAGACAAATAAATTAGGCAAAGCAGCATTTGGATTCATGGCTTATCATCCTTCATCAAAATGGCTCTTTTTATTCCTGCATATTCAATGTATAGTCTAAAATCTGCAACAAATAGTGTGTCTCAAAGTTCACTTTCAATTAAACTTTCCACCCAATAGTTTTATCCAGATTACTAAAGCTGGCCAAGAATTGTGCACTCATTATAGACGATTAAAAGTGAACACTTTGAAATACAGGGAAACAAATACAAAGGATTTGTTGTATATAATGTTGAGTGGGCTTGACCAGGGCTTATTTTTGTGACAGATGAAACGGAACAGCAAAGGAACAAATGCAGCCTCTTTATGGGACAGGGCTTTAAGAAACTGTGGAATTCACATTGTGGTTTGTCAATACCATGGTGGATCTGTCACACCATCAAAACAATGAGCAAGCACAGGATGGGAACACGCTACTATTAAACAATGGGGCATGATGTCTTAAGATCGTCTTGGGCACAGCAACAATGGCAATGATTATTTTTCAGAAAAGCGGAGGTACAAGTCATTAAGTGAAGGCCATAAGAAGGATGTGACGTCTTGTTGTCCATTCATGTGTCTAAACGTTTTATAAACAGAGTTTAAATCTTGTTTTGTTCCTCAAAACAGAAGTATGAGGAACAAGTGGTTAACAAATGAAATCTTATTGACATATGATATAATATACATTTTGTACAATATACATAAGTAACAAGAGTGTATTTTTGTACTTAATCTTCCACAGAATGTTCTGTGAATGGTCAGATGGGGAAAAAATGTGTATTGAAACAAATGCTTTTAACAGCAATATACACAATTGCTTCTTTGTTCATAAAATGTCCTTCTCATGCAGCAAAACATGATTTTCATTCCCAAAACGCAATATGGTCCACATGGGTATCAGCTAATAGAATAATAGTCCATGGTAGCAAAGGGAATGTGTAGTTTAGGTATTGAGTATGCATTACTATTTAACCTTTATTTTCTATAAAAAAGTGTTGTTGTTGTTATTGCTAGTGACAGGGTGACCGGGAATAAAGTTCAGGACTCAAGTCCTACATGTTTACATCCTGTTCACTGTTAAAATACATTTATGGATTTCACTCTGAGACAGTTTCAATAGAGTGGAATGTGAAAAATGCCAAAGTACTCCCTGAACAGCCAACCCAATGCAGTGATTAAACTATCACAAAACAAAAAACAGAGAATTATCAGTAAAAGAAAGAGAATGTTTTTCTTTCAAAAAGATAAAAGAACAGCTTTATTTTTCAGCTTGAATTGTCATTATCATTATGGTGATGACATGTTCAGATATTATGGAAATCCATTAGAAACAAGTGTTATGCTGTGGCTGAGGTTTAAGTATTGCAATGGACTGTAAAATTAACCACAAAAGTGCAGAAATATCACTTGATGCCCTAACTTTCGGCTTATATCTCAAACATCTATTTTTCCAATTATTAATGGCTGACTAGTTTAAAGGATTGCTAGAGGACCTACTCATGAAAAATGAACAAATTAATTTATGGTATAATGCATAGCTCTCCTAATATGTTACTATTTAAGTTGCGCATGTATCAGCCATTTCTAAGAACACTCTTTTGTTATTTCTTTGATCCACAGAAATAGTTCAACAGTCCAAAACAACAAGCACAAGTACGTACTGTAATAACACCTCATCAAAGACTACAGAAATGTTGCAATGCAAACTGACCCCTGGTGTTCCATTCTAATGTTTTTTGTTTTTTTGTTTTAACAAACGTACTTAATATATTTATGAGCAGGAACATTAAACAAATAAATGCAATATCATGTAAGATATCTATATTTGACATTAAGTATGGTATATATCAATGACTTCACTACAAATCTAAATGTTGCTCTCCTTCTGGAGCATAAATAAAAATAGCACATAAACATATATGTTAATAATAATGTAATGACACCTATAGGTAATGACACTTATAGGTAATGACACCTATAGGTGTCATTACAAACTGATGTTTGTAATCTGCTCTGTTTTTGATTATGTCTCTTTGTTCTGGCTTTTCTCAACAAATATGTAAAGAAAATTCAGGATTAATATTCTATTTTCAATAAACAAAATATTCAGGCTATATGTAAAAGTAGTTTGCAATAAAATACATTGTTTGGTTGTCATTTATAATTTCACAGGCATTCATATGTTTCACATTCCATATTAATATGTTTTATTGTAATTAAGGACCTCTAGGATTAGCATTAATTTCTGCATCACAGTGTCTCAAACTATTTTGTATGAAGCTAGGTGTCCCAAGTTAAACTCAGCTCAAGTAGGACAACCCTGGTCACATGCTGTCCTGCTTTCCGTGGGAACTAGAAAGCAATGCACACTGTGTAATAATGTTTTTTTTCTACTGTGAAGACTTCAGAATGTCCTTAAGGGTCACAATGTTACGGACCAAGGACACATGAGATTATAATACAAAACGCTTATTAATGTGGTGCTAATGAATAATAGACCACAATGGAACGGTCTTGGCTCATATTAATTACTAGGAAATATGCATAGCCCATCTGTCATTAATTTCAAATGTAGTCCGCACCCTTTGGTATGAATCAGCAGTGACACAAGCACACAGGTGTCACCTCAATATACGTTTAGTGAATTCACACGTAAAGTGATTATTGAACTTGAATGACATTTCGCATCTTTAACACAAATAGATTGAGTATTTGTAAAAGTTATATTTTATAACATTATTATATGCAAGATCTATTGACTTGTTTATTTCATTGATGTAACAGCTTACTTAACTCCGGATACTCACCCACTTTGAACTGGGACGTCTTGTCCTCTGGATCTGCGTGTTCCTTTACCAACATCAAGTGAAGGATGCCGAAAGAATTTTGAATCCCAAAAATTGATCCATTGCACCACGTTGCTGCAAAGACTACCAGCCAGCCGTAACCTCCTTCAGGCGGGACAAAGCCTGTTCCGGGTCCGTGGCTCTCCACCTGGAGTCCGGACTCCGAGGAGATGGGAGGTTTGCAGCTGGCCTCTATGAGCTGCACGGAGCTATCCTCGTGGGCGACTTTTCCCTCACCACCCGCTACTTGCTCGGTCTTGTCAGAATCCCGGGCAGCATCTTTGTCTCCCACCTGAAGAACCGGAGCCGGTTGGCCTTGATTGTCTAGCCCGTTGATCCCCATGTTGTCTGGTCCACTGTTGAGGTTAATGTGTGCTCTTGGCGATCATGCATGGGATATAGGTCACTGGCATACGCACAGAGATTTGTACAAGTGATAATGTACAATACAAGCCTCCTATAAGCCGCAGGAAACGAGCAACAACTTCACTGCATGTTCTTATTCCTTACCAGAGCGCTGCGGTTTACCTGCCCTACATACTCAGTGTAGGCTATTTTCGTGTGTTGCGCACATGCTATACTATACTAGGCTATAGCTGGCTGTATTTACTATTGCAGTCTTCACACAGTGGTGCCAAACCATTCGCCGATTGTAAAGTCCGCTCCGCTTTCCCGTTTTTGCCCGTCCGTATCCCGTTTTAAGAAATTTTGAGCACGACTCGCAACATCTCTTAGAGCTAAAAAACAAACATATGGTGGGTGCTCCTCCTCTCTTACGTTTTCCTCTGTAATGTATGACAGATAGGTAGGCCGTACAAATCCGTGGAGCTGTGTCTTTAAGCCTCAACAGAAACACAGCGTCACTCTGGCGCTGCTGCCCGCCTCCCTCTCACTGGACAAACCAATAGGAAGGCGGCCTGCCCAGTAGGCGTAAATGCTTTGAAGCAGTTTATTAAGAAGTGAACGAAATAGCTACAATAAAAAGAGTAGGCTATCAGAAGTTAGGGCCGCCTGTTGGGTAAGAATTTGACCCCTGACAAAGACACTCTTCTATTTTCTTCTCTTGGATGAAAAGTTATTTGAATAAATCCAAAAGTACAAGCTTTATCTGAACACTTCATTGTGAAGAAGGTGAAAAAAGGACTGCACAAATGTGTGAACATTTTAGGTACTGTATGTACAATAACAATCACAATGCTGTAGAACAACTTCACTTTTAATAATTATTTAAAAAGGCATACACATGTTTTTTTTTTTTGTTTTTTTTTCTCAAGACCACATTTATATAGTCAGAGGGTTCTATTGTTTCCTATGTTATTACATAAAATTGTGTTTATATGTCAGTTATCTGGCCATAAACTCATTGTACTAGGAAACTTCAGGTTGAGCTCCTCTCCTTTTTTGTAAGACGGCTTTGTCAAGATTCAAATAAGTAAATTCCCTCAATATTTTTTGGCATTTTGCATATTGATGACACAAACCCAAGTTGTATCTCCTTACGCTCAATGAATATATTGGACGGGCCATGTCTCGTTTGCAGAGCTCCAACTAGGCTGTACTAGCTAATGAATGATTGAGGTTTGGTATTGAGTAGGTCTTTCAACCTTTCCGTGACCCATAGTAGAATTATTTTTTTTATGTTTATTTCCAACTTGTTTTAGTTATGGTATCTGACATGTGTGAGGTTCATTGGGCTTTCTGTTTGACTTGTCTGGCTTGAGAACTAAAACAAAAAAATTGAAACCTAAGCCATTTAACTGAGACATGTTTTCGTAAGAATAGCCTAAATCAACATGACAGTTGTTATCAGCAAAATCAATATTTGGGTTGAACATGTCTACTTCAAATCTGAGGCCATAGACATGTTTCACATCACAGATGAGGTCATGTTTAGACAGATTTATTTATTTTTACTGTGACATCATTTCAGTTTTCATTTCAACTTTCTTCACTTGATCGCTTATTTTTTTACTCTTTATTTTTCATATTTTAAGTGATATAAAAAAAAGACAAATAGGATATAACATATGGGGTGTGCCTTTGATGCATATACATGAATAGTTACTTCCACCAATTGCAAGCAAAACAACAATCAAAATACAAGGTCTTACAGTTTTGATCATAGTTTTGATACATTCAGTCCACCATTCCCATTAGTTCTTAAATTTGTATTGTTGCAATCTGATACTACAAGTAATTCTCTCCATTTTAAAAATATCATAGACAATATCAAACCATTTATTCAGTGTTGGTATTTGTGGATTACGCTATTTCCTAGATTTCTAGCAGCTGCGCTCAAAATCTGGAACAGGTATTTAACTTTGTATGTCACATTTTCACCCATCAGGAAACCCAGATACATTGTTTCAAGTTAAAATGGTATGTCAATACAAAACAGTTTTTAATGATTTGTGAATTTCCCTCTAAATGGAACAATATGAGGACATGACCAAAATATATGGAAATAACTTTTGTTATATCGCTTCTGTTGGTCAGCTGCATGTTGGTGGTCATTCTGATGTTATTAGATATTATATATTAGTTTGGGTTATTTTTCATCATACAATTTGGTGAAAATTATCCAGTCCTGCCTTATAAAGACCTACCAGCTATCATCAACTCTTATTGGTCATCAGTTACTCTGGATTAAAATTTCAACAAAAAATCTGGACTACCAATGAAAAATACATTGGTGAATATTTGTCAGTATAGGACAGCAGTTTGACAGGTAGGTTAGGAATATTGGGGTTTCCAGCAGTCACACAACAGGGTTCAAATTAAGATCAAACCAAGTCTGGACGCATCTTGGGTTTAGAGGCCAAAGACTGGATCAATCAGAAAGATGAAAGTCAATTGTAATGTTATTCAAGGTCCTACATTACACAGAATTGACTCTTGTGAGCTTTATGCCATGTTAAAATGCTGTTATCTTTTCAGAACATACCTGGAGTTGTATTTTGTTTCATTCTTTCATTGTTTGAGTAACCCTTTATTATTACACTGTCTATATCTCCAAAGCTCAAAACACTCTGTGCCACCTTGTGATATTATGAAGAGGTAGTTTTCAAGTTAACAGTAACCCTTTGCCTTTAGTTCAGTGGAGACTGGGAACTCCGGGGCTGAAATCATCCAAATGATTCTAGTGAAGGTGTATGGAGTTTAAAAACACAGTGGCACACTTCCTGTATGATCACATGATATCACAATGTGGAACAGTGTTTTCAGTTTGAGAGAAGAACTCACTCTAAATATACAGGGTTTGTGTGAAGTAAACAAAACACAACACCAATTATGTTTGTGATCAGGGAACATTATAACATAGATCAGAGAATGGCACAATATGAGCCCTTTAATTACAAAAACCTTGGACATGAAGGTAGTTGTTTATGTTGTCATTTGATGTGTGGTTCTCTGGCAATTATCCAATCAAAAATATGGTAAATGTAATACTTCAGTCACTGGTAAGACTTCAGAATTCAGGTGCTCCCTAGCTCTTTCTAGTTCGGATATACATTCTAAATATGCTTGGCACTATGAATCTAATTTTTAAAAAATGTTTTTCTCACACTACTCAAATACTCTGTGGCGATACTAGAAGGAGGCAATATGTTTGCAATATAATCTGCACAACATAATAGCACAATGATAATTTCTGATGGCAACTACTTTAATCAAATGTTGCAAGACTTTACCTACACTCACCACTAGATGTCACTACAGCACAATATGAGGGTCTACTGGAGACAAAGTCAGTAAAAGCTATTTAGCGCTTCGGAGGGATCATAATAATATGGTATGTAATGGACACACATGTTGGCTTTGGCCATTTAACTAAAGGCCTTTTAACTATACTTTTCCTCATGGGACTTTTACTTTTTTGGAGTGCCTGGATTTTGTTGTGTCTAAACAACTGTATTATACATTAAAGTATACAGTATTATATATTAAAAACTGAGCATATTGTTTGCGTAACAAAACACTTCAGTTCAAGTCTTCTTGGGTTCTTTTATTAGACTCCTTTACACTGTAACATGTGTCTGTTTTTTTCTTTTCTGTTCAAATCAGTTGAACAGAGGATAATTGCATAATGTTAATGCGTTATGTATAAATTTGAAGTGGCCTGATTATGAGGACATTTGTCACAAAGAATGAGCAACACCATCATGTCTGTTTCTAATTCTGTTCTGAAGATGAGTCAGCTCTTCTGTGTATTTGTTGAGCAGTAACCCTAACCCTATATATAGCTCTTCACATAGGACAGATCAATGTTACGTGACTACCCCGGGATTCCTTTTAAGGTGAAGTTGAGCATTTAGTCAATAGTGGTGCTTCCTGTTTGAATTGGAATTCTTCAAATCCTATGAGAGGTGTGGGTACGGAGGAATGAGTGTCTGTGTAACATTAGTGGGATGTCAAGAGGCCCACACATTTGGAGGCAAATGAAATGTGGTCATATTTCACGTAATTTCAATTGTGAGAAGGCCGGTAATTGAACAAGATAGATATCATCTGAATGTAAAAAACAGGCCCGTTTATAGTGAACAAACTAAGCATCTATAAAAACCCAAAGGTATACAGCACACTCACAAACTCTGAAAAGAAAAATATTGCTTATGGTGACCTGTACTCAGATTGAAAACAGGTATCTGTATTCAGAGAATCATGGGATTGTATTTTAGTGAAGACAATTTTTACATGGTTTACAGGATCCAGACCACCAAAGCCATAACAGTCAGCATATCAGCAGTATGAGCAAGACCCAGAGCTTACCTGCTCAGCCTGGCGTCACCTGTGAAGAAACTACTGAGAGTACAGATCTGCAAAGATAGAAAGGGACTAGTGAGTCACGTACATGCAGAAACAGGATGCAAGACATAACAAAATGTATTCTAAAGTTATGAGAATTCCTTCAGTTTTCAAACTAATAAATATTTATCAGAGCATACGCAGCTGGCTGAGGTCATTTCAAACAACCAAAACTATTGTTTAGGTTAGTTAGCTTAACAGCGTCTGCACATTGTTTTGTTACTTTTTTAAGTAGAGCTGAAGTATTGGCAAACATTTTGGGCTTAAAGGAAATGTATGTATGACCAAAAGGAAACGTATGTATGTATATATGAAATATAAAACGAAAAGCTGTTGTAAAAAGTAGGTTCAGTAAAGCCTCTGTCCTCATTTTTTGGGGTAATAGTGTTGAAGTGTATCTGAAGATAAATTATGGCTTGTACCACCTTGTTACAGGTTGTGCAACGTCCTCACATGACAGATACAGAACAGACAAATAAATGCAAAGGTGATAAAAGAAGTGAGTTGTATTAGCTTTTCTATTGACTGAAGTTCCATCTTATATAATTTACAATTTAAGACAAAATGTTTATGAGGCAAATATAAATGCTTGGTGCTTGCTGTCTTTTCCAGTCAATATAGTATATGTACATCTGATCAGTATAATTTGTGAGAATATCTGTTTAATACCAGACCTGACTGAATTAGTGATAAGTTACATAAAATAGTAATCACAAAGACTATTTTAATGATTGAATGCAGACCAAAAGTGCATGATACAACTCAACTTTTTGTCTTTGACCTTTCAGTGACCCTGAGTAAAAGTAATTTCTGTCACCAAAATGATATGCACACATCTACACACCCTTTAAAATAGGTCCTAAGAAAAACGAATTTACTTTCTGTAAATCTATACAGTAATATGATCTGATCTGGCTGTAATTATAATCAGGCAGAAATCAGGATGCAGGTTGAGACACATTCGTGACTAAATCCATGGCCCAAAGCTGTCTGCAATGTGGGTGCACAGAAAAAATGTGAAATGATTTGCCAGCTTTTCGTCATAAAAGAATAGGGCAACACAAAGCCCTTATCGTTCCATCCAAACTGCCACAATGGGGGTATCAGGGGTTGTGATAGACTTCTCTGCTTCTTCACCTCCCCTACTCAAACGTTCATAAAACACACACTGACCTTACGCCCCAACCAACACCTGCAAACTATTCAGAAAGTCTTTAACATTCTCTGAGCAAAGTAATCAAAAACAGCCTTTACTCTCAGATCGCTCACACATTTTAGACATGCACAAACTTGCTTCCCGCTGCTACTAACTATGTTAATGCTCAGCAACCCTTAGGCACATGATGTACCCCTGTTTCCAAATTACCCCGAAATTCTGACAAACAAATAAAAGCTAGCCCAAATGTTTGGTTGGCTGGGCTGATGGGAGTGAGTGGTGAAGAAAAAGAAGAATGGAGTGGGCCTATAAAAAAGCAGGGAGGGTGGGGGTGGGGGGGGGGGGGGGGGGGGGGGTGCGGAGGAGGAGAGTCTGAGCGGAACAACATAAGACGCTGACAAACAGAGACAGAAAGGAGACAGCGAGGAGCACACGAGGACTTCAAACTAACTACAACCCACAGCATCAAGCAGGTAAAGACTTTCAATACTTTTCACAGTTTACTGCTTGACACTCATTCATTTAGTTATGTCTGCAGCCACAAAGAACCGCCAAAGGAAACTTCTAATCATCACTATGAAACCCAATAGCATAGAAAATATTTGTGTATTTTATGTAGGCTATTACATTGTATCATATGTTTTCAACCCATTAGGGGCCACTTCATTCATGTTGGGTTCCCACACAGCAGACTGGACGGCTGCCAAAAAATGGAGGTGCTGCTTTGGCCACCCCAACAGCAGACAAAATCTCCCGGCAGTTTGAGTTTATTTATGTGGATGAGATCATTGCGAGGGACAACACAAGTTTTATAATGATGTTCAGATATCAAAACCGCTTTCACATGAATTCATGAAGATTTGTGGGTAATTTGCTGCTCTGACTTTCTTTCACTACGGTCACAAACTTTTAAAATTACTTTTCTAACTAAATATGGTCAGAGTGAAATACATTTCAGAGTGATTAACATATTTGTCACTATGTGTCACTACAGATTATTTTTTGTGAATTTTTGAGAATTCAAGTTTACTGTAATCTCTCTGTCCACAGATATGAAGTCACTCTGCAGACACCACATGTTACTTCTGCTTTTCCTGAGCACCTTGCCTTATTTCAGCCACCTCTTCACCCAGGCTGCCTCCACTTCTCCCCCTGACACTCAAACACCAATCTTATTTCTGACCTCTAAAGACAACTCCTATGATGATGACGATGAAACTGAAATCATTCGTCCCCCTGTTAAAACCACCGTAGTGAACCAGGAGCCCCCGCAGCTCTGCCAGTACAACTCCTGTCTGGAGGATCAGCCGTCATGTGCTGTTGTTTCCCAGCAAACTGGCTGCCTTTGTCCTGGGCTGAGTGGGGCCTCTGAGCCACCTCATGCTCCACGGATTCACAGTCTGCTCCCAGTGAAGGAGGGGCCAGACAGAGGGAAGACTGAGGTACAGTGGTGTGCACCGTCCTCTGTTGTCTCTGGATATAGAGTGCTTATTGAAGGGCATACAGAAAAAAAACAGGAATTTAAAGACACCAAGAGGAGAAGTATAATTGGATACCTTGAAGTTGGGACTAAGGTGTGTGTGGAGGCGGTGAATGGTGCAGGATACAGCAGTCCCTCTGAGTTCTCCTGTAAACGCTATGAGCCCCCAACAACTTCGGATCACAATCTGATGGTAGGAGTTCTAGCAGGCGCAGTAATCCTGTTTCTTCTCCTTATCATTGGAGTGATAATCATCTGCAAATATCGAACCTGTCAAAAGAAAAAGAGAGAGTCGGATGACGGACTAGGAAATCCTTCTTACAGTGTAGGAGGAACCCTATGAACTACAGATAGTAGGACACAAAACAGGCATTTTATTAAAATAAAAATGTGGTTAACAAATCAGTTTATTAAAATACAATTATGTTTCTGTTTCAGGAAACTGTGTGATCTAGCTTATTAACAGTGGAACAATACTAATCAATTGTATGGCTATTTGATATTTGTCACTGGAGTAGAACAATAGGTTAATTTGCAGGCAAATCAACCCAGGCAGGCACTGTTGTAGACTTCCTCCTCATATGTATTTTTGTGCATAGTATTTTGGGGTTCCTTTTCATTAAATTAAACATTTTCTGAAAAATAATGTGTGTGTGTGTGTTTTTTTACTATAAATGATTCATTAATGATGTAGTATAAATGTACCTGTTTTATATTAAGCTATCAATAAAACATAGCATAGCTTTTTGGCCCAGAGTAAAATTACATTCTTCTTCCACAGAAGAAGACACTACTCTCTGCAAGCCCCGCCCCTTCCTCGTTTTGTCACCTCCTGAACAAGCCCTGAATGAATCCAGCTTTTGATTATTTACTGCACACATCTTCAGACCTTGAGGTATCTGTCAAGTAAGATGGCAAAAACAGGTGAGATTTCATATTTTGGTTGGTTGTAAGACTGTTTAACTACTGTTAATACCCAAACTAACATATTGAAAAGTAGTAGCTAGTAGCTACAGGTAGCCTTAAATAGTTTTTTAAGGAAAAGATCACGGAATAGTCACTCAGATTGTGTTTGTTTGTTGAGAAAGATTTAGTACTGAACATGTTTGGGTGGTATCACTATCATTTGAAGAGTTGTTTAACTAGTGTGTGGATGCCGGGTAACCATGACTCAGCAAACTAGTGTTGTTCAGGAAGAAGTAATCCGAAGCAACAGACAGCAGGGGTTATGCCAAAACAAAGCGTGCTATCCAGCAACTGAAGGTGTAGCATTCTCCTGATTTTTCACACCTTTGGTAAATATTTTCATATTTTAGAATATTTTTCAGCAATACTGAAACGCAGTAGTTTATGAGGTAAATACAAATAGGTCTTGATGTTGCTTCAGCCATTATGAAATCAAATTGAAACTTGAAATGAATAAAATGTGTAATGAGTATAACAAGCTGCATTACAAGCTTAACACACCTTTTCTTCAGTTGTCATCAAAATGGTATGTGATGACAGATAACGTGCGTGCCAGTGTCTCAATAAGTAAAACTGGTCTCCTTAAATTACACTACTTTCTGATCTATGCTATAATATTGTTTCCTCATTAAAAACATACCAAGTTGTGTTTTGTTTCATTCACACATATTTAACACACAAACTCTGTATATTTGGGCTTCTTAGTTGTGAAAGAGAAATCACTTCTACCTTGTGATGTCATGTGGTTATACAGGAAGTGCTTCACTGTGTTTTAAACTCCATACACCTTCACTACAATCATTTTGATTATTTCAGCCTTGTCAGTCTTATAATACGCATAATATGAGACCTTTGAGAAATGTGCTTAATTGTGTCTCTGTCTTGCTAGTCACCAAGGTGATTTCCTATGCTGAACTCAAAGCCCTTGTTGGAAAGAGTCCCTCTTTGGTCCTGATAGATGTACGAGGAAATGGTGAATATGCTAATGGACACATCCCCGGATCAGTGAACATCCCACGTAAGTTTCCTTTGAAGAATGTTATATAATTTTAAAATAATGTTTTGTTTGCTCATTCCTCTGTGATTTAAAACATTCTTCAGTGGACACCGTGGAGACAGCTTTGTCAATGTCACCAGAGGAATTCAAGGCCAAGTATGGAGTGACCAAGCCCCAGATGGATGCTCCCGAGTTGGTCTTTCACTGTCAATTGGGCAGAAGAGGAGAAATGGCCACTAAAAAGGCCCACGAGATGGGATATATAAAGTGGGTCTATTATTTACACTAGTGGTAGAGCTAACATGTGTTTGTGAAAGAAAAGTAAACACTGCCTTGTGTTATTTGTCCTTTCAGTGCACGCAATTATCCAGGGGCATACAAGGAGTGGTCTGAAAAAGAGGGAAAATGATGGAAGAGTCCACTGAGTGTATTTAATGAAGATAATTAGCCAACTACTTTATGTCTGATGACTGTTTTGCCGATTAAGCTTATGTTGGTTAGCTTTAAACAATTAACTGTAAGTCAAAAAATAAAGTTACTGAATTGTTCTTTGTGTCATGTTTTTTTAATAGCAGGCTGTACTCTAATATTAGCCTGACTGATGGCAGAAACATGAATAGTTCTAAAATACAATTTATGAAAATGTCATTTGAACGATAGGACATTATGATAATACAAGATGCTTTATATTATGGCTACAAGATTAAAGAACTATGAAACTATTAACTAAGAAATTACCATGGATCTATGGGAATTACCTGGACGCCGCGTGGCCTTCTGTTCTTCCATCTACGTTCTAGAATGTTCGTAGTTTTTCGCGCGCTTGGAAACACGCGACAGGTGACGGTACGTACGACCACAACTTTCATCAAGAATGTTTGTGGAACTTAAAGAAGTAAGTCACTGTGTCTTTGAAAGGAAGGATACTAGAGATTAAAATGCTTGACATAGTTAGTGTGTAGGTTAACTGGTATGAAGCCAAAAGCCTTTATTAAGCTAACATCTTAACTTGCTACTTCCAGGTGCTTCGATTGCTCATGTTAATGAGTAAAAAAAACAAAAAGCAAGGCCAAGACAAAGGAGGACTGCTGATTCTCATATGGCTCGAAAAATGTCCTGATGTCCCAAGTCTTTGCTGTACAGGTAAAATAATACATGCACTAAAAAAGCACATTAGAATGGCTGTGGGGTAGCCCAAGGTTATTTTAATAGCTCCATGGATAGACCGGTCAGACAAGCTTCAGATTCCTAATTCTAGATGAGTAACTGAGTTATATATTTAAATGAAGTACAGTTGTGCAAATTTCATGCACGGCTGTTCAGGTTATTTTTTCCCCAACTATTTCATATTGGTATTACTATAATTGTGTAGTTGCTGCTGCTGGCCCTTGGTGTGCAGGGATCCACATGGAGGAGCTTTACCCAGGTGTGAATATGACATTTACTGATAAGTACACTAGACATGTACATTTACGTATGTGTGGGTATGTGCTTGGCATTAGCCTTTACAGATGTAATGAAAAGACTACATACCTGCCCTGGGTCATGTCCAGAACCTGACATAGAAGACCTGTGTGCCTTTACAGATTTGCATGGATCCCTCCATGTATTCCTGTCCTTCCCGGTAAACTTGATTATTATATTTATTTCAAATAGGAGATACCGATTTAGTACAAAATTAATACCCATTTTTAGTCAGTTATATTGTTTTTCTTGTCCAGATGAAGAATGTACACTTTGTCAGATCAAAGTGGCAACATCAGATTGAAGAATTTCTTCACACATTCAGCATAACTAATGCAGAGGTAGGCTTTACAATATTTAAGTCCATTTTCCACAGTAAATATATAGAATGGTTATCGTTTCACAGATAAGAATTCATCTTCATATTCGAATTAATCAGAAACTCTTTCAACAAGATTTTAGGTATAGTTCTCAATTTCAACTGGTCAGTTGAGTTTTATGTTAGATGTTTCTTTCATTTTCTTGCAGAGTTCAAGATTACATTAGGGTTCCACTATTTGGCCAAACTTCACTTTATTTGGATGTCTCAGTCAATACACCGTCAGAAAACCTCACTATAGCGTAAGTGACTACATAACTTTTACTTTGCATATTTGAAAACCCCCTTTCCTTTTTTTCCTGTATAGCCATTTGGAGTCTTCTAAGAGTGGCCAGCGTTGCCATGACTGGCACCCTGACATTGGCAGTAGCTTACCTCTCAGTATTCCTCCCAAAGCCATTGAACAGGGTCTTTTTGGGACTGTCACCCTCAAGCTCATCACACTGTGGAAACCGTGTGTTCTGCAGTATCCAAATGCGGCAACAAATCTCACTCAAATAAAAATATCCTTTACTGGAACTAGTAGATTTTTCTTTTTTAAATTACTCAGACATGATGTGTCTCTAAGAACATAAAAATGAATTTCAGTTAATTTCTAAGTAAGCTTAGTCCTTAACTTTGTGATGCAACGTGTTCGTTTACAGTCCTAGCAATGTTCCAATTACAGATCCATCTGCCTTTCTGCAGAACTTCCCTGCTCATCTGAACTTTCAGGAATTGGGTCTCCAAAAAGGCCATCTGAGTTTCCAAGGTAAAGAATATGGAAACAGCCTTTTAAGTATACACTTAAGTTCTTTACCAATAAAATCCTATACTTGTTTAAGTACTTGATGTAGATGCATTTTAAAACATACAGTTGTATTTTGTATGTACTGGAACCATCTGTCTTTGATATGAAGAGAGAATGCACGCCCATTGGGCCCATCTGGTTTTACAGCCTGTATTTAACAAGAACAGAACTATCTGCCAAATAAGATATAACACACAAATAAGTACCCTAAATCCCCACCACAAACATGGACATGTGCTATAGTGTATGCTTACTGGCCAGCATAAATAACTGAATAAATGCTGTCTTTTCCAGAAGGCATACCCGGTGGTGGCTCTGTCTATAAAGTGGAACAAGCGAACACCCTCGAGAGTGTTGTAAAGTCAAGTTTGTTCTCCATTGACCAAAGTTTGTTGCTTTTCCTGTTTCTGCAATACACTGACCCCTTTACGTCTGAGATTTCTGACATCATGGGTAAGAGACAGCTGGTTTTGAAATCCTATAATTCTGGTGGGACTTAAACTGACTTCAGGAGCAAGTGTGAAGATTTCATACACGTTCAACAGCTAGCGAGGTGCTGTTAGAGCACCACCTAGAGGATATACTAACCTACAACAAGCAGGCTGTGACAAATGCTATGGCAAATGAGCTCAAAAAGACAATGACAGCCCAGAATAACAGGAAAAAGGCAAGTCTGTGCAAACAACAGAAGTGACGTATTATATAACAGCAACCGTGTTGATTTTGGGTTTGGTTGCAGGATCACGGGAAGATGCATTCAGCATGTGAAGTAATCCTGAGTTCAGCCCTCAGTATTATTAGTTGCAGCAGTAACATGGACTTTAGAAATGTTTGTCTTAACACCATGAAGGTATATGACAATAGAACATTGCATGAACATGAATAAAGTAATTGTAATTATAACGGTGCTTAATATGTTCCCTAAGGTGCACAATACTCAACAAATGTCAGTGGCCATCAGTGAGTCTCTGAAGAGATTAATTTTCTGGAAGTTTGCCCCTAAAAGAACATGCTGCTCAGAACAAGTATGTGCATATTCATAAAAACACACAATATATTATGTCTTGATTTATTCATGTTCAGTGTAATATTAATCAACATTTGTGCAGATTGGACAGCAACCTGAGAAGAACAAACACATCAGAGTAGAAATGTAAATGATGATGATGGTAGTTACTTAGAATAAAAAAGGATCTTTACAACTCTAATTGTAGTGTTTGTTGGGTGTATAACAAGTACAGATGGAACAACAGTGAAGCAAGACATTTGCAAGATAAGAACAAATCTGTTCAATTCTTATTATGCCTGTCTGTTGCATCCCCATATACAGTATTTCTCTGACAAGATAATATTGTGTTGGTGTAATGTTATTTTTGCTGGCACTTTACATTTAGTAACATATTACTTTCAACAGATTAATAAATGTGTATTAAAAAGCATAAGCCGCTGGCACGTAAACACCAAACTTATCCTTGGTTTGACTACATTACATTAAGCAATGCATTTTTACAATGGAGTATATGTGTTCTCAGCCTTTTCTCCTGTACCCAAAGTCAACAGAGGAATGACACCTGTCTGAAGCTCTGAATTCAGGAGACCTTAACGGTGATGTGTACAAAAAGTCCACCTAGTGTTGAGATCACACATCCAGACATGTCAGCATATTTCTGCATTTAGCCGGTAATGATACGTGGTTTCAAATGTTTCAAGAGGGTTCTCGTCAATTGAGATTGGCCTCTGGATGGAAGCTGAAATTTAAAAAATCAAAAACATTGTTAAATGACTGCCTTTTGGCTGGACCTTTTTAATATTTGAGTGTAACCATGTTTATATCATTACATGTTGTTTTCATTCATCTTATTATTTTACAAACCAATACAAAACCAGCCAGACTGCCATTATACCTCCCATTCAATAGGGGGGGTGAGAGTGTCCAATTACACTGACGGGTTCCGGTGAATGGCTTGTTTACTTGTGACGAAAATTCCGGCCGCCAACTCTGTCTCTGTTTTTCGCGGCAAATTGTTCCTGGACGTTTGTTATTTGTTCAACCTGAATTCTTTGTAATATCTATGAGAACTAGCATTTGTCATTCACTTTATTAAAGCCACTTGTGAGAGTAAGCTGTCGTTGCTGTTATGTAGTTACACACCTACGTAACACTACGATTTTGTTTTCCGGATACTTTGTATTGTCTTGAACAATGTCTCTCGTAACTGCAGAAAGCTTGAAATCGGAGCTGGAGATGTTTGACATTGCTTGTCAAAGTGACACAATTCTGGATAAAAGTAAGTGTTGCCACAGTTTGTTTGCCCTGAATTCTCATGGTTATGTTTTGTAACATCCGTTTGTTGTTTTGCAGTGGTAGAGCAGTGTATTTGTAACCGAATACACGCGGATGAAATTGTGCTGGAATGGGTTGCCTACAGCACCACAAAGAATGGTCTGAAACTTACTATGGAAACACTTGAACAATTTGAACACGAGGTGACTAGAATTTGTTTAACAACACAAAAATATGTTTACGTACGGTATACTGTACTACATACTTACTTGTTTCAGATCCTGAACAAAAAAAGCAAATCAAAACAAAGTTTTCGAAGAGAAGAGATGCTCGGAAGAACCAGGGATATTCATTCACTGCAGGAACTGTATCCTTTATTATTCAGCCATAACATACCGCGTATTGCAGTTTTCACAGTTGGTTAGTTGTCTATTCTTAATTAATTCTTAGAATCAAAGTGGAAGAGGAAGAGGAAAATTTGCTTGATTCCTATTCTACCCCTGCTAAGGTAAATAAAATATGTATGCATAGCAAGCATGGGATAGTTCTGTAGTTTTAAAAACATACTTTTTCTCTAGGGCCAACAAAAGCGTGCATTGACTACTCCTGAACAACCTCAGTCAAAAAGAAGTGCTGCTTTGCTTGCTAGTCCAGGACTGCTGTTGTCTCCTGCCAGTTTCTCTCCCAGGTACCTTTCCCTTTATGAACAACTCAGTTTGGACCTCTTTCTTAATTTGTTTTAGTTATTATGATCTGTATTATATTCTGCAGTTTAACACCATCACAAAAGTACAGCCAGCGTGGAGGTAAGGGGGAGGTTGTGGTCTCATTTGGACTTGTACAAGGCACACGCTGGATGGGCAGAAGCTCCCCTGGTGTTGGAGTGCAGCTGGATCTGTTGGAAGGGCCAGAAGACGCTCTCACAAGCAGCTACAAATTCATGTTTCAGAGACTGCGGGATATTCGTAATGGTAACAAGATTAATACAATTTCATATCTCTTAAGTAAGGCTACATTCAAGCAAAACATTTTGTAACTTGCAGTGTTGACTGATAAGATAGAGGAGTTAGGGGAAGGTCTAAAATCTAATTTTCACATTGAAGAATTCTCTCCAGTTTCTCTTCCTGCCCAGGTGAAGGTGCAATTTAATTTTGTTTTATCTCTCTTCTATTAGCACTTATAATTACATTTGTCCTCTGTGTGCAGGATACAATAACTGTGCTTGGTCAAATATGTTGCGACAGCAATGGGAAACTAAATGCTCATTCAGTTTTGCTGGAGGCAGGACCAGAACAAGGAGGCCAACAAATACCTGTTGACTTATCAGAACTTAAAGAGTATTCTTTGTTTCCTGGTCAGGTAAGAACATTTCAAACTCATACGCACTCCCAACTCTTACGGGTGGTTTCTCCTTTGCCTGAGCGCTGAAGTCTGTGTGCTGCAGGTTATATGACCACCAACAGTAACTGAGCAAGCCAAGGACCTGGGCTATAGATTCACCCAGAGTTTGACCGAGAACTCAGACATAACAGAAAGTTTGCACTGATTTTGTTCAAACTGATTAAATTTCAACTTCATCTTTGTTAATTTATTCAATAGGTTGTTGCAATGGAGGGAATGAACTCAACAGGAAGAAAACTGGTTGCTTCCAAACTTCATGAGGTTGGTTTTCATTTTCAATTTAAGTAATACTATTTTTCTTACATTACCTTACCTCCTTTTGAGTGTATTTTAAAAATATTTTTGTTTGTTTTTTACTATTTTCAGGCTGCCCCTCTACCGTTTTACACTCCAGTAAAAATAGAAGTGAAGGAGGGTAAGCAAAGGCATGTGAAGGCTTATTTTATATATATTTTTTTTACATTTCTGACTATGCCTTTTAATCCAGCCACAGAGTCTCTCAATGTTTTAGTAGCATGTGGACCATTCACTCCATCTGATACTTTAACATACGACCCTCTACTTGACCTAATAAATGTAATTTCAAGGGATCGTCCGGATGTTTGCTTACTGGTATGTTACGTTTAAAACAACCTTTTAAAAATCCAGTTTCAGATGTATTTACAGTGAATTTTTTATTTATTTTTTCTCTGTAGCTGGGGCCTTTTGTTGATTCAAAACATGAACAAATTGAGGTAGATACAACATTTTAATGTTTTTATTTTGTTTATTTTTTACATTTGCAATTAACTGATTGAATTCTTATATAATCGTGTTCTAGAAAGCTCAGGTGACTGAAACTTTTGATGCTATTTTCTCGAGGTGTATAGAAAGCATTGTGGATGGAACCAAAAGGTCAGTGTCAGTATGGTTGTAATCATATATCATCATCATGTAATAATATAAGTATGACGTTAATATAGGCTTTGTTTTTGTTATGTTTTCACCAGTGTTGGCTGTCGTTTAGTTTTTGTGCCCTCTCAAAGAGATATCCACCACTCCTTTGTTTATCCACAGCCTCCGTTTACACTGACAAACCTCGACAAGGACCAGGCTCAGGTCAGACCCCATGGAAACTTTTGACCACACAAGTCATCATTTTCTCTCCCTTTTTGCTGTTTTTGTTTTTCACGGGGCATAGCTACTAGGGATGTAACGCTATCCAAATCTCTCAGTATGATATTTTCACCATATGCATCTCACAGTATAATATTTGTTGCAATATTTTTTGGAGGCTAACAGAGATATGAATAATGTACCTTTACCTCTTAAAATGCCTTGACAAGACTTAATCCAAAGAACTAATATTAAAATGTTTTAGAACTGTTATTTCTTCAGGTAATCTGCTGAAATGGTGCAAAGAATCATGGTCTATGTATCTCCCTCTGTTTTTCTTTAGCTATTGTTGCACCATAACTATTAATTTAAGATAGTCTTGTAATTTGATGTATTGTGATGGTCCATGATATTATTGTGACACCTTTGACAATTCAGTCTCATAATATTTTGGTTATTGTAAAATTTTTACAGAGCTACACAATAGAACAAAGAGTAAGAATTGTTATGTTCATACAATTGGGACATTTATACAAACTTCTGTACTGATTATAATGTTTTTAGATCGGCAAATGCTGACATGTATAATCTTTACAGAGAGTGACACTTGTTCCTGATCCCTGCACTTTGCTGATTGATGGTGTAAGTTTTGGCTTGACATCGACAGACATACTGTTTCACATGGGTGCTGAGGAGATTAGCAGGTATGAAAATATTGTGATTAGTTTGTTATAGTTGTAATAGAAAATTTTTACGATGCTGTTTGTTTTCAGTGGGACTGGATCTGATCGATTCTCACGCATTTTAAAGCACATACTGACCCAGAGAAGGTAGGAGTAAATTAATGTGTTGTACAAATGTATGTTACATTTGTGCTTGTTAAATTGCAGCTACTATCCACTGTACCCCCCTGTGGAAGAGGTGAATATGGACTATGAGAAGTTTCAGAGCTATGGTCAGATGCCTCTCACCCCTGACATCCTTATTATTCCTTCAGAGCTGCGCTACTTTATAAAGGTACTCCCATAATGCTGTTAACTACGCATTCCAGACTCTTCCATTGTCAAACTTGCATAACTGAACCATTGTAATGAAGAGCTTAACACCGATAGTTAAACTTTTTAATTGGCATTAAGTTTCTGATTTAAAATGTGTCTTAATTGCAGACAGTTGATGTCTTTACTTTGTGTGCTTAGGATGTGGTGGGCTGCATTTGTGTCAATCCTGGACGTCTAACCAAAGGTCAGGTGGGAGGGACCTATGGCAGGCTACTCATTCAGCGCAGTGCCACCTCTGAGGAAGACAAACGAGTAAGCCCTTGTTTGGCTGCTCAGGTGGTAAAGATCTAAAAAAAAAAAAAATCTTGAACATTATTTTTGGATTGCTCCCCCATAATTTGAATCACATGGCACAATCTGAATCTTTTTTTTTTTTCAAAGGTGGATGTATGTAAAATATTTACAAATAAACCTCTTAAGACCAATCACATTTGACTGTTATATAGTTACTTATTTATTTATATTTTAATGTAATGTATTTTATTTTTGACTTTATTCTAGTTATACACAGGACTGCCAAAGGATACAATGTCTAAAGGAGTTTTATGAAAAGCTAGAATGATACATAATGATAATGATCTTTCAATATCACTGCTCCATGGCTTTTTTATTAGTCATAAAAATCATCAGATTCATTAGAGTCACTGTGGTGATCAGTTTGTCCATACTTCACACTCAATCTTGCCAGTTTGTCACAAGGTTCTGTTAAAGCAAAAAGTCATGAGGAAACATTACCAAACAAAAGGGTTGTTACAAGGCACATGAGGAATAAATCTTACCCTTTGCTTCATCATCAGCTTTTGCCTCTCTACAAAAGTTTAGAAATGGTATCAGAAAGATATAACAGATTTTTTTTAAACTTAAAATTACCTCTGTTTTTGTTACCTCTGTGTTTGTGCTGGAGGTGCAAGAACATGCTCTATATCATCGCCATTATGCGAATCATCAGGGTCTTCATCATCTGAGGATGTCTTTTTACTGTTACTGTCCTGATGTCTTACCACACGCTCTGGGATAACATGTATTATTTTAGGCCTGAAACACGATTTTAAACCATAAACAGGTTTTTAATCTCAAAATGAGACATGGTTTAGGTGATAATCTGATTTACCTGTCCTGCGGTGAGACTATAATGTCCTCTGAGTCACTATCCTCACGATCGTTTGCATTGTCTTGTTTGGACTTGCATACCTTAATATTGTCCTCACCACCATGCCATTCTGAGGACGCATTCTCAGAAGAATCCGAGGATGAAGGGCTTGATCCAGAGATATGATCACCCTCTACAGAGGAACATCTAGTAATATCTTGATTTGACATTTCTCCATCTCTCTCACTGGTTACTTTTTTGTTGCTATCAGTTTGGTCTGAATCATCTTCGTCCTGTGTGCTACTGTGATCAGAAAGGCTTTGTTCCTTTTCTTTTATTGTTATTGGTATTTTCTTCAGTCTACTATTTCTCTGTGGTTCTTCCTGTGCCAATTCTAATAACTTGACACTGCATTTGTCTACATCACTCTTATCAGCTCTACTTTCATTCACAGAGCCGTCTTCTTGGTTCTTTGTATCTTTAAAGCCTAAACCGTTATGTTTTGATTTGTGATTATTAAATGATTCTGTATCTTCAGTTTCAGAAATGAATACCATTGCCTTTGAACCAATGGTAGCTTCTCTTGATGCCAAAGACCTAAAAAGGAAATCACCTGACTCTTAAAATACTCCTTCCATTAAAAATTAAAAACTTTATCCACTTACTTGTGAGAACAGTCTTCATCTGAGGAGCTGCTCTTCCTCTTCTTTGGGCTCCCCTTACTTGATGCTTGACTACTAGTTTGGCTCCCTGGTTGATTTACGGAAAGGTGGACGGTAACGATAAAGAGTTCAAATTAAGAGAAGTCACTTATGATTATTATTTATAAGTAATCGGTCAAACCTGGTTTTACATCAAGATCTTCTGAATGACTATTGTTTTCTCCATTTGTTTCACTTAAGCAGCTAGGAGGTTGCTTTGGCATTGTGTCAGTTCGTGCAGTTAAAGGGTTGAGTCGATCTGTGTAGGACTCATTTGGAGAACTGCTGTGTGAAAGGAAGCAGTCTGGGCCTGGATAATCTGTAAAGGGATGTTCCTGTACATGTCTGGATGGAAGATGTGGCTTTTGATCCTGAGACTTCAGTTCAGGAGGAACGCCATTTTTTGTTACAATTTTTTCACAGCCTGGAAATTAAAATTAGTTTAGCCATGGTGAAAAATTTGTAAAAGTTTTAAGATTTTCTTTTAAGCAAGAGAGGGGGAAAAACAAACCTTGAGAATGTAGAAGGTGGTAGTTTGCTTTTAAATTCTGTTTTCCAAACAGACGTTCCCCAAACATCTTTTACAAGAAAAAAGAAAAAAGTATAGTGGTTAATGGTACAAGTTATGTTAACATTTAACACCATTTTTTTCAAGTGACTCAGAGACAAAAAGAGAAAGAGAGAGAACTGGCTTCAGTGTTTTTTGTTTGTTGTTTTAGTCATATGGTGCTTGTCCAAATTAATTAATTTACATAGCTTTGCTTTTTCTGTGATTTTCAATCCCCTCTGCAATAATAATTACCTCCGCCAAGGAGGTTATGTTTTTGCCGGCGTTTGTCTGTTTGTTTGTTTGTTTGTCTGTTAGCAACATAACTCAAAAAGTTATGGACCAATTTTGATGAAATTTTCAGGATTTGTTGGAAATGTGAAAAGGAAGAACTGATTTCATTTTGGGGGTGATCCGGAAGAAATCCTGGATTTTGGATCACTTTGAAATTTTAGTTAACATTGTGTAAATGGGGCCAAAAAGTTTGTTTCTCAATATCTCGGTTAATTATTGACCAAACCCCATGAAATTTGACAATGGGATCCTCTTTCATATTCCAAAGGCTGATCTGGATCTGATCCAGAAGACTGATTTTATCGCAATTTATATAAAAAATGGGGGTAGTCCTTGGCGGAGGTCTGCGCTCTCTGAGTGCTTTTCTAGTTTGTTTTTTATTATTAATAAATAGTGAATAATAGCAATGTAAAATCTGGTAATTTTGCTGGACCATTTCCAGCCAGAACCAGAGGGACTGATTGAGTTGGGGGTCTAATTGTTCACTTTGTGATCAAGGCAACAGATTTAGTTAAGACAAACATTAACAATCATCATAAATGCCCAATGCTTTATTTCAAACCAGCTCTGTATAAGGCACCAAAAACTGAGGAGTTAAAATTAGATGCACATACTTTTGGTCAGGATTATGCAACTGACATTTTGGGTCTGGTGTTTTTTCTGTTTTCAACAGTTTAATCTGCATTTATGTGCAAAAATGACCATGCAGTTAACTCAACAATGTAATTTTGTTACAATCTGTTGCTGTCCAGTTGAGTTTTTTCCTTTTAGATAAATAAAAGAGCAATTGCTCTGCTTGTAAATTCTGTTCTTATCCAACAGTTTTCTCTTATAGTAAGTGTTCTTTTTAGGGTACAGAGATTATTAGAAAAGAGAGATTTCAAATTGATTTCACAAAGTATGTGTGTGTAAGACTTTCTCATCTCAGATCTTACAGTGAAGTATTTTTTGGCCTATTTTCAAGCTATACTTTGCTTTAATTTAATTGTAGTTTGGGATACTTACCATCTTTGTTTTGTGACTAAATTGGTGATCCAAGTGAGAACAGCTCCCAACGTAACTCTCATATTCTTTCTGAAAAGGGGTAAACATTGAGGAAATACGGGTGAGCACCATATATCATTATGTACATTTTTAAATGATAATTTAGGAGCTTTAGGAGAACTTTAATTTATATTATCCTGATTGGACATTCAAAAATGCTTTACACTGTGGCTCCCAGTTTACAGAATCATAGGCAAGGTGGGGGTCTTCCCCAAGAACACAACAAAACTGGGGCTGCCAACCTCTGACTCTACCACCTGAGCCAGTATTGCCTTTTTTTTACCCGTAACATTCTCATGGAATTAGTGCGCTCCAGCAGCTCCCTCAGTGCATTCTGGGCCTCATCAAACTGATGCAATAGTTCCCTGTTGTGCAGTTTGGCCAAGCGCTCCCTCTCTCTCAGGTCAAGCAAGCGTTGCTGCACATGCTTGACCCTGCTGGAAAAAGAAAAAAAAACAATGTTCAATGTAGTCCACTTTATAAAGGAAAGAAATATATCGCCTTAAGCAAATAATGGGACACAAATACTTACCTCATTTCTCTTGTAGTTTGGTGAAAGTATTATTTTCCCATTCAATGGACTGTAGTATATACTCCTAGGGGATGAAGAGATTACCCAGGATTAAGACTGGGTTTGGGAGGAGGGACTAGATCTCCACATGGTGGGTCACTAAAGGGATATCAACTTTATTTTATTAATCACAATGTAAAAAATGTGCTCATATTCCCTGGCCTACATGATGGTTTATTTAACAACCGAATAAGCAAATAAATCTTCAGAGCTCACTTTTTTTTAAGAAGTAACCATAGACTTGGCAAGTGGCTCTGGCTGACCCCTGCTTTACCAACCCAAAATACTTCCTATTTAGATTTTTTTTTTTATTGTAAGCGGAACTATAATATTGCGTCTCTGTACTACGGGGCTGTATTTTCATGCGGCACTCGTGCATTGTGCTGAGGGGTTTGGGTTTGTTGCGCGGTAAACTGAGAAATAACACGTTTTGTTTTGTACCTTTTCTGACAGATTCTAGTCTGAAGATATTAAGTTCTTCATCTACGTCTGTATTAAACTTTTGAATTTGGGGTAAAATAGCATTCATTAGCCAGCTAAGTGCTAATGGTTCGTCCATTATCCTCTTCTAACACTAAAGACAGGTGGAGTGATGACCAGCTTGGCCACTAAAGTGTTCTGCAGGGCAGAGAGAGTATGCCGTCATCTGCCAGTGTTGCTCAACACGTTTTTGGTTTTCTCCATTACTGGGGAAGTGAGCTACTTGGTTTTGGTGGAGGCTCCGTTAGAGGCAAGCTTGAAGAAAACTGCGTGGTCAGCCTGGTGGAAAGCAGTGCATTTAATAGCTCAGTACTTCATGCTTGGAAATATTTGCTGGAACTCGTTGCTCTTCCTCAAGACCAGTCCTAGTATAAAGGGAGTGTTCTTGGGAGAAGGCATGGGACAGGGTTGGAGGTAAACATTATCTAACTTACTTAAATATTAAATTAATGAACATATCAATAACCATTTCCTCTTGCGTCTTCAGGTATTGTTATACATGTGAGGCCCACACACCTCCCCGCTGTTCCCATTGCTATGATTGCAAGGTGTGTGTTCTTCGCCGTGACCATCACTGTGTTTTCTTTGGCCAGTGTGTGGGCTTCCATAACTACCGCTACTTCCTGAGCTGCCTGCTTTTTATGTGGTCAGGACTACTGTATGCCACACTGATGAACGCTGAGGTCTTCATAGTCATACTGAAGGAAGGGGTGACAGTTCATAGTGTTCTGCTGCTTTTGATTCCCTGGATTATGTTGGTATCAGGTGAGATGATTTGTGATGTAGTATGATCTTCATAACAGATGCATGGATTTTTCTTATGCCTGTTGTTTTGCTTGTAGTTTAGTGTTGCAAAAAATGCCATGTGCTCAAGTAGAAGTACAAAGTAGTGGTCCAAGAAATAAAAGTATTGGGAAAACTAAAGTAGACTTATAACTCCATTATCTGATTCATAATTTGAAGTAAATGTATGAACAACACAACTCAAAATGCAACACAAATGTACAAATTATGTAATATGGTCAATTTAAAACATTTGTCACTATATTACAGTAGATGGAGTAAAGAAAACCTAAGCGTAAGGGTACTTTTAACTTGAATATGAATATTACTCAAGTAGGAGTAAACGTATGTACTCTAAGTACAATTTCTTTAAAAATGGTAGAGTACTACACACCTCTGGTATTCATCACAGATTATTAAAAGTTATGTGTTTTGTTTTTCTTTCAGGCCGAGTCTCTGCAAGAGCATTTGCATTTGCATTTATTGCTGACACATGTGTGGTGGGCTTCTTGTTGGTGTCTGCTTTTTTCTTCTTCCACCTTTTCCTGATGGTCAGGGGACAAACGACAAGGGAGTGGTACTCCTCACGGCGCCCTTACAATTTGGGACTACTTCGCAACCTGCAACACAATTTAGGCCATTATTGGTATATTTGCTGGCTCTGCCCACTTATCCCTTCACCAATGCCTGGAGATGGCATACACTTTGAGGTCACAGGGTCACTAGAGCCTACCAGATAATGGATTATAATTATATTTATGATTTTTTTACACTGTAATGTCAAGTACTGAATGATTAGGTTGTAATTTCAACATTGCACTGCAGTTTGGTAATCCCAAATGTTGTTTTTATTTTGACAGAATGTTCCAACACATATGTGTTTATTAAGTATGATGTGCTTTGGTGAATTATTATGCTCCTTGCCTTAAGACAAGTAGGCCTGTTCAAATTTTTTGAAAATATTTTTATTACGTAATTGCACTGCTGTATCTTGTTTAACTGTCGTTATTGATGTGTGTATATAAATGAGATAATAAAATGTGTGTTTTGTCTGTTTTGTCCTTATGTTAGTTTGTTGTGGTCACGTGTTTAATACACACCTGTTGTACTGTACATTTCCTTCGGTTTCAGTTAACCGTTTTGAACTTCACATGTAAATCTACGGGGAGCGATAAATATAAAATAAAGGAGTTATAAAAAACATTGGGTGCGAAAAGGTGAGTTTTCGGTGTAACTTTTGGTTTTGAAGGCTTGACTTTACTGCGGTATTTTGGCGATAATTATTTGATAACATTGTTAGCATAGTTATCGGAGGTTAGCCTATGTAAACGGTCGCAAGAAAGTGACACCATTTTTTACTTTTTTTACTACCAACTTTACAGAAAAAGTTTCAATAACCTGATGACCAAAGAAGTTTGGCACAATGGATATTGAGGAAGAAAACATGTAAGTAACTTACATGTGCAGAGTTTTTTTGTTTTTGTTTTTTTTTAATACTGAAGTCTTGGTATTTGCATGTGTGAGTTGGTGTGAATATTTGTTTAGGACAGCGCAGGAAATGATGGAGAAAATAGCACAGCTTGATCACAGTAGAAGTATCCTCAAGGATCAGAACACGGAGATGAGGAGCTGGTTGGACGCTGCGGATGAAGACATGTCCATTCTTCGAGCTGAGAACAGTTTTCTCAAAAAACAAGTCAAAGAGTAAGCATTTCATGTAGCTTAATCTTTAAGACATGTTTTAAGATGACCTTTTTTGCACCTTTGGCTTAATTTTCAGCCTGGAGAAAATCGTCAGCGATGCACAGAGTATTGAATCAGAACCCACTAAATGTCAACCTGATAACCTTGATTTGAAAATTGAAAATGAGATAAAAATTCAGAATTTGGTAAGTTTCTTTGCTATGGTTTAATCATATGGTCTGGAATATGTATCTATTCTTAAAGGTACACTGCGTAAGTATTAGTTGTAGTGCTGCGAGTATGTCATAAAATATGGCATTAAACTTATCTATTTCCATGGAAACAAGTAGACACTGCCTGTCCACTTGTTATGGGTAAGATCTGTGGAGAGGAAATTCAGAATGCATGTTTTCAAGAAAGCAATAATAACCCATAATGAAGTACATGCAAAAATAACTATTTAATGCCACATTGTAGAAAATTATAGGTGAAACGTGGAAACAAAAACACCACTAGAAATATTAGCAATGCATTTTTAACATGGGTCGCATCATTAATCTAGCTGAATGAATAGACTAACCTTCATTTAAAATATTTCACTCATACAGACATTAATGTATATATTGCCTAGGAAAGGGAATCTGTCTCTCTGAAAGAAGAAAACAAAAAGCTCAGAACTGAGGTCTGTCAAGCCACTGTAAGTGCATTTTGCCCTTTTAGTCAATTCTTTTACTGCAACAGCTGTAATTTTAAACCCAGATAAAGAACTTGCAGCAGCTACAAGAGCAAGATGATGTGAGCCTGAATAAGTTGAAAGTTTTTCTTCAAGCACTTGAGGTAAAGCAAAAATTCAACTATGAGTTTTATCACTTATTTTTGTGATCAACTTTTTTTATTGAGTTACAGCAATAATTACAGTGACTAAACTTTAATGAATTCTGAAATGTATAATCACATATACATGTGATATAATCACATGTATACATATATATATATATATATATATATATATATATATATAAATATATAATATATATATATATATATATATATATATATATATATATATATATTCACAATTACTGCAGTCCTTAAGGTTTTTTTATATACAAAAAGAAAAACAAAAACATCCTCCCACTCAGGTCCAAAGCCTCACCCAAGCAAAGATCTGCAACAAAGTTGTTAGATGCGTTTAATGAAAACATGCCATAGGGTAATTGTGTTACTCTTGGCTCTACACACCTTGGCTATAGAGAGTTCTAGTTGGGCTATATCCAAAAACATTAATGTCCAAGTATGAATAGATAAACAATGTGGCAGCTTCCAGCGTGCAGCCACCATTTTCTTTGCTGCCATGAGGCCTGATAACAAAATCTTTTACTTGGCCACTTTAAATTTGATTTGTGAGAGATTATTTAATGCGTATCAATGCTTCTGGTGAACAGGGTACTACTACATCAAATAACATAGAAGGTTTACATGAAACCTGTCTCCAGAAATCCTGCACTGGCAGACATTTCCAAAACATAAGTTTAAATGTGTAATTTAAAGAGTATAATTTACATAAGGGATCCATAATCTGTTACTTAAACTGATAACAACTCAGTCAGTTCTCAAAATTGCAATATTGTTATTTTTTTATTGTTTTGTTTACTGTGTTAACTTTGCTTATGTGTCTTCAGTCTGAAAACGAGGTGGCTCAATTAGGACTACAGCAAAGAGATGAGGTTATTCAACAGGTCAGAGGCATAGAGGCTTTTTCTACCAAACAGACCTACATAATTTACCTTTCAATTAAAACTGAGACATACTAATGTGTTTGCATTTGTTTTTATGCATTTTGTAATGGCAGAAACATCAGGAGTTAAAACATGCTGAGGAAATGGTGGAAGAATATTCAACCATTATAAAGGTCAGCTATATATTTACCAAATGTTAGAATATGAAATGCACTATTAGGCATAATTATTTATTATATTTGATTCAGGATCTCAGGCTGAAAAACCAGCAGTTAAAAGATGAACTTGAGGCTGGACAGGATGAAGTGTTACTGTAATGCATTCATTTATAAATTGTGTACTATGCGTTATAAAAAAGTGATTTTTTTTTTTTTTTGCTTTCCAGTGCTCTCGCCATTGACCTTTTGGATGCAAAGGACAAAAGTAGTAGTCCTGCTCTGTCATTTGCCGAGGAGATGAGGCTGCTGGATTCCTCCGTTCATACCAACATCAGCACATCAGATGTCACACAGGCAAATGTAAGACCTTCATTCACCAACTTGACTCAGAACAATTCAGGAATGTGGAACCAATGTGGCTTTTATCTATTTGTGTGTCTGCCTGGAGTACAATAATTTAGCATTCTCATGCCATTTTGTAAGGGTGAAGTAATGTCTGAAAAAGTCCAAAAGGAAACTGGTTTAATGACATACAGTTACAATGAGAGGTATGTTGATATACAAAATGTTTTATGTTTCTCATAATTCTAGTGAAAAAAAGTATTTCTTTCCTATAGCGTGAATGAGAAGAATTTGAGCAATACAAGCACTCTTACGCTATGTAAAGAGGAACTGAAGCCACAGGACATTCCTAATGCAGATTCTTCAAAACATTCCAAGTAGGCCTACTGTATTTCTTATTATTATATAGTATTTTGTACACATTATTAGGTATGAAATGGCAAAGCTGTAGTAAAATTATTTTGTTTATTTCTTTAAGGTGTGTTGGCATCCTGATGACTGTCACTCAGAAAGTTCTCCTGTTCCTGGGGACAATGTTCCTGTTCTTCGCTTTGGCCTCTGTTACTCCAGGAAGTTTTACTGTCAACTCTAGGGCCTTCTCTTTGAACACAATGTGGAGCAGTACCCGTTTTTTGTTAGAGCCCTATTGCACCGTGCATTATGGAGGCATGCCACCAATATGACCTAATCTCAGCAAAATAAACTCTTATTAACCAGGATACCAGAGTTGTCTGTTAAACACACACACCGTCAGAGGTTTTGAACTTTAATGTATGTATTCATCTATTGAGGTAGGTTTGCTTTTCGCGCGTCTCTAATGCCCCACCCATGCAAAGGCGCCTTCTGGTGGTCTTTTTTTTTTTTTTTTTTTTTTACAGTGAAAATAGCTTACTCCGACACTGACGGTGAAGCCCTAATGAGAGGTCTGATTTTGAGCACCAAAGCTGAACAGTGCAGATTTCATGCTAGTTGCAGTAGATTGAGTGTGTATATACTGAAGCTTCTTTTGTTGATGGCGCGCTCTGGGTGAGGATGCTGCTTCTGAGATGCTGATGACGGCCCGATGACAGCGCTCGACACCCTGGATGGATCTTACAGCCTGGCATCATTACAGCGATAAGTCGGTCAACATCCGTCCAATTTGAATTAGGACACGTGAGCAGCGACATGTTATGAACCGAGGAACAGCTTTGGTTGGGGGAATGGGGGCACCGAAAAGACCAAAGCGAACTCGTCTCCTTTTCCGTTTCTGCATCTGCGGAATCGGTCTTCTCACAGCCGCCCTAACCGTGGATGTTACAGGTGTCTATATAAGTAAAAAGAATAGTGCACACTTTACGAGTGATGGCTAATATTAAGTTATCTAAGCAAACATGAGCATTTCTAGCATCTGAAACTTGTTCTGACAGCATTCCTTTATCATTCTAGGGTTGCCTGTACGTAATGAAAATGGAAATATCCTTTGGACGAAAAGAGACCTTTATGAGGAGAAAAATGCCGGTAATAAGACTCTGAGTGGCCTATCTAAATCTGGTAAGACACTGTCTTTCTCTCATACTGGGACACCTGGAATTGATTAATTACCAAAGAAATAATGTTTGGCTTTGAGGAGCTCTACCTGTTTGAAATATACAACCATGTGTGAGCTATGTGTATATATGTGCATGTTTGTTTGTTCATAGTTTTTAGAGATACTGTTGCTAGGAAACTAAATTGAATAAGTTGTTGGATGCTGTGTGCATACCAAACTGACTGCTTAGTGAAATGATGACTGTTCCAGTTTGATTCATACAATGTAATGAGAAAATGTCACATTTCTGAAATAGATTTCATGACTTATGTATTTTTGCTAAACAGTTTTTTTGTGTTCTAAATAATGTGGTGAAGTGTGTCCAAACAGAATCATGTGGCATGATTATCATTCAGAGAATTTGCACAAATGTCTCATTCTTCCCCACAGGTCATTCCTCTTCTTCCAGCTTCATAGTAGAAGTACCACCTCAGTCGTACATTACTTTGATTTCTTACACAAACCAGACAGATAATTGTTAGACATACTGTAAATATCTGTTTTTACAGACATCATCATAGAGGTTGTAATAAAATATTTACATTATTCACTGTTTTCACTTTACAGGGCCTATATTATTTGTTTGAGACTAATACAAACTATCTCCAAGTTATTTTATGTTATTCATTCACGACACCAGTTTCTAGAATATCTGAGAAACACTTTTTTTCTCTCCAAATGAAGTCTATAATAATGTGAGCCTTAAATAAATGTCTCCTGTGTGTTAATATTTAACTCCACACATTCATGCAATATTCATTGGCTCTGTGTTCAACTCCTTGTCAATCGTAGCTATTACAGAGTTTCCAGATGACATCTTTACCTTGGAGCAGCGGCGTCATGGAGCTGTAATACTTCATGTTCTCTGTGTAAGATGTATCCTTGTCTTTATATTTTTCCACACAAGAATACTCTTTACCTGAGCACAAAAGTACTCAAATGTTTTCTACAGGCTATCTACATGTTTCATGCACTGGCCATTGTGTGTGATATTTACTTTGTGCCATCTCTGGAAAAAATATCAGTGGTAAGTACCACTGTACCACAGTGTGTCAATTGAAGCTTCATTTTCATTTTCCCTAATTCAAATTTTGTACTACGTTTTTAACAAACTCATGGCCCAATTAGCTCTTTATTATGTTTTTTGTGTCCTAGAATCTTAATCTTAGTGAAGATGTTGCTGGGGCGACCTTCATGGCAGCTGGGAGTTCTGCCCCTGAGCTCTTTACCTCTTTGATTGGTCAGTATGACGTACTGCAATCACTTACATAGCAGAATGACTGCTCAATCAGTAATCCATTTGCCCCATTTACCTTTTATCGCTGACCTCACTTGCTGTTGATTTTATTCAAATTATTTTAAGTGTGCAGAAGTAGACTCTGACTATTTCAAGAAATGTGCAATGACCCAACTGATTTAATATGTTTTCTGATAATTTGCCCTCACAATCAAACTTAGATATTGAGGACTAGATACTTTGATATTCTCTTATATTCAGTTTGGACTTTCAGGAGTTTTTATCACAAAAGGAGATGTAGGTGTGGGAACAATTGTCGGGTCAGCAGTTTTTAATGTCCTGGTGATCATTGGCCTCTGTGGGATTTTCTCTGGACAGGTACTTAATTTCTTTTTTCTATATTAGAAGCAACAGTATGTTGTTAATATTATGAAATATTATAAATTAAGTCTATTGTCTTAAAATGTATTCTGAAACTATGTTTCCCTAGCCTATTTCTCTAAGCTGGTGGCCTTTATTTCGAGATTCTGTCTTCTACATTTTGTCCATAATTGTGCTTATCCTGGTAAGAAATCATGCACACATAAACAATGCTTCTGGCATCACTTCTGACTATTAATGCCATATGATAATTATAATATTTTATTAATTATTATATTATGTAGTATTAACCACAATAATGGTTAATGAACTATATTGGGTTTAGTTCTTTTTTCTTGTTTGGTTGTGTTCACAGGTGATCTATGATGAAAAGGTTCTGTGGTAAGCTTTAAGTTTATCTTTTTTGTTGTTATTGTTTTTTTTTTTAATTCATAATTCATAAATAATCAATTGTACATTTTACAGGTGGGAAACAATTATTCTCATTTGTATGTATGGGATTTACATAATAATAATGAAGTGAGCATTTTAACCTTGTTATTTTTGGTGTTGCACCATAATCACTGAGGACATAACGATGTTATGTATGAACTGTAGGTTCAACAGGTCGCTGTGTAACTTGGTTGAGAGTCACTGCAGCTTGGGTCAGCCATGTCTCAGCAGTTTGAGACGGACAACTGCTGTTGGAAATATAGGAGACTGTGACAATGACATGGTGCCACTAAAGCCAGGTATAAAACACATTTTCTGTGTAGATTTCTAATGTGAATTTATTTTTTAATTAGACACATTTGCTTGTTTATGAATAAAACTTAGTGGATTGATTAGATATATACTGAACTATTTTAGTCATAAATGTTAATAACAATTTACCTATGTTACTGTTGTGTAGACACATGTGTGGTGGCCAGCCAGGACACAGGGGTGGTAATGGTCGATGAGCTTCTGAACCTGCACCCGCACCAGCTCTCGTTTTCAGAGGCAAGCCTTCGTCTTCTCATCACCCCGCATTTTCCCCCCTTCACCCGCCTGCGCATGGCAGGACGCATGGTCATCAGCGAGGTACACTGCGTGCTGACACCCTTAATAATACCCCATCTTCGTGTGTTTCTAGGTTGGTGGGTATTGAAGTATCAGTAACATTAAATATAACTGTCCACATCTCAGTCTTATATTATCTGGCTCTTGAACTGACTCTTGAAAATGTGTTGTTTAAATCAATTAATTTTTTTTTTCTTGAGTTTTCAGACAATCTTGAAACTTTTTGTCAGTGTTGGCTAATGTGTGCATTGTGTCTCCATGGTAACAGCCACATGTAGGATACCCCCAGTGCGATGTCACTGCAAAGTATCAATATTAATGTATACACATGTCCACAGCAGTATTAGTATATTAGTATGAATTTAAGCAAACAGGTGTTTGATGTTGCTATCTTCCCTTCCTGCATGTGCTCCTGCATTTTGTGCTGTTTGAAATAGCACTGCAAGTACTTTCTTCTCTTCTTTGACCCTAATACATGCTGTCTAAATGCCCTCAAGTCAGTGTGAGGGCACGCTTGGCTGCTCCTCTCACTCCTGCTGCCCCTTTGCGCACATCATTGCCCCATGCTGGTGTAGCCTCAGTGCTGTGGTTTGACTGAACTTGTTTGTCTGGCCTTGTACAGCGTCAGAGGCTGATTCAGGCTCGAGGTGGACACGAAGAAGGTGCTGCAGCAGGTAAGGAGGGAGGCAGTGGGCCGTGGTGCCGAGACAACGGGACACTGACTGAGAGAGACAGACAAACTCTAGAGTGTGACACCATCAAAGAAGAGAGTGGAGAGGCACAAGGGGCCTCTGAAATTAAAGAGGAAGAGGAAGATGAAGAGGAGCAGGAAGGAGGAGCGGACCAACATTCTGCTTTAAATCCATTCTGTTTTCCTAGTAAGGAAACTAAAAACCTTTGTTTTCTTCAATTGAAATAATTTGTAATACGTCTTCATGTCTCAGATGGCTTGTGTGAGCGTCTGAAGTGGCTGCTGTCCTGGCCAGTGACTTTCTTGCTGTATTTCACTGTGCCCAACTGCAACAAGTCCCGCTGGGAGCGCTGGTACCTGCTTACCTTTTTGTCCTCCACACTGTGGATAGCCCTATTTTCCTACCTCATGGTCTGGATGGTAAGCCCAGTACACACTGCTAAAATACATAAACATAGACAGTGATAGCTCGTCCACATTACTGTGCTTGATTTAGGTGACCATCATCAGCTATACATTAGGAATTCCTGAGGTACTTATGGGCATCACCTTTTTGGCCGCTGGCACCAGTGTGCCTGACTGTATGGCAAGCTTAATTGTTGCAAGACAAGGTGGGTCTTAATTTCTTAGTACTTGATACAAAACATGTTTCTTTTATTCAAGGATGTATTGTTGACTTGTATAGGTATGGGAGACATGGCTGTCTCAAACTCTATTGGCAGTAATATCTTTGACGTACTGCTGGGACTGGGCTTCCCTTGGGCACTGAGAACTCTCATAGTCAGCTATGGATCTGTGGTGAGTTAAAAATTAACACGTTTAGGCCAACCCATTACCACAACATCTTGTAACAGAAACAAGCAGACACATAAACAAATAAATCTAGTGTGTTTGTTTACAATCATGTGACCTGTGAATGATCTGTCCTTTTGTCCAGGTCAAAATAAACAGCAAAGGGCTGGTTTACTCAGTGATACTGCTGCTGGCCTCTGTCACACTTACTGTGAGTACATACTACTCACTACACCTGAGATCAATATCTAAACGTAGCTGTGTAATCTATACTAACATTACTTTCCACACACAAGGGCATTACTGTAGCTGCCTGCACCTTTGTGACTGTACTGTGTCTGTGCTATGTCTGTAGGTCCTGTGCGTTCATTTAAACCACTGGAAGCTGGATCGGAAGCTTGGACTCTGTCTAATGTTGCTTTATGCTATTTTCCTTCTTTGCTCTATTGGCTTTGAAAGGCTGTAGAGGAAATACTTATTTGTAAATCAAAAATCTTTAACTCATGAGTAGCAGAATTTGTCTTTCAGTCACAGCTGCTTGGATATTTCAGTAAATACAGATGTTTTGTTTATTCTATACCTTGTGGTGACTTAAAAGTGTCCTTTTTTCTACATGTGCGCATGTGATACCTCAATTTTGTGAAATCTAATGCACTGTTTATTGCCTATGTATCTGCAGTATTTTTCTGCACTAAATTTGTACACAACACATACGATCGCTTTGGGTGCAATTGCTATTATGAATTCTAAGATTAACTATGACCATCTCATATATAGTATATTACTGTTAACATTTCTCCCTTCATCTGGTCCTTCCATTTTAGCTAATCTCACCTTTATTTTCACATTATTGCAAATAAACAGTGCAATTACCTGATGAGATAAGATTATTGTCTTCGCTTTTTATGCTCTTAAGAAAGGCCATTCATTAACGTGCTGAAAAAACAATGCTGTGTTCTGTATTTTTTTAGAAGAAATGTCATGTCATTATTATACACAAATAACTACAATACAATATAAAAAACAATTGTTATATTGATTTTTATTTCAGTCAGGCTAAATGTTACCAAAGAAATGTAAAAATAAAAAGTACAACAAAATACATCATTTACAAATACTTATTTTTTAAGTTTGACATAAGCGTCAAATAAACATGTCTCAGTCATAACAAAAATAGAAAATATCAATACAGTACATTGAATGCATAAGGAGCCATACTTTAAGTCTTTGCAGTAACAAGACTTTAAAAATTTCTACTAGAAAAACTCCCAATACCAATACAATCTGTTTACAAAATGGTCAAAAACATTACAATAGGGACACTAAATTGTGAGAATGTTTAAATACTGGTGCGACCTGCATGCAAAATCCATTGTCGATTATACAGACTTTACAGCAACTCGTTAATAATTCAAAGATGTAACAACTGACTTTAAAGGCGAGCACCAATCTATTACAGTAAAGAACAATGAGCAGTGATAACTACTTTTTATGACATTGATTTTTGGGGGAGTGGAAGTCAGTCGAGTTCTGTTTCGTATTTAGAGTAGAGGTATTCTCACTTGTAGCCATAGTTTTCATCACATTATATATTGCTTTAAATGATGCAGCGGGTCAGAGCAGTTTGTTGCTACTGTTAGTGTACTTTGGCACAATGTAGGTCATTAAATATGTAAACTTGCACGGATGACACTAAACTACAGACAAGATGCCACTACTTTAGTCATCATAATATTAGATTTATCATAATTTCTTTTGGAAAAATCTTGAGAAAACTTTCAAGAAAGGGTAAAGATAATTGGCCATGATGCTAATCGTGTAATGCTAATTCCTTTGCTGCTGGTCGCTCCCATGGAGATAGTAGTTGCTATGGATACTGCATGCTCTCACTCCCTTGATCTTGCATGTGTTCAGTCCAGGAAAGCCTATACATTATGGACAAAGAAAACTGAATCCACAGTGGCCTGGAGTCTGATTATACTACATGTGGACACATAGAGCTGTGCTCTTGTGCTGCTACAAACTAGATATGTCTCCAACTGATAAAGTAGACCTAGTGTTTTGAGGATAGAATGACGCTGAATCAGATGGAAAGAGTTGTGATATCACTCTGGGGCAGAGCTCTGGTTCTGTTGGTAAATGGATGCTTTATCCTTAAGGAGAGCTAGACATAAGTGGCAGCTCCAACTTCCTGCAGAAGACACATTAAACATTATAATTTATGTCAACTAGAAGTATATCATCACCTGAAAAACATAGGCAGTCACCAGTAGCAAGATTCAAACAGATCTTACCCTCAGGTGGTTCAGTCATAGGAGGAGTTAGACAGTACATGTGGTAACCTCTGTCACAATCATCACAAAACAGCAGCTGATCCTGCAAAAAAGAAATTGGTTATATAATAATGTCACAACTACACTGCATGATACTACACACATTTTAAAGGATACAATACAACTTGAAGGAGCATATCGCTTTTAAGACATGCGATGTTGCCAAGTCTGCACTTGGTGCCCAAAGTTGAGATCTAATGTTCTAATATTCTTTGCAGGCATATGGTACATGGCTGTATCAATGCCTGTCTCATGCAAAAAAAAATACCTATAATGCACAAAGGCAGATAAAAAAAAATGGAGGAAAGGGCAATGTGAAACTTCTGGAAGCAAATGACTTTAGGGGCAAAGCACCTTGCGTTTTACAGCCAGTGCATTTTGCAAAGAGCATTTACAGCATGCTACAGCATGCAGCTGAAAATATTTAAGACTATGCAATACAAAACACCTACAAAACATACCATTTGTTCCAAAAACAATGGTAAACACTGGGCGAGTACTCACATCATTCTCTGAAGTGCCACACACATTGCAACACTTGCACTCTATGCACTGCCAGCGGTACGTCTTTACAGCAGCCATCATCACTGGAGTGAACTGTAGACATGTGGGGTGGCCTGAAAACAATGAGACGTCACATATTTTAAATTTATTTTTCAAGAAAGTAAGACTAAATACAGTCAGAAAAACATAAGCATACCAGAGCGTCCACAGTCTGAGCAGGACACCAGCTCCTCGGACTGGCCAGTCTTCTGATTTAAAGTTGAATCTCCCAGACAGAAGTCACAGTAATCGTTGGGCAGTGCTAAACCATTGGGGCCCTTTTTATTTGCTGAATAGAAAGATTTAGAGAAGAAATTAATTTATCAAGGCCGCCTCCATCACAAAGAATTAGAATATCAAGAAAAAGTTCAGTATCTTTGGTCACTCATTTCAGAAAGTCAAACTCATATTATACAGTCATCACATAAACTCTTGAAATATGTCACTCTCTTTCTTGAATTATTATGATTGTGGTTTACAGATCATGAAAAAACAAAATTCTTTGTCTCTTCGTATTTTAATATTACATAAGATCAATTTAAAAAGATACTTTTCAGAAGCCTAACCTTTCTGCTTAAAATATGTTCATTTCTATGCACTCAATACCGGGTTGGGGCTTTATGAATTACTACATCAGTGCACTGTGGCATGGAGGTGATCACCATGTGGAACTGCTCAGGTGTAATGGAAGCCCAGGTCAGGTCAGATGAGTTTGCAGGCCAATCAAGCAGAGTAACACCATGGTAATTTTGGTAACATCTTTTGTGTGGGCAGGTGCCAAGTTCTGCTGGAAAATGTAATCAGCATCTCTATAAAGCTTGTCAGCAGAAGGAAGTATTAAGTGCTGTAAAATGTCCTGGTAGATGGCTGCGTTGACTGTGGACTTCAGAAAACACAGTGGACCAACACCAGCAGATGACATGGCAGCCCAAATCATCACTGACGGTGGAAACTTCACACTGGGCTTCAAGCAACATCGATTCTGTGCCTCTCAACTCTTCCTCCGGACTCTGGGACATTTCCAAAAGATATGCAAAATTTACTTTCATCTAAAAAGAGGACTTTGGACCACTGGTCAACAGTCCAGTTCCGTTTCTCCACAGTTCAAGTAAGAAGCTTCTGACATTGTCTCATGTCCCATATAGGCTTCTTCTGTGCGTAGTGCTCGTTGCGTTGACTCCAGCCCAGTCCACTCCAGCCCCCTGACCCAGACTGAGAGACCATTTAAGGGCTCAGGAAACCTTTGCAGGTGTTTTCCATTAGCTGATTAGGGTGTCTTCCCGATATTCAACTTTTTTACACAATTCTAATTTTCTGAGAGACTGAATTTTGGTTTTCTGTAAGCCACAATCATAAAAATCCAAAAAATAAAATAAATAAAATGAAATATTTCACTTTGTGTGCCATGAGTCTATATGTGTTTGACATTCTGAAATGAGTGACAAAAAATATTGAACTTTTTCATGACATTCTAATTAATTTGTGATGAATATGAGTGTAAAACTCCAGAGTTCATTACCAATACTACAAACCTGTTCATGCAGTGTTGGCCAAAGTAAAAATAAACTAAATATAAACTAATGAATTGGACTAGTTGCTAATGTGATGGGACGTGCAAGTAATACATAGGTGTTGGGGGGGTGGTAATGACTTGACTGAATGACTAAAAACTAGTTTTATAGAGTCCCAGCATGTTTTACAACTTGTATGGGTAACTATACCTATAAAACCAAGAAACTTTCAAAACATCACAATGAGAAAAGAAAGGAGACAAAATAAAACACCTCATACATGCAACACGGCATGCAACAGCCCCTCCCTGTGTCCCCTGTCTGCCTCTCAGCCCTGGACTCACTCTTTTGCTCGTCAGGCTGCCGAGGAGTGGGTGGTGCCTCGAGCTCCTCGCGGTCCTCGCCCTCCTCCTCGGCCAGATGAGAGTGTGTATAGTGATAGCTCAGGCCAGGACGGTTCTTGTAGCGCTTCCCACAGACTGACACACACACAGTCACACAAGAATTGTATAGCAATGACCAACAGTGTTTTTGTTTCTTTTTTTTATATACACCTAAAGATAAGTTTCTTCACATTGAGAGTAGGAATTGCCAAGCACACAAAGTGGCTTGAATTACAAGTCTGTATTTGAAGAGTCTGTATTTGAAGAGTCCTTCTTCCTTGCCATACTCACTACTCATTACTACATAAAAAAAAAAAACAATATAATGTAGCAGATTTTGTTTTGTTTTAATAAATGGATATATTTCAAGTAGTTTAAACAGTCGTTTAGTTGTTCTCTTAGTTCTGTTTCTCTAGGGCAGAGGTCTCCACCCCATTCCAAGTAACTTTCTAAAGGATTAAGGAATTATGCACACTATACTGATTTTAACTGAATTCATCACATGTATTATAAATGTATAATTTAGATACCCAAATGGGTGCACTAATATTTAATGTTTCAAATACATCTAACAGATTCTAAGGCTACCTGTTGCTGTTATATATGTCATTTCTAACAACCACAAACAGGAGTGCACCATTTTCGTTTTTAAAATTATCTCTCAAGGGGAAAAAGGTTGGAGACCCCTGCTTAAGGGTATCATGGAGTAGTGCGAACATTCCCTTCAGTTTTAGTCTGCCTAATCTATACTCACTGTCACAGGCATACGGTTTGTCTCTCTCCTCCAGTGCAGCGGCGGCAGCCTCAGATTTCTTTTTGCCATTCTTATCGCTGCGTCCCTAAAGTTTTGTTTTTTTTTGGAAAAGAAATTTCAATCACTGCTGAACAATTCATTGAGTACAATTCATTTCTTGAAATGAAGCATTTTCTGTAAATATGACGATGCACAGACACTTACTTTTGACTTGCTTTTTCCTCTTCTTTTGGGCGTCTCATCTTCAAAGTCCTCATCATCTAGGTCATCCAAGTAGTCATCATGGTCCAGGACTCTCTAATATTTGACAGTTACAGGCATTATTGGGCTGAAATGTTGCTTCTTCGGAAACAACTTGACACACAAACGAAAATGTCATTAAATCCTTTAAATCTGACCTTGCGAATGCGTCCTGAAGTCACTGATGCGGGAGGCTCCACAGTGGCTAGATCTTCTTCTGTGCTACGAAGATCAGACACTCCACTCCTTCTATCAAGAGGCTCTCCCTTGAGTAGTGCCTCCAAGCTGCTGCCATCTACGCCCCCCAGTCCATCACGCTTCAGTCCCAACTCTATATCTGCTACAAAAATAATAACATGTACACAACAAGGAAGGGTGGGAGGTGGACGTTACACATGGTGACACAATGCACACAAAGCCAGATGTTTTAGGATGATCTAAAAACTGACGAAAAAAAAAAAAAACTCATTCTGCCCTGCTTATTTTTACCTCTAAAAAGGAAGATTAGACAGATAATGGATTTCAAATATGATATAAAGTATCATATTTGATTTGTGTAAAATGTTTAATGTTCATGTGAACCAACAATGGCTTTGTACAGAGTTCTACAGACGTTATTAGCTGTCAAGATCGGCAGCCTCACACAAAATAATACAACCTGAATGATGATGTCGGTGCCCATAGCAACTTCCAGAATAAAGTGAATACACAACAAAAAGAAGGAAGTCTTTGATCAGGGCCCACAGGCTATTGATGGAAATTTGGAAACAAAGATGGACACAATACATAAGAAGTCCATCTTTGATGGACACCGCAGCGGTCTTTGACATCAAGTTGACAAAATCACATGCGCAAAACAGGAAATGAGATGTGCAGAACCGACAGATCCAGTGTATTTTCAAAATAAAATATCCCTGCACACTCCTGGCACTTCGAAAATGCACTTACAGACTGTAGATAACCACAGTATCCAAAAGCACGATAAAGTGGATAAAGTGCTGTTGTTTACCAGCAAGGCTTCTTGCACACACTAAACTATCACGTGAACTCCTGACCAGAGGGTGAATCCCGGCGACAGAAGCAACTGCACCGTTATTAAATAACAGTTACAATGTTTACACCATTGGGTGTTGCTATTTGCATGCTGTGGTCCTCTAGCCCATCCAATCCAAGGTCCCATCCGTGCCAGACCCCTTTGGAAATTAGTACCTTCAGCGGTCCTTTTGGCTCTTAACAGGAGGCAGTACAGATCACTTTATGCAGTGGAAACATTAAGGGTCCGTACAGTACCATACAGTACCTCCCCGTACCTGCCCTATGCCTGCCCTGTCCACCAGTCAAGTCTGTGCATTATCCAGAACACTGAGCTACTTTATTTAAAAGACAGATTCACTGGTTGATTTAAAACAGATGCTTTGCACTGCCCTACCTGCTTTGAGAGGCGGGAAAGCCAGGCGCGGGTCCTCAGGGGGGTGGGAACGTCTTTTCTTTCTCCACCGACGAGCTGGGTATGTGTACAACTGGCCTGGAGCTACACCTATAAAAAATTTAAAACTATAAATGGAGCTGCACAATTGTCATTTGTTAGCTATACTGCAATAACAGTATTTTGTCACAATGTTGATAATTTCAGAATCAACTTGATTTTCCCTTTGTACAAAATATCTTGTCTTTCTTTATATCTTTATTTGTTATCTCTCGTTTGACTTCCTTTAATCATCTCTCCTGATGTCTGATTGTTCGTCCTGCTTCCAGAATTTCCATTTCTCTGATTTGAGCAAACAACTTGGTGCAGTGTTCATATTTACGGTTTTTCCAACAACACCACACCGTCGCAGCTAGAGGACCGTTTACCTCACAAATGAATGATTGGCTACAGGTGCTGGGATTTAAGTAGTGAGGATTCAGATTCAGAGAGTCTTTTAAACCAGGGGTGTCAAACTGAAATTTACAGAGGGCCAAAATTAAAAACTGGGACTAAGTTGCTTGCCAAACTAAATATTTATTGAAAAATTTCAACATCTGCATGTTTTCTCTTCTTTCAAGATATGTAATATGTTAAACCTTTTCTCATTAAAATAAATGTTTAATAATAGTTTTGCTTAAACACTGAATCAAGAACAAGCATAACATAAAATAACAAAATTTTAAATAAATAGTGTCTCTATAGTCTATCTGTAGCCGGCGGGCCAGCTCTAATACATATTTGATATGTTCTTGCGGGACAAATATAATTATATTGCGAGCCAAATTTGGCTTCCGGGCCTTGGTTTTACATGTCTGGTTTAAACCAATTGGATTTCAGATTTGGAAGTGGAAACCTTAATGTAATACTAATTTGGGGCTCATTCTGCTTTGATTGGAGAATCCAATCAAAAGTTATAACATATATAAATTGGACATCATATTTTTGTAATCAAGAATAAATGAATGAAAATTCTGAATCAAAACTTTTACATACAGTTCCTTTAACACTAGAGGTGGTGGAAAAAGAAATGGGGAAAATTGGTTAAACCTATATACCACCATTAATCCTAACTTTGACCAAGCTCTTTGAGGTGACTTGGCTTACCAAAACCACTTAAAATGTGAATTGTAGACCTAAGACATGTTCCACGGGGAATAAATAGAAACAAAATGCAACATAAGATGATCCTGACACCATCCATACCTGCACTGCGATGCCTTTTCTCCATCCAGATATAACAGTTGGATTGGGCCACACCTGTCTGGGAGTCCAGAAAGGGCATGAGGATGCTGCGCTCAGCACAGAGGCGAGCGTTATAATTATGACACTGCTCCATGGCATCTCTGTAGTACTGTTCTCCCAGCCTGAAAGATGGAGGGACACTGACTCATAAAACTGACATACGAGTTGCATCAGACAACACATTTCAACTTTAAAAATAAACTATGCCCGAAATGTGTGAATAGTTATTTATACCATTATATGATTTGTGGCTCTATAAGTCGTTTTATTCAAAAGCTAGTCCTATAAAGCAGGCTTACTTTATAACAGAGAACCGCAACACTTGTGGAGAAAAGGACATGGGAACAAAAGGTTGATGGTTCGCGGCGCCTCTCATTACAACAAAGCGCCCGCCAACAACACGCGTAAATGAAATATTCACTTTAATGTAACCAGGATGCTCCGGTTTAAACAATCAGAATCGACAGCACTGATAATTATAACAACAACAACAACAAATAACTAAGAGTTCTGTGGAAGTACATCTTTCCAATTTGCCCATGGCTAACACGCTAATCGTAGCATCCTTTAGTAAAAAAAAAAAAAAAAAAACGTTTATGTCTTCATACAAAATTTGTTTTGAACAATACCGAGTTTAATGCAGAGGCAATGTCCAACAATACGATTGCAATTGGATTTGTGGAGTAAACTTGAACAGTTATACATAATGATAAACTTACACTTTCACAACATTGTCGACGGCCGCAGCCATGTTTTCTGATTGCGGTTGTATGGAGTGCCGGTGCGCATGCGCGCAGTTCAGTATAAAACTACCTTCAGGATTCTGAAGGTGTATATATATATATATATATATATATATATATATATATATATATATATATATATATATATATATATATATATATATATACACACACCTTGTCACGTTTATTTTGACTATGCATTTTGTCTATAAGGAGCTTAGCCTTCTCTTTGATTTGTGAATGTTATTTTTGGTTTGAACCTAAATTAGAGTCAAAGGCATTCATTAATAATAAAGTTTCACAGTTTCACATAGGCTACACATATGTAAATTCACAAAGCAAAAAACATCTTTTACAGTATTTAACAATTTTTTCTCTGTTTATGAATTTCTTTGAGTTGCCTGATAGTATAATGTACATAAATTAGTGCTCTGTCATCAATACCCTGTATCAGAAATAACATATTTGAGCCACATATTGCAATGAGCACCCTTTGCATTAAAGTTGTTACTGTTGCAGAGACTATACATGGACGCTATGACATTAGAAGTTAGTTTGCTTGTAGCTTGTGGTGTGGTTTTTGCTCTCCAGGCAATGGCCTGGTATTCAGTAGTTAGTGATGGAAAGTAACAAATTAAAAGAAGTAAAGTACTAGTAGTAGGTAATGTATGCTATGTAACTTTTTGGCAGAGGTTTCACCACCTGCTTGTCTTCGAGTAAATGTCATTGCGTTGTCTAGAATGTCCTACAGTATGGCATTAAACATATCTATTTCCATGGAGACAAACCCACAATGCCTCCAGGCCAAGTTACAGGTTAGATCTGTGGAGAAGAGAGCTTACTCACTGTGGGAATGCATGTATTTTTGAGTAAAAAAAAAAAAACACCTGTAATTGAATAAATGTTATATAGATGAGTTTATTGCCATACTGTGAAACCTTACAGGCAAAGTAAAAATTTATCCATGGAAACAATCTTGAGGGGGACCCCTGCTAGAAGAGTTACACAATGCACCTTTTAAGTAAAACCTAAATTCTGTACTTTACTTGAGTACATTTTAAAGTGGATGCTTTTTACTTTTACATCACTACATTTGAGAGCAGTTTTCCAGACATGAAGAAGTAGGGCTTGAGTTGAAACGTTTTGGTGTCACTGAAATTAAAAATAAAAAAAGGGAGCTTCAAAGAACTGCAGTTTGGATCTTTTTCTTCTTTTGTACAAATGTTGTCTTTGGACCTAGCACGCTGTCACATTTTTTGTTGGATATGCATGTCTCTGTCTACCAGTTAAGTGATCATTAACAAAAACAAAAACAAAACAAAAAACTTGTTGTAGGCTTTATGGAGAAATGAGAAATAAACTTGAATGAATGTAAATGGGACAAAGGCTCACTGTCACATATACATTTATGTTTGCTACTTATTTTGAATTTATTATTACCTTTTATATTTTTACTCTTTGTTATTATAATACATTTTGATGTGTGAGCTACTGTGTCCAATCAGTTTTCCCTTGTGACCACATGCCTCTCTCCCTACTTCTTCCACTGTCAGTAGCCTATAAATATCTACTGTATTTTATTATTTTCAATAGTTATTAAGAAGGCTAATTTCCACAGCGAATGCCTACTTTAATTTAAATAGGTTTATAATTTGACTTATTTTACACTAATTTAGGGTAGGAACCAGTCGGTTGACGCAGACGCTCTGCGTGGGGGGACCCGTCGACGACTCTCTGCGTCGTGACGCAGATGATTTGACGCCTTTCACCTTTCAGGAAAGCCATTTTAACATTTAAACACTAAACTGGATATGTATTGCAGATATCTCTAACTTAGTCATTCTTCCTGTCCGTAATTGTCATTTTAGATATTTACAACGACATTCTTCCCAGGGCAAATGACGTCACCTTTGTCATTCATTTGTATGGGTTTCATAAATACGGATATCCACAATTGAGTTATGAATATCCACATTGTAAGTTACAGATATCTACAACTGAATTATAGATATCTGTAAATCCAGTTCGAGATATCTACAATTTGATTCTGACTCGTCATAACTTAAGTTCAAAATATCTTTAATTCATTTCAGTTGAAGGTATTTACATGCTCCATTTCAGATATTTAAAATTTTGTTTTGTTTACGTTTTGACTAGGCGAAATTACGTTGTAGATATCTCTTAAACTGGAATCACAATTAGTCAGAATGACGTTGTAGATATCTTAAACCGTAGTTTCAGATAGTCATAATTTAGTTGTAGAAAATCTCTTACCAAGTTGTATATATCTTGTTATGAATTTTGATTAGAGATATCTGAAACTGGAGATATCCGTAAATTTAATTTTGCCTAGTCAAAATATAATTAATTATACATATCTTGACAAGGCGAAATGACGGTGCAGATATCTATACCCAAATTATACCACTTGAGGCGGGAGCGGAGCATTTCCACATGGCACCTGTAGCTGTTAACGAAAAGTTAATTTATCAGTAAGATCGCCAAAATGCATTTTACGGTCTTTTTGTTAATGGTCTCTAGTGAAAAGTTCGTTGAAAATTATATTATAGACAAAAGCTAATTTTAACACAGATAGTTGTTAAGCATTCGAGACAAATAGCTTTTTGGACGGATTGTGCAGTCAGTTTGGTGCTTTCTGTGTCATGATGTCATAATGACGTTTGAGATATCTTTAACTTTCAATTTGCCTAGTCAAAACTGAATAACAGATATCTGCAATTGTCTTTTATGATGTGTGAAGAGTTGAATGTCGTTTTCAATTATGTAACTGCAGATACCTGTAATTCCGTTTTGCCTAGTCAAAACTGAATTGCAGATATCTCTAACTATCCTTTCATCTAGTCAAAATTACGTTACAGATATGTCAAAAGACAATTCCCACTATCCAAAATGAAATTATGCCTACTCGGAAAGACGTTGATATGTAGAACGTTCATTCCGGATAATCAAACAGCGTTTACCTACTTTGGACTCTTACTCTATCTATCTATTGTATCACAGTGAACTAGTGGGAGCCTGAATCACGGTGTGTGCGACTGCAGCATGAACGTCCCGGGACTCGCGGCTATGGTCGCCTTCTACGTGCTGGTGCTGGGGATCGGCATCTGGGCCTCGATCAGGTCCAAACGCGCGCGTGAAAGGACCCAGAACGACCGCACCGTGCACGCGTTGTTGGGGAACAGGGGGATACGTCTGGTCGTGGGGGTATTCACAATGACAGGTCTGTGCGTAACTTGTGTGTTATTGCTGCTTGCCCTGTATTATTGTGTGATTTTGTAAATTAATGAGGAGAATGCAAAGCGAACAGGCAGGCTACACATTTTTCCATTAGACTACTGGGCTGCTGTCAGGTGCAGACACATTTGAAGTGTTCTAGTGTTTACTCAATATTGGTATTTTTGGTTTTACAGCCACGTTTGTTGGCGGAGGCTTCATCGCTGGTTTAACAGAAGCTGTATACACCCCAACTATGGGACTGACCTGGGCTGTCATGCCTGTAACTGGTGCTCTGTCATTTATTATTGGTAATACATTGCAATAATCCAAAATTGCTGTTTCCTGTTGATGTTGAAGTTTCCGTCTTTAATGCTCATGTACATTGCAGGTGGACTTTTCTTTGCAAAGAAGATGAGGGACAGAAAATATGTGACTATGATGGACCCATTCCAAAATAAGTATGGAAATATAATTAGTGCTGTTCTGTCTGTAGCACTGTTGGTATCAGACATCATCTGGGTGACAGGAACTCTCATAGGTTTAGGTAGGCTACGTTTTGATGTTCAGTTATGTCCTCACATATGATGGTGTTTTGTGTAAGATGAGTCTCTGCCTCATGTTTTCAAAGGTTCGACAATGAGTGTTATCTTGGATATTCCTTATTCTGCATGTATTTGGATATCAGCTGCAGTTGCCATAGTCTACACCCTTCTGGGCGGCCTGTATAGTGTAGCATACACTGACATTATACAGTTGATTCTCATTTTCTGCAGTTTGGTCAGTGATGTCATGTAACACAATGCCTGCTCCAAAACATGTTTTATTCATACATGTGTATGTTTTGTTTTCTTCAGTGGTTATGTGTCCCTTTCATCTTGATCAACCCTTATACAGAAGATATCACCAAAACTGCTCATACATTTATTTACCAGGCCCCTTGGACTGGGTCTGTAAATAAACAGAATGTGTGGATTTGGCTTGATAATTTCTTATTACTGGTAATGTTTGCATTCTGTTATCTTTAGTAGGCCTATTAGTGAATGTTTAACCATGGTTTCCTCTATAAAAAAGGACTACAAAATAATGCTGTGACATTAACCATCAGTATTTAAGACATTTTAATGACTTATAATGGTTTGGCCTGCATAAATAAATGAACAGGGAAGTGTTATGGTGTTAAGGTGTCTTCTAACTCTTCCATCAGAGTCTTGGTAACTTGGGTTATCAAGATTTTCACCAGAGGACTCTGTCTTCATCTTCATCCTCCACAGCTAGGATCACATGCTTCATTGCCGCACCCATGATTTTTGTCCTTGGAATCCCCCCTATGTTGATTGGAGCGGCTGCAGTCTCAACAAGTAGGCAACAATACCAGTTACTTATTTACCAAGTGGATGAGTACACACCTAATGTTTACAATTCTTTAGACTGGACTATGACAGAGTATGGCTCCCCATCCCCATATGAGCGTGGTGAAGCAGGACTGGTGCTACCCATTGCTCTGCAGTATCTCACCCCATCTTTTATCTCCATTGTGGGCATTGGAGCAATCGCTGCTGCTGTGATGTCATCCACAGACTCTGCTCTGTTGTCAGCAGCATCAATATTTACATCCAACATCTACAAGAACATTCTGAGGAGAACGGTATGAGGACACTGATGGTGTGAAGTGATAATTCTTGTATTGACCATGTGATTCCACAATCCACAGGCACCAGAGACAGAGCTTCTGTGGGTCATACGCATTACTGTGGTGGTGGTGGGCCTGGTGGGCACCTCCCTGTCATTTTTAAGTAACAGTGTTTTGATGTTCTGGATACTTGGCTCAAGCATTACCTATACCATCATGTTTCCTCAGCTGGTGTGCATCCTCTTCTGTGAGGTCTCTAACAGCTATGGCTGCATCATGGGTGTGGTAATTGTAGTGTTATTGAAGGTACTGAGTGGGGAACCAGCACTAGGCCTGTCTCCTCTTTTCTATTACCCTGGGTGCCCTGTTATGAATGGCACATATGTCCAATGTGCTCCAGTTCAGACCATCTGTATGCTATGTGGATGTATTACCACTTTAATATTTTCCTACATAACACATATATTTTTTTACAAAAACGTTATTCCTGGTGAGGGAGATGTTTTTCGTGTTACAATGTATAAAGCACCGCAAAACAAAACAGACAGCACTAATCTGAACAATGAAATTGAAATATGAAGGTTTGGGAAATGGTAATTGCATTTGTGTAGACTGCAAATAAAAAAACTTTTTTTACAAGAAGCTGTCTGATTTATTAAAACTATTCCGTTAAACAATAACCGCGATCAGGATATTCTAAATGCATTTTGTATTTTTAAAATCTACCACAGTGGGGCGGTAAGGCTCTTTTAAGTATATTTTGAGTTCACCTGCCAGTGCAGAAAAAGTAAATCAGGAAGTGTGTGTGCAAGAGGGGCATGCGTGTGCATGCATGAAGAAACTGCTTTAAGGTTTGTGCTCACATTGTATTATAACTTAAAATGTTTAATTATAACTATAGGGTTTGTGTGGGAGCAAAATAACTGAGTGATCCAGTAATCAGTCTAGGCTTTCGTACACTATATTTTTTCCTGAATTATACATAATTAATAATTTCTGCTGCCGTTGTACAAGATTAGAAGTTAATTTAAGTTTTGATTTGGTTACTTACTGGCTACAAGGCTTTTGTGACTCCGACTTTGGGCCTTTATTGATGTTGTGATGCTGTTAATATAATGCAAGGGACTCAAATTTGTTTGGTCAACATATATGTTTTTTTTCTCTCTCTCTCTCTCAGTGATAGAAAATGGAGACACCTGACAGTGTTGGTGAAGGAGGCGAGGGTGCAGCATCACAGTCAACCTTCTCTGGGCAAACACCTCGGAAACCTAACTGGACTTTGTTGGAGGAAGCTGTTCAGATGAAAACTGAGGGCAATGCTTTTTACAGAGAGAAAAACCTGCGCTCAGCTATTAGACGTTACCACAGTGCCCTGCTCATCCTCCGGAGCCTGGACTCAGACGTGATGTCATCTCTAAAGGGACTTGGGCCAGTGGCACATCCTCTCTCACCAGAACAAGAGACTCTACTGAGAAATACACAAATAGATGTGTTCAACAATTTAGCTGGTACCTACAATAAGTATATTATAATTACAGTGATACAGCAAGTGGTATAAAGCATTTCATCAGCCTACAGTCTGTGGCTCTTCTTCATCAGCTGATGAGAACTTGAATTTAGTCACCAGCCGCCTGTCTTTGTTGTGTGTACATTCTAGTTGGTGACTGGGCCTAACATAAATGTAATGATACATACTGAAATTGTTGCCGATTTATTGTGTTTTTTTTTTTTTTTTTTCAGCTTGTTTGCTGCAGAAAGAGAATATCAATTATGCCCGTGTTCAAGAATATAGCTTACGTGTTTTACAGTGGCAACCACATAATGTAAAAGCTCTGTACAGAGCAGGAGTGGCCACACTAGAGCTGGGAGACGCTCAAATGGCAAAAATGTATCTTTCACAAGCCTTCAAAGAACAACCTAATGGTAATTAGCATTTTTTCTTTCATTTTGAGGGGACAGTAAAGCAAGTTTGCAAATATTTAACATATTATCCATCTCTTTATTTTAGATGTAAATGTAAAGAAGTACCTCCAAAAAGCTGAGGAGAGGCTGAGCCAGGAGTTGCAAAAAGAGAAGGCCATGTATCGTGAGATGTTTTTACCCAGCATCAAGAGCTGCTCTGGAGATGAAGTTAACCAAAAGAATGAGAGTGGTGATTAAGTCTGCCTGGTTTGCCAAGCAAAGACATTTGGTTTGGGACAGTCCGAATCCGAATTAAGTTCTAGTAAGATATAGTAAGGTGTAGTATAAGAATAGTAAGATTGGCTGCCCCGTCTGTGTTGTTTTCTCACATATCACCATTACGTGCTGTCTGTGTTAATTCTGTCTGATGTTGTGCTAGTTTTGATCTGACAGAAGACCAGAGACCACAGGTGAGCTTGAACAAAGGCCAGGTGAGAGGAGAACAGGTTTCACATCTGCCTTCTAATCTAACTATGTATGGTTGCTTTAAGAATGTCTGTACACTGTTAACATGGAAATTTAGATGGAAGGAAAGTGAAGCCTGTTTGAAAAATAGAGCCAAAGTTTCCTAGTGGCTCAAAAGTTTCTTTCTGAAAAAAATACCCTCCGGTTCAACTGTATGTTATTTCATACACTGCTGTAAATGTTAATTAAAATGTTTTGTTTCTAATTCTCAGTCTCATACACTCAAGCAAGTATTTAAACAGAAGAGATTAAATACACTTTTATTTTTTACATTGTATTTATTAGTCATGATACAACATCTCATCATTACATTTATTTTAAGTCCTGAGTTGAATATAAAATTAAAGAGTATTTGCTTGGTTTGGTAATTGTCTGGCCAAACATGATTGTACTCCAGAGGCAGTATTGCCATTACAAAAGAAATTACATTTTCATTCGAACTGCTGTGTAGAAGAAACCATCAAGAGCATGCACAATGTGTGTTTACAGTCACTTTCATACCAATGGTTTACTAATGAAGTTGTGATTCACTGTTACTCTTAACTATGTTTACAGTGAATATGTGCCACAATTTAATTATCAAGTACAATTATGTTTTTGTAATAGTTAATAATGAATTTACATACACTATTATTGCATTATGCAACTTTCCTAGGGCCTACCTCCTGCTCATCTCCTTGAGGATGTTACTGTCCCATAGTATGGCACTAACCTGTCAAAAAAAAAAGCATTCTTACTGTGAAGGGGGGTTGCCTCTACAGGTCTGGCCTGTAGTTGGCTTGGTAGTGTCCAATAGAGAAGTTCAGTGCTATGCTGCCAAACATTCTAGGAATCCATGGAGACAAGCAGGTGAAGCACCATCAGAAAAGTTACGTAATGCATCTTTAAGGATATTAAACACTACTCTTGTTCAGTTACTTTGGTAATATTTTGAGGCAGTATGTCTGTTGTAGAAGCAAACATTAAGGAGATTTTTAATGGGGCCGCTTATGTTACTATTTTGTATTTTTAATATGTATTAAAACTACACAATTTATATGACAAAAGTTACTTCTTAGATGGTTTCCTCTTAAGACTCAGGGACCTCATGGAGCCAAAAACTTTCTTCCCCAAATCTCGTAGTGAACGTGAGCGTTGTAGTGTCCTCCTGGGTGGGGATGGAGAGAATGATGGAGAGGACAGAGGGGACATGGATTGACAGCTACCTTCAATACTCTCCGAGTGAGACAGGTTAAAGAGGCTGGCAGTTGAGGACAGGCCCTTGTCCTCCCTCTTTCGTAGCAGTCTCACCCCTTCGTCCTTCCTCATTGACCCCTGTCCCACATCTAATGAAGAGACCCAAAGAGCACGCTTCACAGGCTCCTCGTGGTGACGGGACACAAGCAGACCTTGGGACTCACTCCTGAACAGAGCTCTTCTGGAAATCCTGAGACTGGAGCTGCGCCTTTCTCCGTCCTCTCTCCCCCTTCTTTTTGAGAACATGGGCGAGTACTCCCCTTTGGGTTCATTCATCCAAAATAAATCCTTATCTTGTTCCCTTCTATAGCTTCCACTGGTGTTCCTCCTCCATCCAAAGCCATACTCCGCTCTGTCTATCTCCTCCTGTTCACTTTCTGGGTCCTTTCCAAAGAGACGTCCTTCAAATCGACTCCACAGTTTTGTAGAGTTCTTTTTGGGCATTGGAACACCTCTTTCAACAACTTTGTCTTCAGCCCAAACTGAGCCGTAGTCTTCTCTTTTAGCGTAGCTGCTGACAGTGGCTGCTCTGATGAGTTTGTGTGAGGCATGCTTCCCTCTGTACAGTCCCTGTGTCTCACTTCTTTTCCATCCCCCTCCTCCACTCTGCCGAAGAGATCCTCCTCGGAGTGGGATGCCACATTGATCCACTGCAGAACTCCTTGTGTTTGTGCGGGGAAGGGAACACTGAAATGGGGCATCTCTGCGAAACACAGACAGAGGAGTGGCACCCATAGGAGAGGGTTGCAGAGGATGCGGAGGTGATCTGGCCCTTGGGGTTGGACGAGAGGCAGGAGAAGAAGCAGTGGATGATGGGAGGTCATGTGGGTAGTAATGGGGGTGGTGTGGAACGGGCATGTAATTGGATTGGTAAGGATGTATAGGGCTGCTGGTGTGTGAAAGAGGAGGGGTGAGGCTGCTTTGAGACTGAGGCGAATGCGTGACACTTAGAGACAACTGAATTGGTCTCTGTGCACCCATTTCTCTTGTGTACTCATGAGACTGGTCCAGGTGGCCTTTACCATGGCCCCTCATGTCTCCTGGTGTCTCCCCATCAAAGCAATCTATATCCAACTCCACCCCTTGCTCCATCAGTCCCACTACAATATCTTTGGACAGGCCAGAGAGGCGGGAAATCTCCTCCACCATGGGGAAGTTTGGGCTGGACTCTTGATTAAAGCTGTTTCGCTGAGAGACAGGAGCTGATCCTGAATTGGACCCATGCACTGACATGTGCTCCGGTGCACTACCGCTAAAGTCCAATGATCGACAAAAATTACTTGACCCAAATGAGGGCGCGATCTCCAAAGAGCTGCGATGGCTCAAGCTGGACGGACAGGTGGAGATCCGAGGGCGTGGTCTAAGTGCTGGAGTGGGTGTGGAGGTCAGGGATGAGGAAGAGGCAGTGGTAAACTCACTTTTCAGTGCACCACAACTTCCTCTTTTGGGGGTGTCCACAAGACTCCGGCTCGAATTTAAACCAGGATTGAGGTTCAAGTTTACATTTAGATGCAAGTTTATACTCAAATCCTCTCCAGTGGCAGAGGGTAAATTACCCAGATTTATGGAATTTCTTGTTGCTTTTTTTCCTGTTGTGATTAAGCTCACTCTGGCTGAGTTTCCCAGCTGTGACTTGCAGGGCGTGATGTTGCCCCCTAGAGCGCATGGTGTGCTTAAACTCTCAAAGGCTGAAAGAGACTGAGTGGACCCATGGCCTTTTCCTGTGCAAACACCTCTAAGTGATATAGATCCAAATGAAGTCAGATCAGTGGTGGATGCAGACACACGGGCGTGGTATTGCCGGGCCAGACGATTGATGTACTGCTCTAACTGGGTGAAGGAAATCTGGGTTGGAGTGGCTGGTTGAGTAAGGAGAGTATGATCATTGTTGCTGGTGGGTTGAGAGCAGTCATCAGATTGGGGAGCTTCAGGACTAGGAGTGGCTTGAGTACTTTCCTGTGTTGTGAAGAGAGGACTTTGAAGAGCCACAGCATGCAGTGGGCTGGGGTAAGGATACACCTCTTTGGTCCTTCGTGACACCAGATCTGCACAGTAGCGTGGGTCTAGTTGAGATTTTAGGTCAATCAGAGCAGAGGATGATGATGGACAGAGCAGGTGAAGGAGGGAAGGGATTATGGAATTGCTGCACCCTGAGCAGAGGTCAGACAGAAAGCTTAGACCACTTGCTTCCAGATCATTTGTTACTGTAACACAAACAGTTACATGTCAGTGCTGTCATCCTATTTTTTTTTTTTACAATAACATTTTTCACCCTTACCTTCTGCTAGTTCAAGGCTGCACTCTGCTTCGGTGTGCTGCACTGTCTGCACATCTGTCCACAAGATGTCAGCACTATCAGGTGGGGGGCACTGGTCCCACAGCTTCTGGGGTCTGGCTGGTACCTGTCCATGAGCCACTTCACTGGACACTGAGTAACAAGAGTCTGACAGAGAACTGCCACTCACAGAGTAAAACCCTGAGACAAGATAATTTCACAAAATTAAATTACTCGACAGTTTCAAATAAATTTTACTTTGTGGTATTTTATGCCGTAACTGTGCATAAAATGTTACAACAATACACTATTTAAATAAATAACTACAGTTCAGTTGAGTACTTAGTTTCCTTTTGGTTACCTTTTTTGTCATTACAATTCCTCATTAACAAATTAATAAAATATATAATGTTTATGTTTATAGATTTGGCTTTCAGTAGTTATCCCAAGAATTCATGTTTTTACCCTTATAGCTGGCTGACTAAAATATGAAAAATGTATACAATTGCCCTTTTTTGTTTGTCAAACATGAGTCTGTTTTATTGTATTGCATTGTGAGAGTTTGGCATTCCTGAGATTAGTGTGAACTAAATGTGACACAAGTCCCAGTACAAACACGAGTTTGAAAATACCATGGTTAATGTTTAATAGGACTCCTCTCTTACACAAGAATGAGGTGTCAACCTCCTAGCCACTAAAGCTACACGATTTGTGAAAATAATCAAATTGCAATTTTTCAGTTGAAAACTATTGCTATTAGATTTGCAATATATATTTATAAAGTGGGATTCAGTTCAACTCCAGGTGCATTAACTTCTGACAGAAGACTGAAATATGCATAAATTGATCTAAGAATCCCATGAATTTCAGGACATGATTGCCAAGGTATGACAGGCATAACTAGATTTTCTATACTAAAACACAGGATATTTTGGTCTTTGCAGAAGGCATTTTACAATTTACAATTTTATAATTGCACCAACTATATATTGTGCAGCGCTACTTGCCACTGTATTAACAAGTTGTTTTAAATCCACTTCAGTGTTGTTTACCTGAACTAGGTCTGGAGTCACTGTCCAGGTGGGCCATGCTAATGGGGTCAGGTGTGGGGGGAGAGAGGAGATCAGAGGAGGTGTCCCAAGACAGAGTAGACCAGCGAGTGTGGCCCCCACAGCCTGCTGCGGTGTGGACTGTCCCATCTGCTGACTCCCCTGGGCTGCTTTGGGCAGGTAATGCTGTGATATCTGGTGGAGATACAAACTGAGAAAAAACAAAATGGCATTGGCCAATATTACTATGTGTTAGATAAGATAATGGACAAATATTAAAAAAGTATATGATAGTCAATGTGTTGCACTTATTGTACTCTTTAATTTAACAGTACAAGTGACAGTGGCAGTAACATGTCCATGTCCATTTTAACTAGCAAAAATATTCAGATGATGACACTCCTCATTTATGGGAACCAGATATCTGATCCTTTTAGGTAAAAGTGCCTCCATTTCTAGATTACAAATGGAGATCCTGGGCCAGGATGGAGCACAAGCCCCTTTCTAATTATCTCCAAATCCACAGGACGGCAGCCAAGAACCCCAGAATAAGGCTGATCAAGCCCAGACAAACAGTAGCACTGTGAGTGGCACTGATCAATCCTCTTGTTACTGAGAAAACAATACAGGTAGTGAGTCACCACTGGGGCAACAGGAGAGGGAGGGGAAATAAAGGGAGAAGACAGATGACTCAACAAAGAGCAGCTCAAAACAGCAGAAGGATGGGGGAAGTACTCAGACAGGACAGGCCCACCAGAGGAAAAATGTGAGACTTTTTGAGACAATATATCAGAAAGCTATTGTTTGTAAAACGTACTTATTAGTAAATCAGAAGTGCCTAAATGTCAAGGCGCGACACTGAGAAAGCTTCTTGGGCTAGACTGAAATGTAAAAATTAAAAGGCCAAGTCTATGATTACTTAAAACTTGTTCAATTTACTAATGGGTGTGTAAAAAGTTCTTCCTCACATTTCCTACCATTTTTGGATATCTTTGAAAATTATTATCTAAATTACCACTGATACCAAATGCATATTCTATATTTTGTTATGTTAAGTTTGTGTATAAAGTGAAACAATGGTAAATTTTTTTTTAGGCATTAGATTAATGTCTCATGAACACAAACTAATTAGTAAAACAAATAAACGCTATCTGGAGTCAAGTTGTTTTAGTCGTAGTATTAAGTAGAATTGTTGGTACGTAGTTTTTAATTTCGATAACACTTTGGAACACTGACAAAACTTTCTGCTTGTGACCTATGTCCTTATGCACATTCCCTTGCATGCATTAGCTGTTGTTTTCTTCTTTTTACTGTCAGTCTGAGATGTGGATGAGTGGGTGCCCGATACAAGAGAAAAGAAACAAAAAAGGCCGAAGTGACTCATGTTGCAAGAAAAAGTGAAGACGGTGGGAGAGAGAGGGGTGTTGATAGTCTGATGGGTGGGTGGTTGCCGGGTGAGCGAGAAGGGCATCTAACAAGACCCCAGAACCCCCACACTCCTTTAAAACTCTCCTGTTGGTCAAATAATCCCCCTCCCTTTCCTATAATATCCCTTAAGCCTGCCGCCCCCTACTCACCATGGCTACAGCTGCTGGCTTCAACTCTCACTCGCTCATCCACCCACACAGACACACAACAGTTACACAAAATATGGAAGAAGATATGATTCAAGTGAATAAGTACTTAGTAAATACTAATACTAATATTAAAGGTGCATTGAGTAACTTTTTTGGTAGAGGGTAAATCACGTGGTTGTTTCTGTGGATATGTCATTGCTCTGCCTGGAATTTTCCACAGTATGACATTAAACATTAAACTAACCTTTTATTTTATTCAATCAATTTTAATTTAGAGCTCAAAAACAGGAATTCTGACTGTGAACGGAGTTGCCTCTCCATACATCTGACCTGTAACTTGGTCTGGTTTGGTCTCCATAAAGATAGAAAGGTTTAAATACCATACCAAACAAAGACAAAGCAATCACATCTTCATGGAGAAAAGCATTTGATGGCGCCTCCACCAGAAAAGTCACACAATGCACTTTTAACTAAATTATCTGTGAATTAACCTTTCAATTGTGTGTGATAAACATTTTTGGTTTCAACCAAAATATGGAATATGTGGAATAACCAGCTATACTGTTCCACCACAGCCCACTCAACAGATACCCTGACAGATACATGCTCTCCAGCTTATAGGGTATAGTGTTACACAGAAACCAGTTCAAGATCAAATCATTAGAGATGGACAGACAAATGGGAGGGGTTTGCCCACTATGAAACCTGATACAAGTCCATTTGAGGGGGCAACTGTAGCCTCATTGGTGCAACATGTAGAAAACGTATGGGTTGATTGGATAATAATGTTAGTGTGTTCACTCAGCAGCCATACACCTACTCCAATTGACTGTCTTATGTCGTTATCGCTAGACAAATTGCAGTGGGGGACAGTGAGGCAGAATACATTTGTCAGAATATTGTGTAGGAAGGAGTTTGCTGAACAAAGGAACACACTTGTTCAGAACACCATTTATTATTCATGAATTATGTATGCCGTAACAAAATAGACCATGCTCCACATCTCCTCTAGCAGTTTAAAAATATTCACGGTGGGCTACAGCAAAATGAAAATATCAGCATTACAGAACCTGCAGGACCCATTTTTTTAGGTGTCATTTTAATGGACAGACACCAACATTTTATTTATTATTAATTTATTATGCAATGCCAGTGTATACATTTTCTATCACAGATTTCTTAGCCAGAAGTTTGCTGTTTTAAAACATGGTGTTCTCTTGTTGGTAAAGGTCATGCCTTTAGCCTTGACATGTTTGCTGAAAATGTGAGATGGATCAATCTGGGTTTTCATTTCCAACACTGACACACACGCACGCGTGCACACACACACGCACGCACGCACGCACACACACACACACACACACACACACACACACATGCATATATATATCTGTTATGTTAGGTTAATATTTTTAATTATTTGAGTACCCACAACTGTATAAATAGTACTGGGTGATTAACCAAATCTGAACGCTCAGATATGATCTAAGTTGAGGTGAGTGGGTTTAGAAAATTTAAATATCAAAACAAAAGAATATGGATTTGTAATTGCAATTTAAATGAAGAGGTGAATCACATGACATCTTATTCTAAATATATTAGACCTATTGCAACATGATTCATCCAGAATCTATGTTTTTTTTTTTATTTTGCACAGATGCATACTCATTTTTGCCCTGTGACTCTCCTCAGCAGGTTCAGAGTACAAGCTGAATTGTAGTCAGTATTGTCTGAATAGCGCTTCTCCCTCCGAGTAAATGTCGTGTATGTTTGTGGTGGAGGCCTAACTGCAAGGGCAGGTTTCCAGACTCTCTGTCAGCTCCCTTCAGAGGTGAGAATGAGCGATGCTACAGGCCCGGTCTGCGGGATATCTCAGCTCTGCGGGGGAATGCAGCTAAGATGGGGATAGGTGGGTGGTGAGGACATTATGAGCTGCACTTCCAAACTTGTGCTCTTGTCAGATGGCAGTGTCTCGAGAAGAGGAAAATTATTCCTGTTTTATCTTTTCCTCCCCCAGTGTGGGCATTGCTTCATAAATACTTTTTTCTTTAGTATTAAAAAGTGAAACTGATTAACTGAAAGAACTAGCTACAACTCCACTAATCTCAAATTCAAGTCTCCACAAGGTCCTTCTCTCACACCACCATGACAATAAGAGTAAACAAAAAAAAAACCTCAGGTCACTTATGCCCATAAAATTAAATCAGCTCACCCACACTGTTAGTGTTTACTGCACAAGTCACAAACTGAATTCAATCATCACATTAGACCCAAAAAACTATGTGTGAATGGCAGTTATTTCTGTAGGACTAGGCCATCTGCACAGGGCAATTAGTGTTAATTATTCCACTGGAGTCCCATGATGAAGGAGACTAAAGAGGGCTGATTTTACACCCAAATGTGAATAAAACATAACATGAGCTTTAATGAGAAATACTGCTGTGTAAATACCTGTAGCCAATCCAAACCCAAAGGTTAGAAGTCTGTTAAATTTGAGGGTTGACATATTAACAAGATACTACTAGGCTACATAAACTTAGTTCATTATATTTCCATGTGCCCCTAATGTTCAAGACAAATCCTGCTAAGAGTAGGCTATAAGTGACATCTGATTTCTTCAGTGGTTTGATGATCACACATCATGACAAAAGTGGAGCTCAGCATCCCTGTTTCAGGATGTTACCTGCTTTCATCATGTCCCTCTGTATCACATGTCAACCTACATTCTCCACATTCTCCACACAAAAAGAGCCCATGTATCAGTTTCAGGGCAACACTGGGAAAATAAAAAGGTTATGTGTGGGAGAGTTCACACACAACCTTTGGGATTATAATGGAGGACAAGTTTAAAAAGGTTATTCCACAGAGGGGACGCTCATACTGTTACACTGTCACAGAGTGTGATGTGAATACAAACAGCCCCCCAAAGTGACCTTTCACTGATAAGCTCTTAGACCACCACAGCCAGAACACAACAGTGTCCAGTTAGTGGTGGGTGTCTATTAATACCTGTACTAGCACTTACTGTCTATGTGCCCTTGAGCAGGGCACTGAGCCAAGCAGACAGACTGGACCACGCGCTCAGAAGTCCACGTTGAAGTGTCGCTCTCTAGTTGGAGCGGGGTAATGCTTAGATGCTCTGGCATCACGCAGGACGTGCATGCCCACGGGCGCAAGGCTTATTGGCACCATCATTCCCATTCTCCCCATATTCCTACAAAATTCATGTCGAAATGGACTCTTACTGACCTGTTGCCTTAGAGATGTTATGCAGCTCTGATCTTGGTTCCGACTGCTGTCCAGCGCAGCGTCCACGAGCTCCAGCTGTTTGCACCTGAGCAGCTCCAGCTCCAAGACTCCCGCCAGTGTTGCTTTGAGTCGCTCTCCGATGCGGACGCGCTCTGTGCCTGACCACAACGAGTTCACACAGCCTCTGCGCCCCGCCATCCTCCAATTCAAAGTCGCTGACCACGAGCACCACTTTATTGTCCGCGGGACTAGGCTCCCGTAGCTGATAGGGCAGCACGAGCCCGAGACCGTCTCATCTCCACAGCCCAGTGGTAGAAGAAGCAAGAAAAACGAAGACTCACCATGACTAATGTACCATGCAGTTACAGCATCGAGTCAAACCGCTGAGCAGTACCAAACTGAAATCAATGATCCCTGTGAGGGGAAATGGAAAGACATCAAACGGATGTTCTCTGCTTCCACCTGACGCAGTCGATGGTTTCAAGTGTATCACAGATGCGTGCGTCAAGTGCGTGTTACAGGCGCGGACACTTCGTTCCAAATGAAACAATGCATTAGACACAGAGGCTGGTAGCGTTACATGTGGAGCAAGCAGAAGGAGGAGGAGCCACTGCACCAAAACTGTCCTCTCATTGGACACTGAAGTTTTTCGAATGGACTGTGCCTGTTAGGACCTTAGGACTGAGTAATGAACTGTCGTTCAAATAGACTGGCGCTGAATAGATCTAATAAATTACTCAGATAGGCTTGCGGTGGGCTTCGGCGTCCGGCAAAAATCGACTCCTACCGGAATAAGGGCCGCAGCACCTCCAGCGGTACCACCGTGTGCAAGGCGCGCGTTCTGAGCTCCTCTCGCGGCCACCGCACCGGAGCTGCGCAACGTGACCATAACAAGTTAAAAATGTAACTGTGTTCATCATCAGTCAGGGCTAAAATTATATAGTGGTTTATTGATGTTTAAAAAAAGAAAAGAAAAAAAAAAAAGCTTAATAATAATGCAATAATATTTCGAAATATGGATTAGGCCTAGCCTATTATTCTGATAAAGAAAGGGGGCAAACTAGTATCATAGTTATCACTTTGATCATGTTCTCAGAAACATATTATGGCAGGCCTCAACTGTCCTGTGGATTACAGTAGTGAGACATTTTATAGCAGGATATTTTTGCAGTAAAATCACACAGGATTAAATTTAAAAAGTAGGTTGGATGTTTTATTGTAGGCTACAGAAAAAGGCCAGGCTGGCTACACACAGATTACAGCATGTTCAATGTTTACTAAACAGGTCACAGTCTGTTCACGACCCTTTGGCATAGACTTGTTCCATGTCACCCTGTGACAGGTGCATCGAGGCCCTTATTCTAACCCTGTTGTACCACCCTAAACCGCCAGAGGGTGCTGTTTGCCCATCAGCGGCACAATCAAAAACAACGCCTCTTTCTGACTAGGTTACGGAGATACTAGGCTACTATATCGTCTACAAAGGCAAAAGACCTTAACTCGCCAGAGTGTGTCTGTTTTGTCCAGACAAAAGTATAATTGGTAGAGCTCCCAAAATTTTACAACTAGTTGCTATAATGAAGAAATATTTGTATGAGAAAAATATTGAACTCAAAAATTGCCGTTTGTTCTTTGTCAGTTCCTGTACTCTGCCTTTATATCATGAGCCAAAAATAAAGAGTCGTGCAAAGGCAAAAGGCAATAACAGACATTGCAACCAGACTTACATCCCTTATAAGAACACCTCACCAAGGTCTAGTCATCATGGTGTTTGTTTGAAAGGAGACCCAAAGGTCTTCTATATCATTTTTTTAAAACTGTGCAACATTACACAGTTAAACAGTTTGACAGACAAGTTACTTTGCAGTATAATATGTAGAGTATGAATAAATACACAAAATACTTTCATTTTAAAGATAATTTAAGTACCGGGTATTATTGAATAGAAAGGTATCTTTATTTAATGTGTTAAGACCCTATGCCAAGGCTGCAACAAAAAGAAGGAGGCGAGAGGTTGGATTTTAAAATAAAATATATTTATGAACTAAATCACAAACAAAACATATACTGTTAATGCCTTTTGCCTTTGCAAGACTCCTTATATTTGGCACATGATACAAAGGCAGAGTACAGAAGCTGCCAAATAAGGGTCAAATGTCCATTTTGAGCTCAATATTTTTCACAATATTTATTCACATGATAAAGGAGGTCTCAAGTACCCCCAAAATGACATTAACTCGTTTTTGACCAAACATGATGTTACAGCGTTCTTCCTTTGTAGGGAAGTATAGCCAGATAAATAAAAAATAAAAAAAACTGTAAGATTATTTTCTTGGGCATATGACAAGCCTTTATTGACCTATCATTTAGGCCTTACCTAATGATATTATCTGATCAATTATCTCAGCCCATCTGAGAAGTGAAATGTCAGATGTTTAGTCCTGAAGTAGAAAATGATCATGGCTTGTTTTTCTTTTTTTTTTTTTTTTTTTTTGTTTGTTTGTTTGTTTTTCTGAACACTTTGTGCTGCACAAATTAGGCTGCCCTCATTACACTTAGCATGTACTCGGCCTCACCACAGTCTTGGATTTGTATGTGATCGACAGAACAATGTCACAAGTGGATGAGAGAGATCTTCTGCAGATAGGTACACCATGTAAATCTGGTTTAAACCGGTAAAAGAAGGCCAAAGAACAGGGACAGAGCATCCAGACTCTTCACAGGGACAAGGAGTGGGCTTTTGTGTTGTTGGTGTCACATTTCGACTCCTCCCTTCTCCCCTATAAAACAGTGGTCCTGCAGGCAGCTCACTGGGGTTTGCCAACTTCCACCCGAGGGGACTTAAGTGTCAGCCTGGGTAAGACCACCACCACCTCCATCACTACTGGTCTATTCGAACCACCCAAAGAAAAAAAAAATGGCTCCTTTTGAGAAATCCATGGAGATGATGCCCTTCAAACAAAGAAAATGCCTCGGTGAGTGATGTAGATATTTTCTATTGACTTAAGCTGTACTTTATTTCTCATCATCATTTATAATCATCAATTCTCTTTTGCAGCCACAAGAAAAGATGAAGTGTGCAATATCCGGACTAAATTCCCAAACAAGTTACCTGTAAGTAAAGCTTACACTTATATTCTATCAATATGTAGACCATGGTATGGACAAGTTGGCAAGGAGCTTGAACTCTATATTTTGTTTCTGTAGGTAATTGTTGAGCGTTACATGCGTGAGAAATCTCTCCCACTTTTGGACAAGACAAAGTTCCTAGTTCCCTTTGAGCTCACATTGGGTCAGTTCCTCTGTCTACTAAGGTATGTACCTATTCTATTCACACTTAGCTATTTTTATTTGAACATTTTTTAGACAAATGCCTTCACAGTATCTTCCATCTTGCTGTCATATTTGCATTCTGCTCCTTAGCTATGAGTCACTGCAGCTTGTCTAATTATGTATTCTGCTTTTATTCCTAGAAATAAAATAGATCTGGAATCAACTCAGGCCCTGTTTCTGTTGGTGGCAGAGAAGAGCATGTCTTGTATGTCATCAAGTATGGGTGAGATCTACTCCCTTTACAGTGACCAGGACGGTTTCCTCTACATCACCTACGCCTCACAAGAAGTCTTCGGAGCCTCCTAGGCACCAGAACGGCCATGTTGAGGACTTCTGAACCAAGCTGTGAATGCTGCTGTCCTTTTTTAAAGCTAAACTGCATATGAGCCTATACCTCAATCAGCAAAGGCTCCATCAGTGTCAAAGTGAACTCACTGGCAGATTTAATATCTATGGTTTTCAGAATAATGAACAATTAGGACTGTTGCCATAGTGAGTCCTAAAAATGTAGCATATAAGAGGAAGCTGAAACCTATATGAATACAGATTAGGCGTATGTGCCATATTCAAGAGATACTGCCAGTGCAATATAAAATCCATCAATTCTAAAAACAGGGTCTATATCCAGTATTATTGTTATGACTCCTTTAAAGCACTTACTGTTCTGTCCGGATTGCCTCTACATTCCCTTCAAAATGTGAAATAAAATCACGGCATCAGAAACAAGTCTCTAATTCCTGCTGTTCTGTATCAGCCAACAATAAATAATAAGTATTTTAATTCATGGTTTGTCTGTTTGTGTACACACCTCATTAAAATAACAGCAAAAACATGCAAATAAAATTAAGTTTTATCAGTCAATATAGATACATTTAGATTACAGGGCTTTCACGGTGAAGGTAAGATTAATTGTTCTGGCATTTAGGCTTATGTTAAATATAATTAGGGCTATACACACAAAGGTGCTCCATTCCTCACCCACCTGTCACAAGTGGCACGCCTCGCAAGTGAGAGTCACGTAAGCTTGGCCCAATCTACTCAGTGCAAAGGTCAGTGTGTCAGACGCAATTTTACATTAGTAGAAACGTGACTTGCAGGAGCCAAAAGATAAACCAAAAAATTAGAAGCGGGAAGTGGGCCGAAACGATGAAAGAACACGAATAAAAAATAAAATAAAAATAAGTCTATGTATTTAAAGAAGACAGGGTGTAGTACGGGGGGAGCAGGCACACACTACTGTATTTCCACACCTTTGTTGAAATGTATTGTCATCCTGGAACAAGAGGGACCACGAGGCAGCTGACACTTAAATTAGGTTATGTATGTTATGTACATGCACATTGATTCATAATACCGCACTGCAGGGTTTAGAAGTGCAACTTGTTTAGAAAAAGAAACAGCTCAAATAAAAATTCTTTACCATACTATACCATACATCAGCTATATTATTTTGTAAGATTGCGTCTCTGCTTATCCATGAAAGCAAACCTGTGTTTATTCTTGAAGACAACAAAGCATTATATATTATACTATGAGTTAGGCGCTCTGCACTGAAATAGGCCAACAATTAGATTTCAAGTTCCAACATGTAATTAAGACCTGTTTGCTAAATGTCACACAAAAGCGATAAAATTTGCATTTAATTAGTGCTAAGACGTACTAACACAATGGTGCGCCTTTTGGTGGACATAGGCATATTGGGTAAAGTTTGTAAAGACGTGTATAAAGTAGTAGACCCTATGTAGGAAAAAGCTGTTGCCATTGAACAATTTAGAACTGATCGGAACGAAGAAAGTGCGTATTCAAAGGAAACTGAGCAAGTGCACGGGTTTGAGCAAACGCATCAAAGCTTTATATTCAAATTACTTTGTGTCACGCATCACAAGTGCTTCACCAAAGCTTCAGTAATCAAATGAAACTTGGTATAGTAAAGCTAGTATTGTTTTGCCAAAAATGACCAACAGAGGGCAGTGTAGTGTCAGGCCATTATGACTCAGTTGTACACATGACCTAACAATGGTTTTTGTTTTCAAGATTGACTCATTTGGTGATGACGATTTGTGTTGCCAGACAAAATACAATAAAGAATTACTTTTATTTATCTCACAAAATAATAAAAAGAAACATCTGGAAAGAGCAGGAGTTAACCATAGGGAAATACAAAAATATAGATAAAACAATTCCAACAGTTGATTTCCACTTCCACATTCTCTCTAAAAATGAAAACTATAATTCTTTGGATCAGAATATAATAACGCTATTTAGGACGATAGTTCATGTGACTTGTCATGTCCCAGTGAATCATCCAGTAAAGTCTTTGATAGATAATCACCCTTCTTTCATTTATAACAGATATCTAACTACATTTTGTCCTTGGAAGCCCAAAGTCTGGTGAGCAAGCTCTCTGCATATATCCTCTGGTGTTTCAGGAAACTTGGGAGGCTCAGCTAGCAATGATCACAGTATTAGTTTGAACTTAGAAGTAAGGATATACTCCTAGAGGTGGTTGTTGCGAATGAAAGATCTCTTTGCTCTACAGTAATTATTACTAGCCCTCTCAGTTGCCAATACATCCCACATTACAACTTTCCCTTATCCTTACTGAAAAATTCAAACTTATACCTGTAAGGCTCATACTATATTTTCACTCTCTGGTAGCATCTTGCACCTTTTTACGGGCATCTTCTGCAACTAGCTCACGTTTAGATGGAGGCACTAGATGATTAGGAAGCTCTGGGGGCAGCTCATGGCCCTCTAGCTTCACTTTGATCAGGTGGTTTGCCAGCGCAAACTCCTCATCATCAAGGTAGCCATCTTTATCCACATCTGCCAGCTTCCAAATCTTTCCCAGCACGGTGTTGGGCAGCTTCGACTTCAGCATCTCCTTTTTGGCTGCAGCACCGGACACTTTGCCATTGATGGGGCCCAGAGTGTAAAAGATCTCATCGTATGAGGGCTTATCGCGCCCCACCACCCACTCCAACTCGTCTATTCCCTCGCTAGCACCCTCTCCATAGCCGTGGCCAAATGGACCACTCATGGCCCCCTCGAAGGCTCCTCCATGGACACTCTGACTGGGCATTGCAGCCTCCTCCTGGCGCACCAGAGCCATAAGTCGGGCGATGTCATTGGCCAACATGTCCTCCACCTGCTCCAACAGCTTGGGCTTCAGAGAGGCAAATTTTGAGAAGTCCTGGCCATTGAGTATCTCCTGAAATGAAAAGATGGAGGTTGAGTGAAAACAGGAATTGGTGTTACAAATAGATCAGTCTTCAATGGCTACCAATGGGAGCAGCATAGAAGAAGCAGGATTTCCTGACAAACCAGGAAAAATAAATCTCATCCCAGGCCTGCCCATCCTGGAGGTAAGGGCAGGAAACAGGGGCAAAGATGTGAGAGGAGTGAAAGGTGAGAGGCCATGTTCCCCCAAACCATATTTGTCTAAACCTTTAAATAACACTGAGAACATTGTACAGAGTCAAAAAGAGTATGAAGCTATTCTGCCTGCTAAAAGAGAAGTAGCATCACTTTACGTCTTTTGAGATCATCCAGTCAGTCACTTAAATGTGATTTCTTTATTCTTATTCTTTATTCTCACTTGCCAAGTGAAACCAAATAAATTTACACTAAAAGAAGACATGATTTTTAAAATGATAATAATAATATAATATAATAATAATAAGTAATGAACTACTAACACATGTAATGAGGCATGATTTTTGTAAAATAACATATTGATCCATTTTTAATTTATAGTGTTTTATTTTTCATTTGCTTTGCAAATTTTTTTTTAAGTTTTTTGACCCTGTGTGTAGGACTTTGAGCAAGTATAACTGGGAGAAGGTGTGAGTACTCAAGCTTGAAATGTAGAACAAGCCGAGATTACTCAATATGCATGAATCACTCAAAACGCAACTTTGAGTAAAAGCTCATAAAAGCAAATTTTGAATGATATGAGTCCTTTCAACACTATCAGTTGATGTAAAGCATAAACACAGTTACAAACCTGCATCTTGCTAATGTTGGGGAAGTCTCCTGGAGAGATCTGATGTTCCTTCTCGATCCTTTGGTAGATTTCTCCAAGATTACCAATGAGCTCTTTCTTCTTGGAATCTTTTCCAAACACACTGGGCATCTCCTTTTTCAGGGAGCTGATGATGTATGCATGCACCTAAAAGTTTTTAAATAAATGTTTTAAAAATACATTAACTGAACGTAACATAATGAAGTAATAATAATTTTTAAAAAAACCTTTGCAAGGCGGGCTCGTTTGATGAGATCGTTAAGTTTACGCAGTGCTGCATTTCGTGGCAATGATTGAATATCCAGAAACAAGTCCTGCTCTTCAGCTTCAAACAACTTCCTGTTGTCTGGGACCAACAGCGGCTGTGCCCAGAATGACCCAATATACACACGCACCACCTGGATTAAAATTACACAGGTTAAAACTTAAACACTGGTCACAGCTTTTGTTATTAAAAAATGTTAAACACTTTACATACAATGGAAGTTTACAAAAGACAGATGAATTACTATTATGGCTCAAGTATTTAGGCAGTTCTAAAGTTTATGTGACAAGAGCAGTATATCATGTGGAGGGGCTTTACAACAAGGACTTCTCAAAGTCAATGAATTATTCTCCAGACGATTCAAAGGTTGCTTTCTTTCAAGGTTTATGAATCTAAATCCGCATCAAACATTAACTTTGCCAATGATGTCAAGAGATCATCACATGAAGGTAGGTTAGATTAGAGGAGAACCTTCAGCAACATTAGCTAACAGTGTTGTTTGGCAATTAGATGTAAAGTACTTCATAATATGAGGACAGTTTACTGTAAGTAATAATTTTACTAGCAGACTGACTACTACAGTATTTACCTCAGGAGTGTTGATAATTTTTCCCAGGGACCACATTAAAGCTCCATAGACTCTCATCAGTTGCTGTGTGCTGATCTGGTCGGCTTTGTTCAGAACCACACGCATTTTGTCTTCATGGTTTTTCAGGGCACGGATGACCTCTGAAAACTCGTCAGAGATGTCCAGCTTGTGAGCGTCGAAAAGGAGAATAATTCGATCTACGCGCTCAGCAAACCATTCAAGAACAGCAGCAAAGTCGTAACCTGAAAAGATATTTAAATACAAGAAGTTGCATTTATTAGTGATGCACAATATATTGATGCATACATATATATAAACATATCGATACTGCAATATTCCCCAAACTTCCCCATTTTACAGAAATGTTTAAAAAAAAATGAACAAAACAAAAGAACAAAAAAATTTATAAAAATGCAGATTTTACTCATGATCTTTCTTGTTCAGGATCATTAAAATCATTATTCAGTCTTGGTTTAGCTTCTGTCAAGTTTTTATTTTGCCACAGTAAATGAAGGCATGTGTGCTTTTGTTTTTGGTTCAATTTTACTTAATTCACTGTGTCAAAATTTTCTCTGCCCTAGCATTAAGAGACAATTTATTACTTACAAACAGTAAAATAATAAATGTGTTTTAAGTGTGTTTTTGTCTGCCAAGATGGTCATAAACACCTCCTGAGAACATTTTAACTCAGTGAAGTCACCACCTGGCATGTACCTGCATCATTTACCTTTCCACTCATGTCACAAACAACGCATGGAAACATTTTGTGAATAGTGCATCTCAGAGAGAAATACAGGAATGTAATACTTAACACATACGGCTATTGAGCAAAGGTTGGTTTGTTGGTACTACAGTTTGATCCAATGTTAGCTCAATTCTATTGAGCCATGATCTTGTAAAGACTGGTTGGCTAACTATTAACTACACCCACTCAATGTCATTTGATGGATATTTTGAATGAAGACAAACTATAATTACACAAGGAATTTTATGTAGTAGATTAAAAGAGTTATGTATGCGATCGCTGTAATAATTACCTAAACTTGAATGATAAATATACATGAAATATTATTGCCTTGTGTGGAAATCAGACGATCTAGTGTGATGAAAGTTGACCAAATGATCATTTAAAAAGTGTATAGTCATGAGATTCAACAGTAGAGAGAGACTACAAAACCAGTTCTAAACCAAACCAACTGTATTGCAGTAAACAATGTAACTTCTCAACCCACAGGGCAGTTTACAGAGAGAGAAGGAAAAAGCTCTGGCTGTGATAGGAGTTTCTGTCATCTGATCTAAGAAAAGCAACCTGTCTCCACATTCAGATCTACACTGCACACATTCCTACATGGCCTCTTTGTTCAAACATGTGCACACCAAAGACAGGACGGTGACACAGGCACAAAGACAAACTAAGTGTTACTGAAGATGAAAATTTTATTGCGTTTACTAGTCCAAGTCGACTGACCAAATACTGTGAGGAAACAGAGGTGTGTGCATGCAGAGAATACATTGAAAATCCCAGTGGACAGCGGGTTACAGACATTTGTCGGTTTTAAACATGTGTCAGAGAAGGAGACTGGCAGCTGCTAAGACTTCACATATATGGTCTTTCCATGACATATGCAGACAGGAATACACCAGAGGGCTATCTGTGTATTTAAACAACGAAATGGTGTGTGCATTTCACAAGTTGCTCACAAGAACAGGGGCTGCTAAAAAGTCCTTTGATTTTGCTGCTGTAACAATTTCTATCTTCAACAACATAACAAAAAAGTGAACTTTGAAAACTATTTTTAAAATTTTTTAAGAAGTCAAATGAGGTAGTTTTGACTTTGACCTTTAAATATTTTTGTTTCTGTCTGTCAAACATGATTGAAGTTAAAGAACCAACCTGTTCTGCAAAACCAGTTTCTGTATACAAGATTTCAACACTTGTATCAGGGAGGCAACAATGACCGTTCAGGCTGAGCGCACATGGAAGACGTTTCCTTTTTACCACATGAAACCAATTCCAGGTATATATTTTCTTCTATATTTTTCCATCTGAAAATCTCAGATTACATTGGTCATTTCCTCTCATCTTGTCAGCTATTGTGCCCCTCTTTCTGAAGTTCCTCAATGAGTGCTGTTTATAGATGACACACAGGGTATAGTGAGTATAGTCTACAGTGGAGCCTAGTAATGTTTACTCTGAAACAATGGTTCAGAGAGCCAGTGTGAGGCCATGTGTGAATGAGATAAAAACCCGCAGCCAAAGTACATATGGAAATATGACTGATCTACAACACAGACATCAGGCACCATCAACTTACTGGAGGGTGACCTTAATACTACACCAGCTGATACACTCCCAATACGTCTTTCCTCAGGCAATACAATCAGTCCATTTTGCTTCAAATGTCTGAGTACAGTGGTGTAAGAAAGTGTGTGTGATTTGGTTAATAATTTATGTAAAGCATTATATAGTCCAATGAAGTTCATTTGATCTTCCAATAATTTATGTTGTTAGATTATTTTTTCAGACAAAGAGTTTGTTTTCTTACCTGACAGTTTCAGACACATCACAGCAATATCTCTTAACCACGCTAAAGAAAACCGCTAGTGAGCAGTCGAAACTGTCAGGTATGAAAACAAACTCTTGGTCTGAAAAAAGAACCTAATAACATAAGCATTATATAGATTAGTTTGGTTTAGTTTATTTACTTAATGCACAATATACATTAACCTTGACAGGATAGATGCATTGTACCAGGTTGTAGTGCCAGTACTAATTTTGCAGTGCTAATTTCCACCCATTAATGATTAATTTGAGACATCCAGGAATAAGATTTGGTGATGTCATTAAAACATCACCACCCCTCCTACCGTGGGAGTCACAATCACTAACACAAGCTCTGATGAAACTGCCTGGTTAGAAGTGAGACATCGGTTATAAAAGATAAGTAAATCCAGCTGGTTTAGTTTAACTTGTTGATAATAGATTCATAATTACACATTTCTAGCATGACCTAGCACTGAATTTGCATTTACTAAAAAGCAAAACTCTATTAT